ATATAGCTTAAATCATAATATTAAGCCCTATATAACTGAAGCCATATTCCTTTATTAAGGGGTATTGGGCTCTCTGGGTAGGGGTTAGAAGGGCCCCCAACCTGTAATAGTGGTATAATAGGAATATAGTAGGGCCCCAATATAATCCTTATAGTCACTATTACAGGCCTGGTAGTCGAAAACTCAAGACCCCTAAACCCCAAACCCCAGGCCCTAAACTCTAAACCCTAATATAGGGGCTTAAATAAATACTCATACTATTCGGAGGGTTCCTTATTAAAATCATAGTACAGTATACCTTTCAAACCCCATTCTAATTATTAAGGCCCCTTAGGCGCTTCCAAGGACAGCGGAGCTTCCAGGAGGCGTGCCGCCCTTCCCCACGGATAACCCAAATGTCATCGTCTGGCCCACCTACGACACGTGCGCCTCCACTTTGGGGCTCAGGGTTTAGGATCGAGCTTGCGTGATGCGGTGTAACTTCACACGGAACCAGCTTGGATGCAGCCTAAAACTTAAATAAATGGTTCAACCAGAAGGCGGAGAAGTGTAGGCCTCGGCAATCATGAATCATGACTTTGAGGGAGTTTCTAGCATCAGGCTAGAGCTGCTGGGTGTTGGGGTCTATAGAGGTGGTTGTCAAAATTACGATCCCTTTTTGGGTCCTTAGTAGAAAGCGGCACCTAATATTTAGGATACCCAAAAAGGGGCCCTAATTTCGACAACTGCGCAAAGGGATGAAAGATGTGCGCAGGTCTTGTCCACACACTGGTGGGTTTCTCCCGAAGCCGCCTTCGCAAAGAGCTCTCAACCATCGAAACCCTAAAGAATACTGTCGGGGCCTTAATATTTAGAATCGGGTTTTGTAAATATCCCCCAAACCCTTATTTCAATTATTAAGGCCCGGAAATTACCCTAAACTCGGAACCGGAACCTGTGGCGCGAGCCAATGTCCCGCACTAGGCCCTACAGCTTCTGCTGAACTGTCTGGCGCTTTGTAGCGGATGGGGGAATGGATCCCTATGATAGTCCCTTGAGGGTCCCGTATCGTAGTCCCCATAACCCATTCTCCCATTCCCTACGAAGAACAAGACAGTCTACTAAGAACCCTAAACGCCTATAGTATAACCCTTATAGTAACCCTTATAGTATCAGTTTGAAGGTACATGGCGGGTGAAGCCTACAAGCTGCGAACTCTTATAGAGGCCTCGAGGGCTGCGTGGGACCTACAGCTGCTGGAATTAGCAGCTGAAAGGTTTAGGGTTTTGGGTTTAGGGTCGAGGGCTGAAAGATTAGCTTTACTTACTTCAAGCTACCATAAAAACCTGCCTATCATAAGCTCGTATTCTAGACCTTATTCTAGCGTTCATACGGATATCATGTAGAACGGGCTCTGCGCATGATCTCACTTGAATCTCCATTCCGAAGAGTTGGAGCCGGAAGAGACCGAAAGTCTGCAACCCAAAGCCCACACGATCCTACGGCCCAGATGGATCCAGGATTGAAGCTACATCTATCTTACTCCACATGAATTCTCAAGCTCGAGCATTTCAGATTTTTGGGTTTTGTTCTTTAAGCTGGAGTTTAGGGCTTGCTTTGCAGTTGATGATTTCTGGTCCAGGGCTTTCTTTTCGGGTTGCGGCCAGGATCGAGGGTCGGCATGACGGCACTACAAGTACCCTAAACCCTGAATCCAACTTTCTTGTATTATGTTGGGTTTTAAAGGTAACTCCAGAAAGTTGGAATATGGTTTCAGGGTAGGATACCCTATAATTTACCATAAACTGTTTAGGATAATCATATTCCAACTTTCTGGCTTTTACTGTACTGGGGTTTTAAAGTCTTTGCGCTAGGGTTTGCTGGTCTGGTCTCTGGAGCCCTCCAAACTTAATCAAGCTTGACTAGGACCTAGAGTAGGCCCTTATGCCCTTTTTTTAGGGTTCAGGTTCCCTTATAAGCCCCTTTAAGCCAAAAAGGGCGCCCTTTTTATTCCTAGGTTACTCTTGGGTCTAGTTGAACTCGAAGCCCTGAATTCCAGCGATGTATGAACCCTGTGTCTCAAGCCTGTAGCACCAACCCCCAAGTCTTGCTTGGAGGTTCATGGGTAGTTATAAATGGGGTTATAAGTCCCTAATATAGTATAGGTTAAAGCCCAAGTCATCCTACTTATAACCCGACTTATCACTACCCATAAACCTCCAAGTACACCGTATCAGCAGGTTCCGGCCTACCCTCACGTGCAGAGTCCACAGGCCCAGCTTTGGCCGGCTTTTGTTTGCTTGGCCTCTGCAAGAGGGGCCTTAAGATAGGGGCCTTCATAATTGGAATCGGGTGGGGGTATATGATACTTAGTAAATAGTAAGGAACCACCAAAATAGCAGAGGTAATCATTTAGGCCCATCTCGTATCAGCCTTTAGCATGTAGTTAGTGTTCAGGCTTTGGGGTTCTGGGGTTCGGGGCTTAGGGTCGAGGGTACCCGGAAGCTGCTCTAATCATCCCTGATTTCAAGACCGAAGCCTCGCATGCAGAGCGGCATTGAAGCGCAAACCAACCGAGTCATTTTCAGGCCGGGGACTCCATCTAACTGAAGCATCCTATAGTATATCCTTATGGTAGCCCTTATAGCAACCCTAAACCATAAGCCCTTATAGTAACCCTAAACCCTAAACCCTAAGCCCTTATAGTAACCCTATAGACCCCTTTAAAGGAACCTTAAGGAACCCTATTCTAATCGACCCCTGATCCCGACAAATCTCTGCCCAAAGAAGAAGAGGGCCCTTTCTGAGCGGAATCTCACAAGCTGCAACCCCCAGATTGGTCGCCCTTCCGTACCCACTTGCCTTTAACTCAGCATCCCGCCAGTTATGGTGGTTCGAGTGGGGCTTCAACCAGCCGCTCGTGCTGACGAAGTTCTTCCACCTGAAGCCTCAACCTCCCAAGCGCCAAAGCCCCGAAGCCCTCAAGCCAGCCCAAACCCTCAACTATACCCCAAACCCTACCTAGACCCCCCAACTACCCTCTAATATACCCCAAATACCCACTATTAAGGGCCATAAGGGCTCCATTAAAGGGCCATGGGGGGGGTCCTGGTATTCCCTAAACCCTAAACCCCAAATCCCAAACCTAAGCCCTAGAGAGGGGACCTCCAACCCTAAGCGGCTTGCGTAAGGAGCTCAGCGTTGTCAGGTTAGGGTTTAGGGGTTTAGGGTTTAGCGTTTAGGGTTTAGGGGTTTAGGGTTTAGGGTTTAGGGTTTAGGGGTTTAGGGTTTAGGGTTTAGGGTTTAGGGGTTAGGGTTTAGGGTGCGTCGCCTGGGCTTTTACTACGCCAAAAGCTTCATGTAGCCATACAGTATATACTTCTACCCTAAAGTATCCATATTTGAACCCCTATAAGGCCTATATAAGTATATGGGTACATGGAGCCTTAGGGCACGCCAGCGGGGGACTTAAAGAAGTACGTGTTTAGATTTCCATGGAGGCGTGACGTTGGCTGCCCTACGGCATCTGGTGCTCTTTCCTGGCTTTGAGTCAAGTGCCGAACCAAGCCCCAACTACACCCCAACTCGTAGACTTAAGTCATTAACCTAACATCTCAAGAACCGATGCATCAACACCGGTAAGGGCCCCTCCAACCCAAAACTAGGAACACCTATAGCGCCTGTACGTGCTCGGAAAGCTTCAAAGCCCACAGGAAAACCGAAAAGAGACCCTTATACAACCCATGTTGAAGCCTAAACCGAACCCCGCCACTTAACGCCAAGACCGCAAACGCCTCCTGCCCATACTAAGCCACAAAAGCTCTAAATTCCGAACACCACCCCCAAGTCGCCTGAACCATCCTGAAACCCCCCAAATCCCTCCATTAATCAACACCCCGAACCCGAAACCCTAAACCCCCCAAGCCCCCTGAACCCCAAACTCCAAAGCCCCGATTGAAACCCCTATTTCCCTAAACCCTAACCCCAAAAAACCCTATATAAACCCCCTATTTCTCTAAACCCTAAACCCTAAAACACCTACATAAATCCCCTATTTCCCTAAACCCTCACAACCCAAGACCATCCTAAGCCCTAGACCCCAAACCCATTCAAAACCCACGGCGCCTCGAGCCGAGGACCGGCACAGAGCCGAAGCCCGTGGCCTCGGCTACGCCCGCCAAAACCATCCGAGTGGCAGCCCCGGGGTGAGGGTTTAGGGTTTGTAGGGCTTGAGGTTAGGGTTTAGGGATTGGGTTCAGGGTTTGGGGCTTTGGTTTAGGGTTTTGGGGATTGGGGTTTAGGGTTTAGGGCTGTGTTTTAGGGTTTATTAGCTTAGGGTGTGGAGTCAAGAGGGTTAGTTTAGGGTGCAGAGGGCTCAGGGTTTTGGGCTCAGGGTGTAGAGCTTGAGGTGCAGGGTTTAGGCTTTAGGCATTGCTTTTGAGATCCCCACATACGCATACTACATGCTGCGCCCAAACCGTAGTGTGAGGGGTGGAGAGTCGAAGGTTCAGAGCTTGCCATAGTGAGGTGAACCACGTGATGTTTCCGTTTAGCTCCTATTGAAGCATACAGTAGTAGAATTACAACGAAACCGTAGTCTGTAGAGTTTACGGTTCAGGGCTTGCCATAGCCTGAACTTTAACATGTTTTCTACCCATATAATATAAGCGTACTAATTATACTACATCATACCACCTGGGGGAGGGTTTAATGTCTAGGGCTTGCCACAGCGATCTGGACCGAATAATGTTTCCTGTTTGAAAACGCTCGCTTTTAAAATGCACTTCATCAAAAAGGCGACCCAAACCAACAGTCAACTTATCGCTGGGGCACCCGTCCCATCCCGTGGTTTTTGGGGACAGTTATCAGGAACAACTCTGAAGGGCGAGACATGGCTGTATTCAAAGACCCCAGTTGGTAGTTGCAGCACAGACACCCCCTGGCCGCACTGTGGACTTCTGACTTTCACAGGCAGTTTCAGCAACTTCAGGGGTACTTAGAAATGTTCTAATCTCGAAGCAATGGCCATATCTCCGAGCTTCTGTTCTCTACCGCAGGGATGTGGTGGACCATTCCTGCAGATTCGGTTCGGTGTTGCGTGGACGAAAGGACGAGCTCTGGCTTGGAAACTCCGAGGAAGGGAGGGCGGCTGCTGCCTCCTTGCTGCCAGTGCCGTACTTCTTGGGAGACGCAGAGCCTTGAGGTCGAGGATCTCGGTGGTCCTTGGACGCAAGGCGCAGGAGTGGACCGAGCTTCTCGTGGACGGAGATTCGCATTCACGGGATGATATTTCTTGGGCTTTGCAGAACCTGCGCTCACGTGGCCAGCCGGTGAAGACGACGATTTTCGCCGCACCGGCCCGGCTTCAGAATGGCAAGTGGTATGATTTCGTGCGAGAGCAAGGGCTGCGGTTCCATGGTGTGCAGAGGGCCACGGGTTACAAGGATCCCAACGACGAAGCGATCGTCGACTGCATGAAGAAGCTGGTCATGCTTGCTGGTGTGAGCCGAATAGCTCTGCTAACATCAGACTCTGACTTTCTGCGAGGCGCACAGCATGTTTGCGAGGCTGGCGGGAAAGTCGTGGTGCTGGTGCCCGAATCCCAGACGGGCACACGGAAGACTTACGCCGACGCGGGCCTCGAAGTCGTTCCCATCGTCCGAGCTGGAGCCAGGCAGTGTCCAAGAGTGACTAGGATGCCCAGTAGCACCCTTATTCCCTTTTTGTAGTCCTAGGTTCCTTATAAAGTTACCCAATACCAAAAAGAGAGGCCTTTTTATTCTTAGGTTACTGGGTATCCTAGGTGAAGGCCTATCTTCATTCCGATGGCACGGGATCCCTGGAACGGTGCGAGCCGGTCCAGCCCCCATTTGTTCGAGGGGAAGTGGCCAAGCTGCATACCTTGCTGGAGCAGCTGGGTCTCTGGCAAGGGCCAGATTCAAAACTCTCCACCTGCATTGCCAAGTGCTGGTTCGCCAACTCCCTCGGCACCCTCACCCTCTTCCCCTTTCATTGTGCTATCTCGGAGCTCCACCAAGCACTTTCCGCAGAGACGGGCGACTGCAGAGGAATCTCCTCCCCTCCACTCGCCTTCTTCTTCCCGATCGGCAGCGGCACGCCGACGGCGAAGCAAAAGACTACCTTTGGTGGAAGTCGGGCGGCGAGCATTTTTCAGGGAGGTGGGTGGTTGTCAAAATTAGTGTCCCTTTTGGGGTCTTTATTACAATACGGCGGCACCTATTATTTAGGGTACCCAAAAAGCGCCCTTAATTTTGACAACCACCCAGGTGGCCCCTTCATGCTGCATGATTCGGACTCTTTGCCTTCGAGGCTCCTGAGGAGATTGGGCTACTTCGACGACCACCTGAATGCAGACCTCCGGGAGGCCATGCTGGTTTCTCTGCCATAGTTTTTGCAACATTGTTCGTGTTATGGATACTTTAGCGAAAGAAGGAATAGGAATTCTCGCTTTTTAACATTATCCCAACCCTAAACCCTAAACCCCTGACCCTTAAACCCCTAAGCCCCTAAACCGTAAACCCCTAAACCCCTAAACCCTAAACCCGAAGCCATGGACCAGGTTTTTGCAAACATGCAGGGCAACAAGCGGCTCCTGAGGGAGGCTCGGTCTCTTCCGGACCCTGAGGACCTTTGCACGACAAGTTCTACGGCGGATGATATAAATCCTGCATTACCGTAAGGACCCTAAACTATGGGAATTATGGTATATTCATCATCAACCCTAGCAAATGGAGGCTGTAGCATTAAAGCGGCCCTTAATAAAAAATAGAGCTTTGAGGGCTTCCTTATGATATAACTATAGCATTATAAAGCCCCAATATTAGAGGTTGCGGTTCTCTGAACAAGGCTCGTAGATACGGAGTCCCAAAGCCAGCTACTTACTTCAAACTCTAAACCCTAAACGTGCCTGGACAATGAAACCGGTGCCCTCAATCGTGGTTTGGGCTTCCGATCAGGACGGCATCGGAGAACTCTCGGGCTTGCTACGGCAGGCCTTTGTCTCGAATCTGGGCAGTTGTTAAGCAGCATACCCTATCCGGCAAGCATGATAGATAACAGCGCCGCACTATGGCCATTTTACTTGAGTTCCGCGCAAACGCGATGACACCCCTGCAGCATCCTCCGTCTGGTAACTTCGGCTGTACATGCTATTAACGGAAATCCCAGGAACGCTTGCTCTGGGCACTGGCAACTGCCGCCGAAGGATGTGGACGTGGGGTTGTCGAAAGTCACACAAGTTGAGCGCGCGGAGTCTCTATAGGTCTGTAGGGTGTATATAGCTGCGCTTAGCCCTAAACTTTAAAGCCGAGATCAGAAGGAGTAGCTCAAAGCAACCGCACAGGCAAGAGGGATGCTGGTGAGGAAGTGCTACCTGGAGAGCCCCCATCAAAGCGAGTCCGACGTCCTCGAAACTGGGTCCTTTTAGGATTTTTTGTTTTTGTTCATATAAAGCCCAAGAGAATAGTTAAAATAGTATTTTTATTATGGTTCTAACGGGGGTATAGGCATGGGTATAGAGTTTAGGGGTTAGGGTTTAGGTTTTAGGGGACTGTGGGAGTATGGGAGGTTGAAGATATAGGGGACCCTGGCATGCAGGATCATTAAACCAGGACCCCAAAAAAAGCGAAACTCCCATTGAGTTTCGAGAGCATCACGAGGAAAGTCTTTCTTTCTTACGTAGCCCGTCCCATACTGCTTTTGAATGCAAGCTCCTTGAAAGAACGAAGGAAGCCATGCAACAGTACTCGCGGCGCCATGGGCTGCCCAAGATGAAGACCTACCTGGGGAATGTGTGGCAGCTCCTCCGGAACAAGAACAGTCGAGATCCATCCCGCAGGGAGTCGTTTCTCCTCGGACTCGGTCGTTAAGGAGACGAGGCAGAGAAGCCACTTGTGCTACGTGACTCCGACAAGCTGACAGTCATTGTCCGAAGAATCGACGAGATTGCAGGGGGTGGTCGGGAATACCTATGTGGGAGTGGGTCCTGGGGAGTCTGCAGGTGCAGCTCCCGCTTCGGGTAGAGGTCGCTGCACTGTCGCAAGGCCTGGGGCCAGTCTCTCCACGGCTTTGTTGTCGTCTCTGTGTCTATACGGGATCTTAAAGACAATGCAGAGGACGACGGAGGGCAGGACGAAGAGGACGGTGTCTGGCGCCCACTTTCAGGATTGAGACTGGCACGAGCTTTTGCAGCTTGGCAAAGATCCGTGAAATGGATGCATCGCAGCTTGGAGGATCATGGGACTTAGTAAGTAAGGCTGTAAGTACCTTAATTGAGGTTATAAGTAGTTATAAGTAGAGTTACCTTAATTATAACCCTAGTTACTAAGTCCCATGATCCTTTAAGAGGGACCGAGGCACCGGCAACGCAACCAAGACTGAGCCGGGTACAACTCGTACGTATTGGAGTTCATGCTGGAGTTTGATTGCATGTCCTACAACAAGCGTGCCTGCTGCGAGAGACAGGAATCGGCTGGACGCCACCTGGATTCCAAGATCTGACCGGCAATCCTTTCCCGTGCGATCACCGGACATTGGCAAACAACGTGCAGAGGACACGGCGGAATCTCCACTGGACATGCAGCTCTACACTCGTCGCCATGGCCTGCCAGTCAGGCAATCCTACCTGGAATACGCATGGCAGATTACGGAGCAGGTGAACGCAGCTGATCCAAACCACGGGGAAGTTGCAGGTGTTCTCCGATGTTTTAGCGATTTTTAAGCCCTGCCGTACGTGATTGAAGAAATCCTTCACAGTGAGGAGGGCAGCTGAATGAAGGCGCGCCGCCCGTGTTGGTTTTGCTTGTGTTGTCCGGTATCCAGCAGAATTCCTGCTTCACCCTTCCGAACAGTTCTCCGCAAACTTGTCCTCGATGCTCAGACAGTGTATGAAGTGTTGGGATTTAGAGGTTTGGATTTAGGAGAATGCTTCCAAAGCTTTAGATTGGAAGGCCATTGATTTAGGGACCCTTCGAAGCAAATTTCTTTGAAAGACTGTCTTGCCAGTGTTGTGTTCTTTCATTGCGGGAAAGCACTCTGCGAGACCAGAAACGCAAGAACTTCATTCATAGGATCCACACGTTTCCGAGGCTGCGCCAAAGTATCCTAAACTCCAATGCTTAAGGGTCTTGCCACCTTGTCCCGTCGTTTGAAGCTGGAGAAAGCATGTGGGGTTTAAGACGATGAAACTGAAAGTCCTAGATCCAAAGGCCCCTCCGAAAGTCTCCGGAAGCCTAGAGTATTGGTAGGGGTTTCGCTTTCAGGGGTTAGGAAGCGGGCTTCGTGGTGGCATGTTAGACAAGGGCGCGAAGATTTTATTGCTAGTTGTTTGAAGCTGAAGGTCTTCACTTAGGAGTACTTAGAAGTAATTTTTAATTTTTGGTTATCATAAGCCCTAAGAAACAGCTGAATGGATAATTTTTGCTAGGGTTCTAAGTTCAGTATAGTTCAGGCCTTCCGGGTTCCGTTGGTCGCAGCGTTTCGAGACATGAGGCTCTGAGAAATGGGCGCGTGGAGTCCACTGACATCGTCCGGGGCAAGAACACCACCATCTGGTCGGGGCGCCTCAGAAGGTTGTGGCTCTGACTCACAGCAGTCCCTAAACCCCGAAACCCTGAAACCCTGCACCGCAAGCCCCGAGGTTCAATCCCTAAACCCTAAACCCAAACCCCAAAACCCTAAACCCTAAACCTAAACCCAAAACCCTAAACCCTAAACCCAAACCCAAAACCCTATCCCCTAAGCCCTGACTTCTGTCGCTTTACAGGCCCAAGGCCTGAACTCCAGACTCCCATGGGACTCGATCCCAGACCGAGGAACCTCAAATCAGTTTCGACTCCCATACTCGGAGGATCATGGGCCAGAGTATGTAAGGTTATCAGTTCCACAAATTAGGGTTTAAGTAGAGTTACCCTAATTTTAACGCTACGCCGCCCGCCTCGGCTGTGTAGCGGCAGGGCGAGGGGGCAGTCGATGTTTTTTTATGCTAGGGCGGCCTGTCAAACCCCAACCTTTACACGGTTGTTGATACGAAGTGCGAGGAGAATGGGTAGGGGGGGAGGGGGGGGAGGGGGGGGGGGGGGGAGGGGGGGGGAGGGGGCGAGGGGAGGGGGCCTGGGAGGGGGGGGAGGCCGACAAATCAGGTAAAATGAGGGGAAGCCGGGCAAGGGGGTGGCAAACGAACGCAAAAAACGGGTGTCTCCAAACATTTCGACTGCAGGGAGGAGGATTAGGTGGAGGGTACCTGAGGTAACCCCCAAGACGCCTGGGCCTCTGGCCTCGGCGGATTTTTCCCCTAGTTGCTAAGTCCCATGGTCCTATTTAAGTATTCCTGTAGCCACATCCTTGTGTAACCTGCATTCTGTTAACCACCGCCAGCAGCAGCAACAGTAACGGCAACAGGAACAGCAAGAGCACCAGCAACAGCAGCAGCAGCAGCAGGAGGAGGAGGAGCAGGAGGAGCAGCAGAGGGAGCAGCAGCAACGGCAACGGCAAGGCCAACCGCAAACCGCCACAATCACAACCGTCCCAAAAACATCAGCAGCAACAAACCTTGAAAAACCAAACGAGGCAGAACACCACTAAACCCTAAACTTACCCTCAACCCAAACCCTAAACTTACCCTCAACCCAATCACGGACACTATTTGGCGCTCAGAGCCACCACCCTCGGAGGCTTTACGTGGAGTTGGTGACTCGAGTCGAGCCCGACGGCACTTTGGAGGCCGCATCTTCCAATGTGTTTTTGTAGTGTTCAGGGTTTACCAGGACCCCCCAAGGGCCCTTTAATAGAGTCCTTATGACCCTTAATAGTGGGTATTTGGGGTATATTAGAGGGCACTTGGGGGGTCTTGGTAGGGTTTGAGGTTTAGGGTTTAGGGTTGGGGTTTATTTAGGGTTGAGGGTTGGGGATTTGCGTAGTGTTCGTCAGGGCGTTTATGACTTTGCAGGGTTATGGTGCTTTTGTAGGGGCTTGGGGTTTGGATGCTCGCGATGTTTATGGGTTCATAGGGAGTTTCGGGTTATGGGCAGGCTGCACTTATGGTTCTGCAGGATTTTCTTGCGTGGCTCTCGGTTTAGGGTTCAGGACAAATCGTGAAACTGCCGACCTCTTCTCACCTTGTCCAGTTGTTTGCTTTGTTGGGTTGTGGTTTCTGTTGTAGGGATCTTCAAAGGTTACATATTTGGCGTACGCAAACCGACCAATGGGGACGGAATTTTAATATCCCTTCATCCCAGGCCTTCGCAGGGGAAAGCTCATGAAAAGCTTTGAGCTGTCAGGCTGAGCCCCAAAGCCGAGACAACTTTGTCCAACAAGTCGTTTAGTGTGGAGCACATCGTTGCTTTCCTCGTTCAACTTCAGGAACCTGAACCCCAAACCCCAAACCCCTGAACCATTATTCCGCACCCATAAATAGTGCGATGCCCTGAGTTCCCTTACCTCGACCCCAACGATCACTGCTCAAGCCTGTATTTACCACCCTAGGTTCCCCAATAGGTCTCGTGATTTCTACCGAAATCTCGGAAAAAGCGCACCGGCGCACCCTTCTGACTCAGGTGCTATTGAGGAACCTAGGACTAATCTAACCCTTCAAACCCTTAGCACCGGGGCGCTCAACCCGCAGCTACAAGGGTTTCTTGTTTCGGCTCTTGTTGGGGACTCGGGGACGCACAAAGAACATAAGCATAAGCGTCTTGCACGGATATCCTTACCTTACTGGGCTTCATTATAAAGAAAGTTTGTATGAGATATCCCTATCCTGGTTCTAATCTTTGCTTATGTGCTTTCTTGGAGCCCTATCTTGGGGCTTTAGATGCATCCTGCTCCTAAAAGGTCGTCTTTCCGTACCAGCAGATGGAAATCTTCAGCTATCCGGCAGGGAGCCCCTGTTTTGTGTGGGTCGGTTTAGGGTTTGGGGCCTTGATGTGATCCGAAACCCTGAACCTATAGGTTTAGGGTTACAATTTAGGTCCCAGAGGGTCCATATGCGCTACTATTATGGAATCAGCTTCCCAAAACCATAATAGGGAAGGTCTTTTGGGACCTCAGTCCATAATAGTAGTGTATATGGACCCTCTAGGGGTTGTAGTGTCCTACAGTACGAGACACCCCACTTCGTCATGCTCTTCCTCTGTTGTCGTACTGTATTTTTTCTCGAAAGTACGGACGCACTCGTGTTGCAACATCCGCGCTGTTGCGGAGGCGATGATCAGCTGCCGTTGTGCAAGTGTTCGACTGTCCTGTCACCGGGGGCTTGCATTTTACTGTCTGGTGCTTAGTATGGAATGGGGGAATGGATCCCGGTGGTCCCAAAATTAATAATTCCCAAAAGAAGTCCGCATAACCCATTCCCCCATTCCATACGAAGAACCAGACAGTTTATGGCCTGACTGGCCCGAGGCTCGTCAGGCCCTAGCAGAGTGAAGGTTCGAAGATCCGCAGCAAACAAGAGCCGAAGTCAGCGCAGGTAGGTCGGAATCGAAGCCATGTCGTTTTAGAGGTTGTGGCATGGTTGAGGCCCATGATGTAGAGCAAACTACAAATGGTTCATGTCCTCGACGTAAACGCTCCAAGCCCAACAACAGATTGTTGCTCCAACCTTACCAGCGAAAGTTGGATTCGGCTTCCATGCAAATTCCAAACGGTTTCATCTTTTCCTAAGCCCAAACCTTGAAGCCAAAACGCTTTCCGTCTTGAGGATTCAACATAAATGCTAAATGCCTGAGCTTCAGGGTAGGGTGAAATTGTGTTAGCCTTCCTATGCCCGAGGACTTCAATGAAGATACGCGGTACCTCACAGTGCGCACGGCCACCGCGCTGCCCTGAGACTCGGGGCTTTTGGGGTTTTGGGCTTTGGGATGTTTTTGGCTTCTAGCTTCTTGATGAGTTTAAGTTTAAGCCTAAAGCTCTAGGCCTTAAGCCCTATAATGTTTCTTGAAGGTGGCGGTGCTAGCATGTGGGCCAAGCGACCTTCGTAGCCCTAACTCACGACAACAGCTAGCTTCAACCACTAAGGTTAGTTTACTAGGTAGACCTTTGGGACATTTTGTATTTTCCCTTATTGGGCTTAATAGGACCCTATTTACGAAAATTTTTCAGAGGTTTTAAAGGGCCAATCTAGTTTAAATCACACGAGATCAGGAAATTTAAGCTCTGCTCTTCCTGTAGAGTATCCTTCTAGATGTTTGAGGGAAAGACAAGAGGGCAAAGCCGTGCAACACCCCCAACTCCGCAGACCCTGATGGTACCAGCAGCCCAAACAGCAAGGATCCCAAAAGCCCCAAATAGCCCCAATGCCCAGACCCTCTTCCCTAAACCCTTAAACCCGCCACAGCGTCTTAATTAGGAATTTGTTTTACCGATAGTCCGTTGTAGGGATCCTTGCGTGCATCTCGCCCGGATCGTCCGCAGTGACTGCTTGCATAAACCCTTAAACCCCTAAACACTTCTCTTGGAAATCCTCGTACTGCTCAACAGGAGCTCGGATCTCTTGCCGCCCCCCGTGACCTTCGCTGCAGGCATCGTAGACGTGGGACAAGTCTTGTATATGAGAGTGCTTTACAGGGCTGTTGCAGGTTTTGCATGGCTTTATAGAGTATTTCGAAGGGGACATAAATAGGTGGGCACATACATACCTACTACTATCTTTTAGTTAATATAGGGGCCTTCATGTTTATGGGGCCTGAATAATTACCTATACTATTTTGGGGGGTTTCTTATAGTACAGTATTCATATGCACCGGACCCAAACCGTGTTTTAATCATTACGGGGTTGTGCGTGGATCCCGGCCCATTTTTCATGCCCATCCCGACGCCGAGCGGCATTGCCGGCTTTCAGGTCGAAACCGCAGGAGGGCAAGCTGGGAGTTTCAAGCACCAAGGGACCCTGACACAGACTTCAAGATGATAAAGTCGTAAAGTGACCTCTAAGGCTTTAAATTCAGAGCCACCCCCGGCCAGGCTTCAAGAACGATCAAAGCAGAAAGCCCTAAACCCTAAACCCTCAACCCCTAAACCCTAAACCCCTAAACCCTAAACCCCTAAACCCTCAACCCCTAAAGCCCTAAACCTTAAACCCCTAAACCCTGAACCCCTAAGCCCGCATCTTTGCTCTGCTGGTAGGTGGATCTGGTTCATCGGGGCTCTCGAGAAGGTGAGCTTGACTTGTGTTGGCTTTGGTAGGGTTCCTATAAGGGTTCCTTTAAAGGGCTCTATAGGGGTTTTATAGGGTTTAAAGGGTATATATAGGGGTCCAAGTACCCAAATAGTACGTTAAGGTTCCAAAGCACCCAATAATTAAGTACTCGGGTTCAGGATAGTAGTTACTTAGGTCACCATTTTATACAAGTATATGATAACTAGGTACTGGGAACCTTGTGGTAAGGCTTCGATTCAAAGTCTCCAGCTTGTAAGACTCAGGTTTGGGGCTTTAAGGTTTTGGGTTTTGGAGGCACCTTGCTGTGTCCGGGTGAGCAACGACAAGCTGTTGCTTATGACGACAGTTACGATGAAGGCGATTGCATTGGGCTGATTGCGTATGAGCAGATCCACAGATGTTTTGCATGCAGTTCGGCTCGGTTTTGTGCACACTTTTCCCTGAAAATGGCCCCTCCTCACACACTCGGAAGATCATACGGCCACAGCATGTCATTGGGGTTGGGTTTCATCCTTCATAACAGGTATTGGGGGCCACCGGCACAGATGGTCTCTTGCGGATCAGGTTTCTTGCATCCGATCCTCTTAACCCCAGAATCCTAGACCCTACAGGTCACCAAGCCCGAAAAAGTAAGGGTTTGTAGGATGCAGCCGTTGAGGCGTTTGGCTGTAAAGGTTTTTTTTTGGTCGCGGCTAAGCCTCCAACGTAACAACACACCCAAAGCCAAACACCCAATCCCGTCCTTCTCTGATCCTCGAACCCCTAAACCCTAACCCTAAACTCCAGATTACATGTGCCCCCGGCAAACTGTAAACCATTAGACCTTAGACCCTGTCCTCCAAATTCCTTGATTGCCCATGACCCGATGAATCTCGTAAAATCCAAGCTATCCCCAAGGTTTTCAATATTTGCCCTTAAACCCGAAGCCCTAAACTCACTTTAAAGCCCTAAAGCGCTTACCCTCAACCCTAAACCCTGAACCCCTAAACCCCTAAACCCCTAAACCCTAAACCCTAAACCCTAAACCCTAAACCCTAAACCCCTAAACCCTAAACCCCCAAAACCCCTAAACCCTAAACCCTAAACCCTAAACCCTAAACCCTAAACCCCTAAACCCCTAAACCCCTAAACCCCTAAACCCTAAACCCCTAAACTCTCCAGATCGGCGACTACCTCGGCACGCCGCTTGGCGAAGTTCGCCTCGAGTTCCGCGCCAACTCTTCGGGCCCGGGCCTTGGCTTAGGTTATAGGATCCTTAAGGGAGGGTGGTTCAAGGGGGGAGGGTATAAGGAATCCTTACTGTAAGGGAACCTTAGGGAGTACTAGGGAGAATTAGGGATCACTAGGCTATATACCCCCCTTGGACCCCCCTCCCTTAAGGATACTACAATTAGGTCATAGGAGGCCAAGGGTTCCTCTAAGGATCCTTCAAGGGATCTATAGGGTTTTAGGGTTTAGGGTTTAGGGCTTAGGGGAGGATCCAAAAAGTAGATTCCTTAAGGGGTGTTCCTATAAAGTACCCTTAGTCTTATGGTCCTTAATAGAATAGTGGGTATTTGGGGTATATTTCAAGGCCTCGAAAAGTAGGATGAAGGTAGGTGGCGTAATAATCCCCCAATTGGGTGGTTGTCATCATTATGGTCCCTTTTTTGGGTACCCTGAATATTAGGTGCTGTGCTATATTAGGGACCCAAAAGGGACCATAATCTTGACAACCACCCAAATAAGAGTCCTCATATAAGGGATCCTTCATCCTACCTACCTTCATCCCGCCTTTTGGGGCCTACAGGTTTTCGGGCCCTTTGCAGTAGGTTCAAAGGGGAAAAAGAGGGACCCTTAATGGGAACCCCTGCCCTATGATGGGCTATATAATGGGTATATAATTGCTATAATAAGGGTATATATCTAGGGGTCCTTACTACGGGTCCCTCCTTCAACCGTTGGATAGGTGCAGAGTGCTTCCTGTGCCCAGACTCTGACTCCCTACGGCTTTAGGCTTTGGCTTACTTTCCAAGCCTTTGTCGTGGCTGCCATAGAAATATTGTATGGACTTAATAGTATGCTTTTGATTTGTTTGGTTATCCGTCTTACCTCCTTTTTTTAAAGTGCTTTGGGAGCCAGTTTCAGAGTGGAGCTTTGCAGTTTGCGTTTTGTTTGATTTCGTTGGGGATGTGTACTGTGTAGTCAAGTTTTTCGGGGCTTGAGGTTCGTGGTTACAGGTCACAGGGATTACGTAGTTCCCAGGGACTCCAATATCCCGTAATTAAGGGATATACCTTAGAACTTAAATCATATTAGGGATCCTACTATAATTTAAGGTATACTCCTTAATTGAGGGATACTGGAGTCTTTGGGTTTAGGGTTCAGGACGTTTGGGGCTCAGGGTTTTTGAGCTTGTGGCGGCCCGAAGTTTTGGATCCTGAATGCAAGGACCCCAAAAGACCCCTTCAATGGGGGCCTCAATAGTCTAACATCGAGACTTGTTGTGAATGCTAAACCCTAAAGAACCTGAAACCACTAAAGCCCTAGACTCTAAACTTCGTGTGCAGGTAGGGACAGGCAGGTGAGGTGGCGGCTCAAGAATCGCGGTTAGTGGCCGTACACCCGTAAGCCTTTGGGACGACCCTGGGAAGCTTCAAGACATGAATGCAAATCTTTCCGCACAGCCCAGATTTCACAACCCTAAAGCTTAGAGAGAGGACTATTGTGGCGTGGGAAGACAAGCACAAGATAAGCATAGTTTACTTCTTCGCTGCTACCTGTGATGCAGCAGAACAAGCATGCTGTACTTCGAGCGAAACTGCTTATCTATACACGCCACAACAGTCCATTCTGCAAGCTTAACCGCACGAGACACTTGCTGAAGAACGTGCAACTAGTTAGTATGGAAAAAAGCCATCGCACTATCCTCAAGTGTCCTGAATGCGGCGGATCAAAGAGAGGCCGCCGAAATTCAGAAAACCACAAACCTAGCACCGAGAAAAAATCTGAGAGTCCTTTCAGGTTTCAACCCGGGGCTCTACATCTTTGAATTCAATGGGACGAATCCTATTCGTGCCGCGGTGCTCGCTGGCTCGCTTCACTTCGGCGGCATTGGGGGCCACCGAAACAGAAGCTTCCTAAGTTCGGGCTGAGGGCTTAGGGTTAGGGTTTAGGGCGTGGGACTTAGGGCTTAGGGTTTAGGGTTCAGGGCTTAGGGCTTGGGGTTTAGGGTTTAAGGGTTTAAGGCGTAGGGTTTAGGGTTTAGGGCTCTTAGCATCTTACATCTTTGGGCTTTGAGTGCAGAAGGGCCCCCTGAACCCGAAGCTCTAAGCCCTGAATGCTTCCTCCCTGGGCCGGGCCCGCCCGAACTCCTTGACTGCGCTGTCGAAAGCCCTATCTTTTGCGGATCCGGAGGTTCGGATCGAAGAGATGAGAAGAGTTGGTATTGAATTTAGGTTTTCGGCGAAATGGAATCCATGGTCTTGTTGTTTTGTTGAAGAGGGGGGGCGTTGATGGATGTTTCGTCTGGTTTTGGGTTGCCTGCTGCACACTTCGGACACGAACGAGACCCTGGTGCAGAGCTCGCCTGATCCAGTCCGGAAGTTCCTACTATAGGGGCCTTCAATATTTCCTTTCTATTTTGGGGGGGGGTTCCTTTTTCTAATTACAGTATAATTATGGGCCCCAAAACCCTGTTTTGATGATTAAGGCCCCTATAACCTATATATTCAGCTCATGCACCTCTGATGTCTTGAACCCTTACACGCCGAGCCCTCCGAAGCCAGGCGAACCCGCCAGTGCCGACGTCACCCTGCAAATACAAGGCCCCTGGGATCCAAGCTACCCATCATCTGTGTGGTTCTCAGTATCAGCAGGGAATGGGGTTCCTTTAGGGGTTCCTTTAAGGGTTACTATAAGGGTTGTACTATAGGGGTTTAGGGTTCTTAGTAGACTGTCTGGTTCTTAGCAGGGAGTGGGGGAATGGGTTATGGGGACTATTATTGGTGATTATATAGGGACTACTATAGGGATCCATTCCGCCACTCCCTACTAAGCACCAGACAGTCATTAATCATCACAGCAACAAGGGAGAAAGCCACTACGAGTGCTCGTCTAGTGTCCTCGTTGTTCAAAGGTAGTGGTATGAGCAGTAGCAGTATATAGCAGCGGTAGCAGCCCTAAGCGCTAGCAGACATGTGTTGTTTCGCTCAAAAGAGGCGAGTTTTTGTGGAGGCAGTCGAGTGCCCAGGTGAAGCGCCAAGTATCAAGCCTGGGTCCATCTCGGATCGGCGAGTTTCAAGGGTTTTGATTTAGGGGTTAAGGGGTTCAGGGTTTAGGGTTTGGGGTTAGGGTCACGCAGCGGTGACACGTATGGCGGCATGAGGGCGAGATGGTGCGATTCTCAAGAACCTGCAGTACAGCAAAATAGATTCAAGTCTGTTGTACGTGCTGGTACTACACAGTGCTGAGTTCTGCCTTGAACTTTAAGACTCCTAACAACCTGAACCCTGATGCAGTGGCTTGAGGTTCAATCCAGTGCTGCCAAGATGATTCGTGTTCAGGGCTTCAGGTTTCTGCTTCGATTTTTGGGGCCTAGGGTTCTGACTTGGGCTGAGGGTTTAAGTTCAGGACGGTTCCTGAGTTGGTTTCGGTGTTTTGCCTGAATTGGGTCCGATAGCGTTGCTTCAGACGTCCGATCCCAGCGCATCGCCATTTTTAGCAAAGCTGACATCAGTCGATAGATGCCGGTCCGCACAGTAACGGTACTACCGGTACCAGTGAGACAAAATCGTTCTCAAACGAAGGCCACGGAATTTTTAATGATGGTGGGAATCTACATCCGCGGGAGATCGCCAAGAGCCTTTTTAAGCACAGACACTAGAAAGCACCACGAATGCCAACCTACTCGAAACCTGAAAGCCTAAAGCCCTTGAACCTCTATGTGGGTGGTTGTCAAAATTATGGTCCCTGTTTGGGTCCCTATCAGAATACGGCACCTATTATTTAGGGTACCCACAAAGGGGATCTTAATTTTTGACAACTACCCATGGTGGCCCCTGCAGCCCAACAGGGGTGCCTCACTTGGTACAGCAAGATGGAGCCCTACAATCCGGTCCTCTACAATCCGCTGGGGGCTCGGACAAGGGGTTCCTTATTCGGTTTAGGGTTTAGGGTTTAGGGGTTTAGGGTTTAGGGTTTAGGGTTTAGGGGTTTAGGGTTTAGGGTTTAGGTTTTATAATTACAGTATAGTGTGTCCCAAAACCCTATTCTAAATTTTAACTCACCCACATTAGATTTAGGCCAGTGTTGAAGTTTACAATTTGGGCTTACTTGGAGGATCATGGGACGCAGTAAGTATAAAGTAGTTAGAAGTAGAGTTACCCTAATTATAACCCTAGTACTAAGTCTCATGATCCATGATCCTTTAAGTGGGGGCTCGATGGAACTGCCGATTTCTGCGGATGAGATCTTCGGGAGGAGACATGCATGGCCACGAGGAAACCACAAGTAGAGAGTTATAGGGTGCATATGCGGACGTAAGGCTTGCGCAAAAGAAGGGCAGCTACCACCCTACAGCCCGAAAGCAAAGACCACAGAATCCTTGTATGGAGGTCATTCTATAGAAAGGGTGCTGCTGCCGGGTGCTTAGTGACACCTATACTGTAAGCCCTAAGCAGGAATCCCCACATCCCCCGGGTCAGACCGCTGCCCAATGTCGCAACTAATGCCTATCTCGGGTGGTTCTCCTGAAAGGAACTATATATCAAGCTTCATGGCTTGAATACAGGGGTATATGCATGCGGCGCCAACTTTACATCCACGTTGAGCCTTAACGCCCTAAGCTAGGCGCGCAAATACTGCATGCCATACTTTCTAGCGCTGTCTGAGATGATGTTTGCCGCTCCAGCAACTCAGGGGTGCCGGGTACTGGACCCACGAGAACCAGCCCTTGAACCAGTGGCAGACGCAGTATGACTACCGCTCCTCCGGCATCGTTTGAGGGAGGGAAGGTTTCACTAAACCCTAAACCCTAAACCCTATACCTCTCAATTAAGGCATATCCCTTAAATCATATTAGGGCTCTGTATTAGAATTTAAGGTATATTCCTAAATTAAGGGGTATTGGAGTCTCTGGGTTTCCCAAACCCTAAATTCCAAGGCCTTAGCCCGAAACTCAGGCAGTAAACCAGTTCTGCTGCCTCTAGGTTGCGACTTAAGTGTCATGGATTCGCATTTTGGCTTTCCTTTCGAGGTCTCTGGGTACAAAGGAAGTGGGGTTTTCGGGCTCTGGCTGCAAGAAGTTTTGGGCTCAGATCTCTCAGCCCGAAATGAGAGGCCGGACAAAGCTTAATACTAGAAGCCCCTCGCCCCGGTACCATTGTGGTCCCTGTATATTTATTATACTATCGTAAATCCCCGTACCCACGTATCATTGTCAAACCCCCTAAAGTAAAAGCCAGAAAGTTGGAATATGATTATCCGAAGCCCTTTGTGGTAAATTATAAGGTATCCTACCATTAATCCATATTCCAACTTTCTGGAGTTCTTAAACCCCTAGACCCTGGCCCTAAGGCCTGAAGCCCCCATCTTGCGCCGATGCCTGCACAGGAACCACGATCCCCACCCACCAGATCGCCAATCCAATGAAGATCGCCTCAGTGGCAACTTGGCGCGAAAGCTTTGATGATAAGATTTTCAGTTTGGCTTTAGAGGGTCTGAATCCCTTCGAGAAGGAAGAAGTTCGAAAACAGGGTCTGCGTGACGTCCTGCCTCGCACCCTTATCGCTCAAGTTGGATTGGGATTGGCAGGTGTAGGTCTCAGGGCCCACGGAACCGCTCATGAAACCTTTTCGACCCTTACAACACCGCCCGGAGCCCTTGCTAAATTCTTAATCATAATACCGTATAAAGTCCTTACAAACCGAAAACAAAATCTGTATAAGACTCCTCAAACAGCCGCCATTCTTTTAGGATGTCAATATAACCCCTTTGGGTGGATTAGTATTGAGGGTTCGTCAGATACCGTACTCCCAGAGTGGCCGCATACGATTTGCCCGAACTCGACTTCGCCCTGGACCAAGCGTTCTGCAAGAGAAAGCGAACCTTGTTTCAAAAGCTAGGTCCGACTTGCCAAGGGCCTCTTGCTCATATTTTGCTCATATTCTCAGATCTGTAAGAATTACAGTTTTCTATAACTACAATAGCTAGATATGTCTGTAATAACTTTAACTGTAGTAACTATATGAGACACTGTAACTACTATAATTACCCTGAGCCTCTGAGCATCAACTATACATTTTCGTCAAGACTGACCGGTCGATTCCAGAGGGGTGGTTCAGACTCGGGTTCTGCACAACTCTGGGCCACCTTGCAAAACATGAATCTCAGACCTCATTGTTTAGGGTTTAGGGTTAGGGTTTAGGGTTTAGGCAACTGCCCGTTTAGGGGTTTCAGGTTTGGGGTTTAAGGTTTATTTAGGGTTGGGGACCCTACTTGCAATTCTACTAAACCTCCATCCGCGGACTCGCAATCACAAAGCTACAGCATCACGCCCTAATCCTGAAGCCCCTAAACCTCTTAAAGCGTACGCAAAGCCTACAAACCTTGAGGGCGTTTCTTCATGTAAGCCTTAACCCCCCGAAGTAGGTAGAATAATGGCCCAATACCTACAAAAGGCCATTATTCTACATACTTCGGGGGTCCTTATTATAATACGGCACCTAATATTTGGGGTACCCAAAAAGGGACCATGATTTTGACAACCACCCAGGTAAACCTTACCCTGGACGATCGCCTTCATTGCGGGCGCGATGATCGACCGTTGCGGCGGAGTGCAGGGGCCCTGGGCTGCCCTTTTTGAAGATTCCGAGTCTCCTACTCAGAAACTCCAATACTTGGAAGGGCAGGGGACTTAGTAAGTAGGTTATAAGTAGAGTTAGAAGTACCCTAAATGGAGTTACCCCAATTATAACCCTACTTATGAACGACTTACTAAGTCCCCTGCCCTTCCAAGTATCCCTTAATTAAGGAATATTCCTTAAATCATATTAGGGATCCTATACTATAATTTAAGGTATTTTCTTTAATTTAGGGATATTGGAGTCTCTCGGTAGGTAGTATTAGGGAGACCCATGATTGGGGACCCTTCTTAATCCCACTTCTGGCTCGTTTAAAAAGGGACATTCCCAGAGAGCCCAATACCCCTTAATTAACGAATATGGCTTAAATTATATAGGGCTTCATATTATGATTTAAGCTATATTCCTTAATTAAGGGGTATTGGGCTCTCTGAGTTATTGAGAGGGTGTATATCCCCAAGCGTTCCCCTGCTCCTAACTCCTACTACATAATGTTTGTGTAAGGGCTTGTGCAAGGGTTTCCACAAGTGATCCTGTCGGGGCTACTAGGGGGGTTCCTGCCTCTAAGGCTAAGGGTTACAACAAGGGTTGCCACATAAGTTCGGAAGGAGTTTTGACAGTGCTGCATGTATCCTGAAGGTTTCGGATTTTCGGGGGGAGGGTTCTAGGGCTTTGGACTGCAGGGTTACGGGTTTTGCAGCTCGAACTTCGAGGGCTTGCAGAAGGTGAGGCGCTTCAAGTGCAGGTCGAGTTAGGATGCAGATAGGGCTTTTGTAAGCATTGCTTCTGAAGGTGCACCAACGACAAGGGAGACACACTGGAAGCTTTCAAGGCTTTTTGGTATCCATGAGGGCCTTCGAGACTCATGACCACTAGATTTGTTGACAGTCTTTCCCTGCTGCTTCCGTGTTTGCACCAAAACCCTAAACGGTAAACCCTACACCCTAAATCCTAAACCCTAAATCTGCAACCCTGTCCTTCCAACTGGCTCCACCTACCAGGTATTCCGACTGTAGCAAGAAGGAAAAGGACCCAGAGTAAGCCCTTATTCCCTTTTTTAGGGTTCAGGTTCCCTTATCAGCCCCTTTAAACCAAAAAGGGCACCCTTTTTATTCCTGGGTTACTCTTGGGTCTAGAGGAAAAGGGCCCTCAAAAAAAAACATCGGCAACCCTGGACCTCAATCCAAAACGTCTCCCGCGCGAAGGCGATTGTGATTGGTTTCTCCTTGAACCGGTACCGCGGAAATGTGGATGAGATATTGCACCTTGACGCGACGTGTTTCAGGTCTTCAGAGTTCAGGCTTGAATGTGGGACTATACCCCTAAAGTTGGAAGCTCCGCATAGTCATAAGCTCACTTTCCTCACATGCCGAAAAAGCTCTGCAGGCCAACCAGTGCTAAACCTGAATAAAGGGCCCCTCCGCAGGCCCTTCATAGTAGGACAGAAGAGCCCTAGCTTTGATAAACCTGCACATTACCCCGGGTCCTTGATAGCCTGGGGCCCCTAAACTTTCAAAGGCACATTGCAACCTATAGAGGCGAAAGCCTCAAAAGCCTGAAACCCTGAAACCCCAAGACAAGAAACCCAAGGCCTCAGAGCCCGCACCATCACCCTAAACCCTACACATGAAACCCTAAACCCCAACCCGTAAATCCTAATACCTGACTTGGAGGTTCATGGGTACGTACAACTAGGGTTATAAGTCCCCTAATATGGGTTATAACCATGTTTATCCTACTTATAGCCCTACTTATAACTACCCATGAACCTCCAAGTAACCCTTACGCCCAGCAATGCTCCTCGGGGTAGAGTATAATATGCCCCAAAAGCCTATTCAAACTACCGAGGCTCCTAGACTAGAACCCCCCCCATAACCTAATCGAACCCCTTAGGAGGACTCACCATAAAGGAGCCTTATACCTAAGTATGAAGGCCTGTGTTAGCTAGAGGCTGGTGTTGCAACATGGGGCACATCATAGTATATACAATTCTATTCCATGTATTTTTTTAGGGTGTAGGGGGTCTGGCTGTATGAATGAGTATCAGGGACGCTATTCCGACGCTGCTACATAGCTGCTTTGTGGGACTGCTGCAGTGAAAAGCTTGCATGGTCAACTCTTAACTCTGCATCTCCAACATTCGAAGCTAAAGAACCGAGCACAGCCCAAACCTGTAGCCATGGAATATGTGCCGGTTGAGGGGTTTCTAGACCCTACGACCCCGTGAACCCGCCCTAAGCCTTCTACCTAAACCATCAACCCTAAACCCTAAACCTGAACCCTAAACCCTGAACCCTAAACCCTGAACCCTGAACCCTAAACCCTGAACCCTGAACCCTAAACCCTGAACCCTGAACCCTAAACCCTGAACCCTGGACCCTGAACCCTGAACCCTGAACCCTGAACCCTGAACCCTGAACCCTAAACTCTGAACCCTAAACCCTAACCCCCTCCTAAACCCTAAACCCGAAGCCTCCTGCCCACGCCCAAAGGCACATTCGAGCACCAATCGGCTGGCTCTTCGACTCGGACTGCACTGTCTGGACAGCGCCGGAAGAGGCGAGAGATTGCTCGAGATTTCAACCTTTGCCGTTACGGGAACCCTAGCAATTGTCTTAGAAGGTTCCTTTAAAGCTACTTTTCAAGGTTCCTTTTGTTGGGGGGTTGGGGTGTAGGGCTTCATTAGGGATGTAGGGCTCACTAAACTCAGGGTTCAAGTTCTAATTTTGACTGATGCTCAAGAGTTGGCCTTTGGTGTGGTGGACCAAGGGATTCCAACACGCATTTAAAAATCTTGCAGCAAGTATAGTAGGGGTCAGTGGGAAGTGACCCTGAAGCAGTGGATATTGAACCAAACTGAAGATTGAGAGCAATGTGCCATATGGGGCCGAAATACCCATACTGTCTTGGGGGATCCTTATTACAATTATAGTACTATGGGCCCCAGAACCCTATTCTTACCCTTTTCGGTCCCTGTTTTTGTCGTATAATACGGGTCCGTTCGCCCTCAACTTCGAAGCCCCAGGTCTATCCGCCACCGGCCGAAATGCCTCTTCCCGAGCGTTTGGCATGGTGGGTTCGAGGGCTTCGGGCTTTCCAGCACCTTCCAGGTGTTTTCCCACGGGCTTGGGATTAGGCGTTCAGGCCACCCGCTGAATCTCCAATTCTGCCCGACGGCCTCGCTAGTGTACTAGGCATACAGAGTTTAGGCTTCAGGCAAGATGGTTAAGTGTGGTAGGCATGAAGGTTTCAGGTTCTGGATGCTGCAGTACAGGGGCCCAAGGCTTAGCTTTAAAGGTGTAAGCTTCAGTTTTTTTTGTTTAGTGGTCTCTGGGTCCGAGCTTCTGTGGTCTCAGGGTTTAAGTTGAGTCGATCTTTCGAGTGCAGGCTTCTGGGTTTAGGGTGTTGAGTCCGTACATCGGGCCTGAATCTGAAAGATTCCCTCATCGGTTTAGGGTTTAGGGTTTAGGGCTTAGGGCCCTGTGTACCATCCCGGTTCTTACCGGCTCAGGGTTTAGGGTAACTTACAGGTTCATATTCGGGAGTTGAGGGAAACCCTGTCTAGTGAACTTGCCAAGCTGCCGTAGCAGATTCGACGAAACCTTGTTCTCGAGGATGTAGACTTTTTCATTGCGTACTCCGTCAGTTTGCCAGAAAGTAATCTCCAATCAAGCCCGCTTGGTCTACTGAAGTCATGGCCCCACATGTAAAGCAGTGACATGTCTGGGGAGGACCATGCCAAGCTGGCGGCGTTGTCTTAGGTTGAGCTGTTGGCCCATGTTCCCTCCACCAACACAAGTAAGGGGAAGCACCCTGGCGGACAGGAAGCAGTCACGGAACACCCATCACAGTCGGGCCGGTGCTAAATGGAAAGAAAGGTTCTGCAGTGTGAGCCCACGGCATTGGTGCAAAAGACGTGCTACAGACAGCTTCTCAACAGTTTCGGCTCGCTGCATTGGCGACCTATCTGCAATTGACATGAAATGGCCCACGTGCTAAATCATTTCTTTCACAACCGGAGGAGGAACGGAAAAATCAGCAGGATGGGCAGCCTTAACCCCCAAACCCTAAACCCCTAAGCCCTGAGCTTCTAGACGGCCTAAACCCTATGAGGTTCATGGAGCTCCTAAACTCAAAGCAAGCGCAGAACCCTGAACTCCTGGAGCACAACAACCGAAGTCGGAAACCCGGAAGCCGCAAAGCGTTCCAGAAAAGACCCGAAATCCCAAATCTGAGGTAGTTCTTCAACAACCCTTTCTCCGGATCCTAAACCCTAAACCCTAATTCCTATCATTCCTAAACCCTAAACCGCCCGACTCTAGGCCAGCCACGATTGCGCTGCTGAACAACACCCCCGAGTTGCCAGGGGCCTTGGATGCCTTAGATCAGCGGTCTTTGCTATCTTGCTAGGGGCCGCCAGGACCGCCAGGGCTAAACATAGACACCACTGGTGCCTAAGGACTAGTAGGGGCTTTAATAGGGGCTGAAGTCCGGACGAGAAGCCCCGAAGGTACCTTTCAATAAAAGAAGGATAGCTAGGCCGAAGAGAGGATGGTCGGGAGTCTAGAGTCTTGCTAGGGTTTTCATGATGGAGTCGAGCAGGCTGTGTCGAAGCCCCAAATAATGGACCTCACATCCTAAATCCCGAAGCTCCAGGCCTCGAGCCCTACAGTGTCCTTAAACTCCAAGGGTACAAGGAGGGACCCTTAATAAGGACCCCTAGGTATATACCCTTAACTTAACCATTATATACCTATTATATAGCCCATTATAGAGTAGGGGTCCCCCTTAAGGGTCTCTCCTTTCCCCTTTGATAAACGCATTATGAAACCCGGATCTCTAAAGACTCCATCGCATCCTTCAGCCCGGTTTGAAGCACAAGTCATCGCAGGCCATAGTTGTGTTCTCACTACCCAAAGTGGGTGCAAATTAATGTAATGAAGGAAATTGCCTGCTCGAACGAAGTGGACGGTGCTTATTATGACCTAGTAGCTGAGTGGATACACTTTACACTACACTTTTTGGGATAATATTACCCACTATAAAGGCCAAAGTGTACACTTTCTGGGGTTTATGAACTCAGCAACTAAGATGAATGTGACTTTGAGGGCGATGAGCGTGGACGATGATGAAAATGAGGAGCACGATGGTGGCGGTGGTGCTGACGACAATTATGACGATCTTGATGCTGGTGTTAGAGTTGATGCACTTGAGTGCTCTGGTGGCGATGGCCATGTATCAGCATAGGATGGTTGAGCAAATGGCAATGACAATCACGATGGTCGAGCCTTGCTGTTGTTGTGACAAACCTATATAGTTTGTGTCGTCACTGATGCGGCATGTACTGATCATGAGCGTGGTTTTGTGATCTGCCGATGCTTTTGCCGACTTTTTGCGGACCAGGCCTGTTTATCCGTGGCCAAACTCGGCGACGATCCTGTCATGTCGAGGGGACGGACACCAGGCAGGTCACGTCTTGTGGGTCTTGTGGGTCCAAGTGTGGGCTTCCTGGCGTGATCCCTAAACCCTAAATTACTAAATCCTGAACCGGTGATACAGGGCTGGGCCAGATATGCATGCCCACTTGCAAGGTTTGGATAGCGTGAGGTTCCGGTTAATTCCTGAAGACGAATACCTCCATCGATGTTTCTTGTGGGAGTCTTTCCGGGCTTTTCGAAGGTCTGGAGGGTTAGGCGGACGTAGGATCAGGGATGCTTCTTCGCAGATTCTGGGGAGCATGCAGAGGTAAAGAACAGCAGAGAGCCCCATGAGCCATCCTCAGAAACCATTATGAAAGCTTGTAGATGTGAAGCACGACCACAAGCAACCTAGTGGAAGACTGCGAAACTTCTGGTTCACGCCTACCGCAACCGAGAAACCCGCTCTCTCCAGGCTTTGCTGACAGTCCGGCGTGGGCTGAGGGAGCAAAGGCTTGCTGAAGAGTGTCTTCATATTCGTCAGGGCTATGGATTGAAATGGCCAGAAAGTAAATTGGCATAATTTGGCTCTAGTTTGAGGACCATGGGACGTAATGCTGAACTTAAAAGCCCAGAGTCGACACAAACAGCAGATCTGATCTGTGCAATATACGTACGTTCGCGTGGATACGGATCAGGTATATAGTATAGGTACAGATGTAGACGGAGTTTGAGACGGAGGTGTGTAGATGTAGATGTCTGCGTGTATGCACACACGCACACAAGCACACAGACATGTTTGTTCTCACTCGCAGGGTCTACCTCTTCCGCATTGAAATCAAGCAGAATCCGGTCGGGTGCTCGAAGCTCCATCCGCTTGTTTAAGGGTTTCGTCGAGGGGTTGGGATGTTAGGCTGAGGCTTTAATTGTGGAATCGGGAACTTTGCAAGTAATCAAACTCAAGCGAAATTAAGAATTCTTGAGCCCAGTGCACAGGTATCGGAATTCCCAAATGCAACCCATTACTACAGCCCTTGCTCCTGAAATGTAATTGGAGGTCGGGTCTTTGAGTTTCTGGTTGGAGGTCCATGGAAGGGGACCCTGGGCCCCACACCGTAATATAGCGGCTCGAAGAGTTAGAACAGGCTGCAGCGGTGTAGCACCGTATCCTTGTGCAGTTTGCTCTCCCTTAAAGGGCATCGGGATGAGTCATCTTCCCTTTCTCTGTCTGACAGCTACTGCAAGCCCCGAATTACCCGCCTGAAGCAGGCTTTCGTCCGGATTCGGGCTTAGGGACCGGTGCAAGCACCATACAAGCAGAATATAGCTGCTCAGGATTACCATCCCTTCGGGCTTTCTAGCGAAGGTACAAGGCAAGAGCTAGTCCGATTGTGAAGCCCCTTAAACCCTGAACCCTGAACTTATCCGACTCTAGGCATTAAGGCCGTGTAGTGAAGGACTCTAAACCCTCAGCCCTTTCCAGTCCGTTGGGGTGTTTGGGTTTTGCGGCTTAATCCTTGGGTTTTAGTGGTTAGGGCGTTTGGCTGTAAGGATGGTATAGGGTTTTCTGCAGTGGAGTGTTTAGGGCTAAGGCTTTGAGTTTTTAGGGTTTAGGCCGTTTCAGTTTTTGGTTTTGGGCTTTCGGCTTGGAGGGTTTACGGAATTACGGGCTACTTCGGGGTTTAAGTTTGGCTTCAGGGTGTCAGGACTGGTGTTTGGACGCGTGGTTTTCGGGTTTCTGGGATTTGAGTTTGGGCTTTGGGCATCGGGTTCAGGGCATGGGGATTTCAGATTTCAAGCTAACCTTCCTAAACCATAAGCCTAGACCTAACACACCGACCACAAACGAAACCCTTAAACCGACATGTCTGGGTAGTTCTCCAAATTAGCGTCCCTTTTTGGATCCCTGAGTACCCTTGAAGGAACCCTTGAACCCTGAACCCTAACCCCAAGCCCATGGAGGCCACCACGCCGATCAGCAATACCTGGTCATTGACTTTCGGCGATGAGTCCTCTGGCGCCATGCCGGGATTCCCCGTGCGGGGGCTCGGGGGCGCGGGTCTGGGAGTGGACGCAACAAGCATATCAATAACAGCAAGGCGGAAATCTTAAGATGAAAGACATTGTACGAACAGTCAGGGCAAAGAAGGGTGTTTGTATAAGAAGCAAGTGTACGAGAATACCGGACCACCTATAACCGGAAACCTTTACAGCCATCAGCCCCAAACCAAAAGCGTGCACGCAAGCAGTACAAGCACTACATGTAGATCCACGAAACGAGAGCCTTAAACCCGGACCCTGAACCCTTCAAAGGAACCCTCAGCCTTAAAGCCTAAACCCTAAGCCCTAAACCCTCAACCCTAAACCCCAAACCTTGAACCCTGAACGCTTCAAAGGAACAACGGCCGTGTACCTTCAGCGCAGCACCTAGGTGTGGACCTTCCCTGGCGTACGAATTGAGCCGGCGCGGATCCGAGAGTCGGGTTCCATTCAGGTTCTATAAGGGGTATACGGTTTCTGTAAGACTTGTGCAGGGGTTTCGGATCTAGGGCATTTAAGCTGCTGCACGGTGTACGGTTTGGGTTTTAGCTCTCCGGTTTGTTGATTCAAGGTTCTGCCGCAACACTGTGTTAGGGTTCAGAGTGCCATGGGCTGAGGCTGTCAGAGTTCAGGTGTTCCTTGTTTGGGTGTGTAGGGTTCGCCTGGATGCAGACAAGCTTCCAAGCGGGCCCCAGAAAAGCCGGATCTTATTCGGGTATGCGGGTATGCTTCTGGTTTGACAACGGTGATATACTGGTTTTAGAAGGTTTTTGGTAGGGTTTTGTACGGGTACTCACGAGGTTTCGTACGGTTTTGATAGTCGTAGAGAAGCCCTGCTTTGTGCTTCAGGGTTTTTAGGGTTTTAGGGTTCAGAGTTTAGGGGTTTAGGGTCTTGGGGTTTAGGTCTTGAGGTCTTGTGGTTTAGGGTCTTAGGGTTTGGGGTCTTAGGGTCCAGGGTTTAGGGTCGTAGGGTTTAGGGTCTTAGGGTTTCGGGTTCAGGGTTTAGGGTGATTTAGGCTTACCCAGAAATGCGGTATTTGGGTCATGAGTATATAGCCGTTTTGCAGGCTAGCATTTTGCTTGGATCAACCTTAAAACCCCAGGCCCTATAAACCCATAGGTTAACCATCCTAAACCAGCCTGAGCCATCCTAAACCCTGAAACCTCAAACCCTAATGTCTTAAACTTCCTTGCTGTAATTCAAGGGAGGCGTCCTGACGAGGTTAATGCTGCCAAACGGAAGAGCCTCGAACAGCAAAAACCCTAAAACCTTAACCCCGACACCCTAAACCCTAGATCCTAAACCCTAAACCCAAAACCCAAAACCCACAACCCCAAACCCTACAAACCCTACAAGGCGAAAACAACCTTGACTCCAGACGAAAGCCTTCACCTCCGAGGTTCTTCTGGCCTGGACGAACAAGTCGAACCCAGTTTCCATGCCGGTCGCAATCTTCTTCGAAACGACGAATTGGCTCTACTACTACGCCCCCGGCTCGGCTTCAACTCCTTGATGGGCCTCTCAGGTTGCGGGTTTGGGGTTTAGGGTCTACTTAGGGTTCAGGAATTCGGTCTTCTGGTAGCGCTAAGTTTTCTAGCAAGAACCTACGGAAGCTTGATGCAAGAAGTCCTCGAAGTTTGGGATCCCCATCTTCGTCAGCAGGATCCCGTTGTCGCCAAGTATGGGAACTTACTCACGACGAAGGATTATAAGGATCAACCCTCAGTGAGAGAACCAACAGACATGCGGACAGGCAAGCACTCAAACACACATAATGCAAGTGCAGTACAGCTGGATTTCTGTTCTACATTAGGGCAGGGTTTTGTGCCAGAGTCGTTAGTAGAACGACTGTTTGATGTTTGGGGAGGTGGCAGGGTTTGTTTGTCTGTCTACTTGCCAAGGACGTGAGGTTCTGGCCCACTGTCTCGGAGCTTGGCTGTGATAACCTACGTCTTCAACCCTCAGAAACTGCTGAAAGACTTAAAGATTTCGCTCTCTGTTGATTGTTCAAGAGGAGGCTGTGAGTGGGACTCGGCCAGGTTGAACCATCGCAGCAGATGGGTAAGCTTGATCTGCTTTGTGTGTGTGCGTTTGTCTTTTGATGCGTGACCTTGGCTTGACCTTGTGATTGAAAACCTTGATTTCTCGTTGAGTCTCAATACCCCAAAACCTACACCCTAAACACCAAGCCCTGGTTAAACAAAGAAACCTTAATAGATGTTGCAGATGGTCAAGAGGAGTGATGTTGGGCTAGGATGCCCAGTAGTACCCTTATTCCCTTTTTGTAGTCCTAGGTTCCTTATCTAGTTACCCAATACCAAAAAGGGAGCCCTTCTTATTCCTACGTAGGTTACTGGGCATCCAAGTGGGTGTTTCCCAGTTGAGGGCCTAGAGGGCCAGTGCCGCGGAGAGGAGGAAAGGGTACATGTCAGCTAAACTTCGAAAGCATGCCATAATATGGGGAAACAGTTACCGATATTATTCCTTCTAAGTTCCTTATCATAAGTATACCCTAAAGGAGCCCAAAGCCTTATTCCAATGATTGAGACCCCCCCCCACATGAAACCCCAAGGTTTGGGCTTGAACCCGGACTCAGAGAGCCCAATACCCCTTAATTGAGGAATATAGCTTAAACCATAATATGAAGCCCTATATAATTTAAGCCATATTCCTTAATTAAGGGGTATTGGGCTTGAACTCGGAAGCCGAAACCGGCTAAGCCACCGACCTCTGGGCCCAGAACCCGGTGACCACGCCCCTGACGGACCTGCCTCCGATCTTGCGGATCGTGATGCCGGCACAGTGCGTGGCCCAGAGGGTCCTTCAAAAATTAGGGGTTTAGGGGTTTTAGGGTTTAGGGTTTGGGGTTTAGGGGTTTAGGGGTTTAGGAGTTCAGGGTTTATAAGGCTTAGGGATGGCGTATCTGAAAATCTGGCAAGCTTAGGTTTTTGGGGTTCTTAATATTACGATTTGTACAGAGATGTCCTGGAAAAGGTAGGATTCTGTGGGTTCGGGTAGGTGCTTGAGATCGCTTGAGGGTTGGAATGTCTGGGGTTTAGGGTTTACGGGTGCAGGGTTCAAACTTTTCTAGTAGGGTTTGCTCCGATCACCAAACTAACTTGCTATACTCGCTGTCCTTAACCCCCGATTATGTGCATATGTTGACCATGATTGCAAGCGTTTCCTTGTCTTGATAGGCCTTGGCATTGCTGCCTGCTTCCTGATTGGCTCGGCTTGGCTTGCAGCTGTATCGGGTCCCGATATGGGTTTTGCATTTCAGGAGTCATGCAAGGCCTGCCTGAAGACGCGGCCAGTAGTAATACGTCAACGCAGAGGCTCCGAAACGGACCTCAGTTCAGTAGAGAGCTCCTGTCATCATGCTTGGACGCAACAATAATACTTTACGTCGCACCCAAGTCTTAGAGGCACGAGCCGCCACCAATCTGCTTGAGGAGGGAGGACATCGGCTCCGACCGCAAACGACAGAATTGCTCCTCCTCCTGCTGCTGGTGCCGCTGCATTTGCTACTGCTGATACTGCCACATGCAGCTAATAATGGTACTACCGCTATTGCCACCGCTGAGTTGTCACCACTTTCCGCCATGGCTCAATAGCTGTTGTCTGGGCAGTCTGCTTGTGTTCTTGATCCCAGTACGACGCACATAGATTTCATTAGTTGTGCAGGCTTGTTGGCATGCCCCACCGTAAACATGTATTTCATTGGGGATTGGAGCATGTGAGTTCTTGACATCGGCTGTGTTGTCAACGAGAAATGATCACCTTTTGGGTGAGGGCAGCAGCAAATGCGTGTGTTCCCCAACGAAGTCGCTGCGAAAATGGCAATCACTACTGGTATGGGCATGCGTGTTGTTCAGCAGCGGTATTGTGACGTGGCTGTTGACGAGGGTTCGAGCAATGAATATCGCCTCATCTTGCATGCCGCTGGTGAAGAATCGCGTTAATTACATCCAAACATGGGAGCGTCAAGGTTCGGCTGTGCAATGTTAGCGAAAACAAAAGCCATACACGAGTTCTACGCCACGGCAGGGGCTAGACTGCTCAGTGGAAGGGCGGGTTTGGGGCAGGGGCGGCTTCCTGGGCGGGCAGAGGCATCATGGTATGTGCTCGTTGGGTGGGAGTATGTCTACGTTTCCGGTGAGGTTATGTTTATTTCCTGTTCAGCCATCAGCTCAGTCTTGCTTTAGTTGCGGGCTACCTACAGCCGAGCTGCTATTCAGCTGTGTGCTAATTAGCTATCATAATTGGCAGTGTATATTCGTTATTTTATGAACAAGTGATGCCGGGCTCTATTTCGACAGTCTTCGGTTGATGGCTGGTAACAAACGACGATGTAGCTAGCTTGCATTTTCTGTCGCAGCTGTTTGTTTGGCTAGAGTTTTGCAACGAGTTGGTTAACTACAACTTGCTGTTGCAATTAAATGGTAGCCGAAGCGTGCCTAGGCTTGGCTAGGACTTAGTAGCACTTAATCAGTAGTTGACACATTGCATGAGTAGTTGCATAGAAACATCACTGCAATTGGGGGTTTTCTACAACTGCAGATTGTGAGGTTCCCCGGGTTTGGGGGATATCCGAACCGTTAGCTGGCTGAAGCTTTATGAGCCTTTGGGCCTCTGGGCATACATATTCGATTGGGCGCAACCCGTACCATGTACACCGAACTACTAAGTACATGAGACTGTCGACACCTCAACCCATGAGTACGAAGATTGCGGTTGCCGGCTACACCAGTACCACAATGCGAAAAGTCAGAGTCAGGTACGAGTTTCTCGTCGCAGCAGACGATCAGGACATGCAGGGCGAGCGTTGTCCCTCGGCCAGCATGGATGGGTGCACCCCGGGGTTGAATGTTTCGTCTGCAACGTTTTCCGGCCTTCGGTGTTTGGGTTTTAGAGTGGCATGCATAGTCAGGAAAGAAAAAATGAGCAGTGCCGTTCCTTTGGCAAGAGTAGTTGGTAAGAACGAACTCCGAACACCACATTCCTAAACCGAAACAGAAACAGATCCGCGCCGCCCGTCTGCAGGTTCCTGAGGCAGATTGGCGACAGGCAAACCTACTCAGTTCTGACTTGGGTCTCAAGGCGCTAGGTTTCGCAACCCGCAAAAAATGCCATCAACTTGCAAGCTTTGGGGAGACAAGCTTCGAAGTGCCAGCCTTAAATCGCTCAGACTCTCGACTTTATGCCTCCCTGAACCCTCAACCTTAAGCCCTAAACCCCTATGTCTCGATGGACCTACCAGGTCCAAATTCATGAGCTTCAACTCGTGTTTTTGGGGCCCAAGGATCGAAACCGCAAGTGACAAGGCTTAAACCTGAACCTTAACCTCTAAGTAGGGCAAAAAAAGGGTAAAATCGCAGGACAACTATGGTTATAACCTATATTGGGGGACTGAGATCCCTGAGTCTCCAAGTAACCCCTAACAACGGCGTCGGCACGAAAAACGAGTCCCCAGATGAGGTTTCTTGAGCATGCAGCAAGAAGGAAGCTGTCGTCTCTGCCGGGAAGCCGAGACGCAATCTTGAAGATCGTGGGTTGAGGGCTGTGCCGAGGCAGTAGGCGCGAATCAAATTGAGAGAATGAACGTTCAGATGTGAGATATGGGTAGTTCCATAAATTCGGATCCCGTTGTGGAGACCCGGCAGAGTAAGTCACTCTCATCAGAAGGAACAATCCGGGTTCTTTGCCCAAGGTATCACCAAATAAGCAGAGAGTTTCTGGCCTAGGCGTTCAGCTGTTCAGTTTTCTGGCAATGACGAGGAGCGAAAAATGCAAGTCGGGGCTGTGAGGATGTTGGGTGTAGATTGCAGTCTAGAGTCTAGGCTTTTCCGGCGCATTAGGAAAGCAAGTTAAGGACGCCGAATCCCGGAAAAAACGTGCCCGGGGAAACTCCAAGTCCGAAGCCCAGAAATACCCCAATGCCTAAACCCTGTACGCTTGAACCTCTGAAAGGTTCAGGGTTTAGTATCTAGTGTTTAGGGTTAAGGGATGTTAGGGGTATTATGAACCCTATAGTAGAAGCCGGAAAGTTGGAACATCATTCTCCTCATGCCCTTCAAGTAAATTGGAAGGATCCTAGCACGAATCCTCCTAAAGTCATGTTCCAACTTCCTGGCTTCTACTATATGCGAGTTTCCGAAAATATGGGACCCAAATATAGTACCCCAAATAGTAGGACCCTTATTATAAGGACCCCAAAATTAGGTACCCCTAATTTGCGGAAACTCCCATATACCCTATTCCTGCTGACCCTGCGCGAGAGAGCCCTGAGGTGGAGTGCCCTTCCAGCCGTCAGAGGCATGGTGCGTGCGAGCGCCCTGACTGCAGTACGCGCTGCAGCCCTCGGATTCGAGGTTAGAGCTGAGGCTTCAGTGGCAGTTTCAGAGAGCAGGGGGACCCTACAACCGACCCGAAGAGATGTGCTTAGGGCCGGGGTTGAGAAAAACAAAGTGGGCCGTGCTTAAAAGTGCTTGTGTACATGGTTTTGCATACATGCATTCATCACCAGCACCACCAGCACCACCACCACCACCACCACCACCACCACCAGCACCACCACCACCACCACCACCACCACCACCAGCACCACCACCACCACCACCACCACCACCACCACCACCACCACCACCACCACCACCACCACCACCACCACCACCACCCACCACCACCACCACCACCACCACCACCACCACCACCACCACCACCACCACCACCACCACCACCACCACCACCACCACCACCACCACCACCACCACCACCACCACCACCACCACCACCACATCCACCACCAGCACCAGCAGCACCACCAGCACCACCAGCACCACCACCAGCACCACCATCACCACCGACATCAACAACTTCATCAAGCAATCCAACTACAACTGCAAGAAGGTTACGAAAAATAAGACGATGAAGAATGATCATAACAGCAAAAACGCCAGTCTGACGCTGATAGGGCCAAACTTATAGTTGCCCTTCAGGTGACAGCACTGGTAGGAATTCTGAACCGAGATCTACGAGACACACCCTTCTCTATCACGCAGGAGTGGAATCGCAAGAATGCTGCGACCATCTACTTCGCCCAGTCGAAGATCATTGAACCTGGATTTCAGTGGCTCAGACCGGTTAGACTTTCTGAAGTTTCGATGGTTGCCGTCATTTGCCGTCAGAATGAGAACTTAGTAGCTGAGTGATTACACTTTACACGTTTTGGCATAATATTACTTACTATAAAACTGAAAGTGTACACTTTTTGGGGCTTATCAACTCAGCAACTAGGAGTAGCTTGCATGTTGGTGGGCGTCAGGTCAATACGGATAGATAGGAATTTTTGAAGGTGGCAGAAAGGCTTCCATGGTTTCGGTAGCGTTGCTCAGGCATATACACATTTTGCACAAAGCGACACACCTAAGGCCCTAAGTCCTGAAACGAAGCAGATGGCATTCCAAGTTCTGGCGCAAGGTAAAGGGAGAGGGGGGACAGCTCCCATTCCCTCATCCCACTTTACCGAATCGGATGATAGTCGGGACAGCTCTTGCTGTTCATTTGACCCCCATATCCTCTACGAAGGAATAAAGGAATATTCCTTCAACTTTGTGGCATCCTTACTTGAGACGCGGAGTTCAGGGACCATCAGCTTCGCCGAGGTACAGCGTCTGGGTGATTGTGACGAACCCGCATTCACCGGATGCGCTGGATGGACCGCCCCGGCCTCGCCAGAGGGTTGAGGGCTTAGGGTCGTCTTCGTCTTGTGGCGGGGGGACTTTATACAGACGGGATCTACTCGTTATGGGGAGTGGCATCAGCACTCGTACTGTGGGACCAGGGAAGGTATTGATGAGCTTTTGTTTGGATGGTAAGGGAGCCAACGTTTGGAGATCTCCACAGATCTTTATGATTTAATCTGAACTGGACAACCTGAAAACTAAACATTAGAGTTTTCATGCAGGCTGTCGCGGGATGAAAGGATCATATACACTGTGTCGGCCGCCTCTGGCAGCAATCGGATTTGCAAGCACGAACCAAGCGATGGTTCTCGACATGTTTAGAGCAAGACAAAGGCAAGTTTCAGCAGGATGCGAACCACTCGACCAGTTGCACCAATTTTCCATGAAGCGGGTGCTGCTGACCACCAAGAGCACTCGCCGTGCCCGCACGGAACACACTAAGTCATTATCAATATGTCATTCGGGTTGGTTAAGGGTTTTGGGTCCTGGCGAGTCATGTAATCACAAATAGCAGGCAGGCATTCTCAATGTTCACCATGTTGGTAATGAGAGGCTTTTCGACTCTGAATCCTGGTGCATGTGGTCTGTTGCACTCAAACCTTTTCAACTTGATGCCACAACCCGACTCCCAAAGCGTGGATGCCCCAAGCGCAGGCGCTTGATATAGGGGATGAAGTACAGAACTTCTTCGGGTTTGCTCTTCTAGCTATAATTTAGCTTGCTCCAACCCTAAACCCCAAAACTAACCATTAAGGCTGTTGTACTTAGAGGATCATGGGACTTAGTAAGTAGGGTCATAAATAAGGTAATTATAGTTATATCTACTTATAACCCCAATTAAGGTACTTATAACCCTACTTACTACGTCCCATGATCCTCCAAGTATTACTTTTATACTTACTGCTGTCCAACTCGACGCTCTGAGGCGCAGCACGTGGGTCATGGAGACCTTCTTCGGGAGGCAGCGCGAGAACCGAAGCTTTTGACATTCAGCCATCCAAAGTCTCGGGTTAAGGGTTTAGGGTTTAGGGCCTAGGATTTAGGGCTGAGGGTTTAGGGTTTAGGGTTTAGGGCTTAGGGCTTAGGGTTTAGGGTCTCGGTCTAGGGTTTAGGGTTTAGGGTTTAGGGTTTAGGGCTTAGGGCTTAGGGTTTAGGGTTTCGGGTCTAGGGTTTGGGCGTCTAGGGTTAAGGGTTCCGGGCTCTAGGCCCATTCCCGAAGTCCCGAAACCCCTAAGCCCAATCCGCACGAAGCCAAGGGACTCCCAAACCCGAAACCCTGAGCTAAACCGAACCCTTTAAACCCCAAACCTATAGTCCCCTTAGGAACTATTTTTTAAATCTTTGTCTCCCTAAACTCTCAACCCCTAAACCCTAAATCCCTAAACCCCTAGACCCCTAAACCCCGAAACGCCTAAACTCCTAAACCCTAAACCCCTAAACCCTAAACCCTAAACCCCCCACACTTTAGCGACCTGTACTAAAGAGGCTTACGTAAAGGGGAGTTTCCGAAAATTGGGGCGGTACCTGGGGGTCCCTTTAAAGGGTTACTATAAGGGATCTATAAGGTTTCTATAATGTGGATTACGGTAGGGAGTTTCCGAAAATTAGGGATACATTATTTTGGGGTCCTTATAATCAGGATCCTACTACTCAGGTACTATATTCGGGTGCCCTATTTTCGGAAACTCCCAAATCATTAGCAACATGATTCCGTATAGGGTTCCTGAGTACTTTAGTACTATGAACGATCCCAAAACCCTGTTCTAATGATTAAGGCCACTACAGTACGCCTGTCACTCAGACGAATTGCTTTTGGGTTCGGGCTAGTTTCTAAATCGTGAACCCTTGACCGTACGCAACCCTAGCCCCTACACTCGATACATCGTTCGTTGGGACCGGGTTTTTGAGGTTTTGTGTTTTAGGGTTTAGGGGTTCCAGGCTTTGTGCATTCGGTCGGGTAATGATGGCCCGCCAATGTGCCATGCACTCACGAAACGCACATCCTAACAGCATGTCCACTCTACACCCGAGTCCCTGAACCCTACAGTCCCTACACCCTGAACTCCTGTTCGTCTTTTGACCTGGAATGCCGCAGGCCGGTTCCCCCAGCTACGATTCCGGAGGGCTACTTTTTGGACTATGTGGTGGCTCCAGGTGGCATTTGGGTCGATGTTTTGCTTGTCCTGCGATTGTTTGAAGTTTTCGGGTCTAGCGGGCTTCTTGGTCAGGTTTCGTTTTCGGTAGACTGGAGGCTCTTAGAGGTGTGCATATCGTTGTGCGTTTTTTTGCTCTTGGGTATTGTGGGAGCCGTTAGAGATGATTTTTCCATTCATGTTTCATTCAACAGGAGTTGGTCTGTTCAAGGCCTCCTCCGGGGCCTGTTGAACCTAGTAGTAGAGTAGGTAACCTGTAACCTTTTTGGGTATAGTCCTTAAAGAATCCCTATATAACCCAAAAAAAGTTAGCCTTTAGCTCCCCATGATACACGACAAGTAGGAAAGTCGACTATGAGGGTGCTTGCCTCAAGCTCGGGGTTGGAGCCTTCGTGGCTCAGGCTCCGGGGTTTGAGGTCTGGTGCGCAACTTGTGCTTAAAGGGTCATGGGACGTAGTAACTAGGGTTCTTATTAGGTTAACTCTACTTCCCACTGCTTATAACCGCAATTAATTTAAGGTACTTATAACATATAACCTTACTTACTAAGTCCCATGATCCTCCACGTGGGATTGTAGGAGATTGATATCAGGATTTACGGCATTGGTTATGAAACAGAAGGAGGTGATAGCACCTCGTCCCTCGCGGCATTTGTTTGCAGGACCTTCCCTAAGCAAATGAAGGATTAGCATCGGAGCTTCAAGCCCGAATAAATCCTCTGTGCTGGCAGTAGCACTGGTACTGTTGGTACTGGTTGTAGGAGTATTCAGTAGTAGCAGTCGTCGTCGTAGTAGTCGTAGTAGTAGTCGTCGTCGTAGTAGTAGTAGTAGTAGTCGTAGTAGTACTGGTACTGGTACTGGTACTAGTACTGGTACTGGTACCGGTGCCGGTACCGGTACCGGTACTGGTACTAGTTGTTGTCGTCGTTGTCGGAGTCTTACCTACCTCGCTGAGGGCATACATTCGTGCACATGTGCCCATTCGTCTCGCCGGGTTGTTGATTGGTGGTTCCGTGTCTTTGTGGTATGTTCACGGTGTTGTCTGAAGAGGCTGCCAACACTTGAGACTTCTTGTGGTGAAAACCTTGAACCCCAAACTCCAAGTCGTACGGAAAAAGGCGCTCAACAAAAGCAACTCTAAGTCGTCTACCCTCATGTACCCATTCCTTGACTAGTCATCTTTTCGACCCCCCCACATCCTTTGGGATAGGACCCATCCCCTGAGTGATTACTGATTAGTCGTTCCCAGAGCCCATCGACCAGACCGTCCCTTAAGCTCCAGAAAGCTTTCACTCCATTCCCTGCTTGCAGGACCATGGTAGTCAGAAGATGTAGAAGGGCTACGCCGCTACGCCCTCATGTAAGCCAGATACACCCCAGGAACCCATGTCTTGCAGCGAGTGGCCGCCTTAACACCAACAGAACCTACTTACCGCTGTAATACGTACAGCTTATACCCTCCAAGCAAAAATCTCAAAAACTGAACCGTAACCCCAAGCCTTGCACCCTGCTTGATAAAACGCAGGCTATCGAGTGTCCGGACTCAGTGAGCTCACTGTGGAAACGCCCGAGGCGATCTTTTGTTGTTAGGGCTCAAGAATTGGAGCCAGGGTTTAGGTTTAGGCAATGGGTTCAGAAGTAGAGTTTCCAAGCACTACAAACTTCAGACCCGTTCATCGAGCAACTTTGTAGCTTTGGGCTTCCATGCGGCACTTCGATGTGACTACGTATGCTCTGCATTTGTTGCCACTGTTTGCGGTTTCCGTGACAGCTGCAACTCTCAGCCGGATAATGAACCTTAGCATCTTCACCACTGGCTTGCAGTTTGCAGTTTTTGTAATGTGTAGCCATTGCGGTAGCTTTAGCATTCATTGTTGTAAACCCAATTGCCTGTATGCCAACATTCAAATGTGTACTAACAGTTTTGGCAGAGGGAACAAAGAGAGACCTCATTGGTTTGTTTTGCTGATGCAGCTAATCCCTGTGCTGCGACAATGACGACGAGGTCGACGAAGCTCTGCTTCCCCGACCACTGTCACTACTATCAGCATACAGCTACTGTGACAGTGAGTTCTATCACCCTGCCAAGGTTACCCCTAGGCTGGAATATCAGTCCTGGCTTCTGAATTCAAAGCGCATCCTCCATTATCATCACATCACCCACGATTTCACAATTCAGGTACATAAGTCGATACCGGCTTCTGTCCGTCGGTTTAGGGTTTTGGGAGCGCAGGCACGGGACGGTGGAAGCTTCGTCGACTGGGTCACCTTCACCATGCCGGGCTCTCGCTGGGGCGTTGAAAGCGTGAACTTCTGGTTATCTAAATCCTAATGGCTCAGCCCGACCTCCCCTAAGCAGCCTATGCCCAAATGCCCAAAACTACTAAGCCCATCAAATCCCCAATCACCCTAGTCGTAAACCTCCGAACCCTTGATTCGTGCTTGACGCCTCTCAGTCAGAAGTAGTGCAGGTCGTGGGTGCTGAGTGCTCTTCCAGTCCCAAGGCATGCCCCGTCGATTTAGGGTTTAGGGTGTAGGGTTCAGGGGTATAGCCAAGCCCGGAACCATGCCGGAAGCAACTCTAAGGTTCTCCTTGTCGTAGAGTAGGCAACCTTGAACCCTTTCTTGGGGTGCTATAAACATCCCCTACATCATCTCAACATACTCTTTCAGGTTAGCCTTTGTATTATAAAATCCCTTTACACTCCCAACATACTCCTAAAGCTTAGCTAGCCTTTAGTTCTTCCGGGCACTAGATAAGTAGGAGACTCCCAGACCCTCACCTGGGTTTGGAGTACCATACTTAGTTTAGGGTTTAGGGTTAAAGGTTTAGGGTGTAGGGTTTAGGGTTAAGGCTTAAGGGTTAAGGGTTTAGGGTTTAGGGTTTAGGGTTAAGGGTTTAGGGTTTAGGGCCATACTTAAATGTTTTTTGGTGCCTGTTCCTTAAAGTAAAAGCCAGAAAGTTGGAATATGGTTTCAGGGTAGGATACCCTATAGTTCACCATAAAGGGGTTAGGATAACCATATTCCAACTTTCTGGCTTTTACCTTAAAGGAACCATTATGAAGTGAAAGTCTATACTTTCTTCTCCCTGGCTACTTCAAAGTCCAGCTTAACCTTTCAGGAGAACCCCTCCCAACTCTCCATCGTGAACCCTCCAGGAAAGGCTGAACATCGGCCCCCCCCAGACTATAAGGGCCTAAATAATTATGGTGGGGTTCCTTATCATACTTATAGTACAATATACACCAAAACCCCTGTTCCAATTATTAAGGCCCCCTACACCCCGAAGTGTCCATGTCCCAGGCCCCAGACTCCGAATGCGATGTTGTCAACTCCTGATGGCCCCAAACAGCGTGCCTCTCCACTAAGGGACATTCCAAGAGTTACACGAGGCTTGAGGCGTCCCGGCCTAAACCCCAGACTCTAATGTAGGGGCCTTGATCATTAGAATAGGGTTGCGGGGTATATGATGTAGTAGGGAGGCCCAACAACCCTATTCTAATGTGAAAGGTTAGAGTAAATCCCAACACCCGAGACCCTTGCCTCCCGAAGCCTAAACCCCGAAACCCTGAGACGCTACACCCAGGAACTTCCCCGATCTTCTGCTTCCCGGGGCCCGGCCCTAAGAAAAAGGGAAAGGCTTGGGTTTAGGGTTGTGGATTCGTGGATTGGTTTAGAGGGTTTAGGTTTAGGGTTTAAGGCTTAGGGTTTAGGTGTCGTGTAGGGTTTAGGAGTTTAGGGTTAAGGGCTCTTTGTGTGGTCTCATAGGGTTGCTACAGGGTTTGCGTCAGAACTTCATATAGTTGTTTTAAAACTGGTACATGTCCGCGGGGGGCGGGGGGGGCGGTCCTGCACAATTGTTAGCCTCGCCCACAGGTGGTCTGAACTATTGGCAGCACTATTTGTTTTTTCTCGATCTTGGGAATGAGGTGTCGTGGGGTTTCATTGTTGAGTCAAAGTGCAGTTTTTGTCTTGCTGTGAGGCCCCTATATTGCAGCCAAGAGGCTTTAGCTTCTAAGGCGCTGATGAAATTCCGCCAAACCAAGTCCACCGAAGCTTCAACCAGCCTTTTGCAAATGCAAGAGCAAAAGCTATACCTTGGGATCCCAAAACCTACTGTTTTAAGGATTATCCCTATAGTCAAGGGGTTTCAACCTGCTATTTCGTAGGGTTTGGGGGATACAGGTAGAGCCCGACACGCAAGGATGAAATGTGGCACTTAGTAAGTAAGGTTACAAGTACCTTAATTTGGGTTATAAGTAGTTATAAGTAGAGTTACCCTAATTACAACCCTAGTTACCAAGTCCCATGATCCTTTAAGTAGAAGAAGCCTCGGAGTGACTATGCAACAGATCCCAGAGTCGTCAAAAGCCACTCCAAGAGAAGACGTAGAGCAGCAAGTAGCGTTGGAAGTAGGGCAACCTCGGTTGGGGTACTTTAGATACCCCAAAACCCGAAGCCCTAGACTTTGGAGCTCTTACCCAGTCCCATGTTCCTTCGAGTCAAGGACCGCATTCTCATTCGCGCGCCCCCGGGCTTCCAGATGTCCTTCCTTCTGCCCGGGTTCGAGCCCGGTGCCTGAAGGGTCAGGGTAAACAGCTTTGAGTTGAGAATTCGGCCCGGGGGTTTGGGGGTTTTATGCATTTAACCGATCCTGATCCTACTTCCTAAACCCTAACAGAGAGCGAGAGAGAGAGAGAGAGAGAGAGAGAGAGAGAGAGAGAGAGAGAGAGAGAGAGAGTGAGAGTGAGTGAGTGAGTGAGTGAGTGAGCGCTTTAAGTTCAGAATTCGCGCCCTCGAGTTTTGGGGGTATTGAGGGATGTAGCCAATCCCACTTCTTAGCCGGAACAGAGCTAAGAGTTTAGGATTGACGTTTCAGTGTTCCGGTTTTGCTAGTAATAGTGGCAGTTATGGTAGTACTAGTAATAAACGGATTAATGAGAAGAAGAAGAAGAATGAGGATGGCCTTGCTGTCGGGGCTGTGGGTGGGAAGGTTGGGTCGGAGGACTTCAAGCTTACACGTCACAGCGTCCCAGGGTTCTCTGGGGTTTAGAGGGTTGCGGGCCTGGGGTTTAGGGTCAAGGGGTTTGGGTTTAGGGGTTGTTTGGGCTTCAGGGGTTTAGGGATGGCTTGGGGTTTAGGGCCTAGGGAAAAAAGCATGAAGCTTGGGATGTAGAGGGTTGAGGGTCAGGGTTCAGGGGTTCGTCTTTAGGATTTGGGGCCCGAATGGTCCAGAGTTCAATTTCACGGGTGGAGACTTTTGGGGTTCAGGGTTTAGGGTTTATGGGGCTTCTGCTTCAAGCATGCACTTCGAGAAAGATCAGACATGTGCCGCAATAGCTTGTGGTACTTACTCTGTCAGGCCAGGAGTCTCAGTTGGCTTTTCCTTGCATGCCTCGAGAGTTGTTCACTTCCTTTTTCCTCCTTCTGCACATACTTTCCCACTTCCTAACTTCATGACATCCCCCAGAAGGAACACAAGCTCAGATCTGACCCCGACGACCCTAAACCCTAAGGCCTAAACCGTAGTGCTTCAGTTCTCAAGTGCCTCAGGCTGGTCGTCCTGTGCTACGGCTTCCGCTGGCTTCCAACAATCTGGCCGCCACCCTTACCTCCTGACGCCGGCACCTGAAGATTCTGGAGAGGGCCTAGCCGTTTAGCGAGCGCCACGCCTTTCACTAGTAAGGCTCGAGATTTTGCAGGTCCGGTACCCCCAGACTTGAGCACTGAACGAAAGCCCCAAACCAAAGCCGCATCCAGCCGCGGTGGTGGTGGTGGTGGTGGTGGTGGTGGTGGTGGTGGTGGTGGCGGTGGTGGTGGTGGTGGTGGCAGTATAGGGGCCTAAATAATTACCAATACTAATTTGCGGTGTTCCCTGTAATAAACCATAGTATAATGGGCGCCAAAACCGTACTCTAATTTAGTAAGGCCCCTACATTAGCGGTGGCGATGGTAGGCGTTCTCGCGGGGCATGAAGCAAGCTTCACATCCTGACGCCTCAAGTCCATAAAGCCGACTCTTCTGCCCTTTTTGGCAGGAGGTTCCTACAAGAAGCACAGGGGTCTGAATGACAATGAGTAATAACATCACCTTACAATGGCCAAAGCGGCTCGCTTCTTACTGCCCCAGTATTCGATAACATTTACTCACCACCTCACAGGCCTCAAGCTTGTTCCCTCCGCATATCACCCTCGATCGCTGACCCCACTGACTTCGAAACTTACAGTACTTGGAAGGGCAGGGGACTTAGTAAGTAGGTTATAAGTAGAGTTATAAGTATCCTAAATGGAGCTACCCTAATTACAACCCTACTTATGAACGACTTACTAAGTCCCCTGCCCTTCCAAGCATCCGCGCACCAAACCCGAAGCGCAGAAAACGCCTCCTTCAGGTGGATCCAGACACGATCCCTCAACACTTGATCCCCATCCGCCCACCGCAACGGCCTCCGGTTCCAGAGGCCCGGGTTCTTCTTACCGTGATTAAAGGGTCTTAGCAGTTAGAACGAGGTTTCGGTTTTGCTATAATTAGTACTTTGTAGTCAAGGAGCGCTCAGAAATGGAATGGTAAATTATTCAGCCCACTAGAGTAGACATTTGGGCTATGATGCAGCGGCGCGTTGAGGTGCTTGCTAGTTTCAGGCACAGCCCAGCTACGGTTCAAGAAAGCACTTGCAGAGCCAGATAGAAATCGGGTCCTACTTGGAAGGGCAGGGGACTTAGTAAGTCGTTCATAAGTAGGGTTATAATTAGGGTAGCTCCATTTAGGATACTTATAACTCTACTTATAACCTACTTACTAAGTCCCCTGCCCTTCCAAGTATCAGATTCAGGGTTCAGGAACCTCGGGTTTAGGGCTTTTCAGCTTGGGCTAGCGATTGAGGGTATCGGAGCCCACATCAGCACTCGAAATCTTCTCTAAAGCGTATACAGTACCTATGGTCAATTTTTTTTGGTTAACCTCGTTTGTATTACCTTATCCTAGCCCAAAGACTTGGTTAACCAAGAAAAGAAACTAGAATGGAGACTACAGGCTATACCTTAGCCTACCAAACCCTACTCTTTTGGTAGGTTCTTGTTATGAACCCTAATATGGAGTTTATAGGGACCCTACAAAAAAGTAGGGTTTGGTGGCTTAAGGTAGGTAGAATGTCTAAGTACTTCCAAGGTAGGTCCTGGCGGGTTGGTCGAGGCATTCAACGAAGGCTTGAGAGACCTTAGGTGGCAAACGAAGCGGGTAAGTTTGTTCCAGAAAGGATGCACTGCGGTCTGGGGTTTAGGGTTTAGGGGGGTTATGAGTATCTAGTTTGGTAAGGCTTCCTTCAGACTACTTCTCGCCTCCAAGAATTTCCATTTCACGATGCCCGTTTCACGATTGCATCCCTGAACCCTTGAAGTCCTATACCCTAAACCCTAAACCCTCCCCTAAAACCCCAACTCCGCAAGAAAGCTGAGAGCCAACATCCTGAAACGACCAGGGCGTCCCTACCTGGGCCAGTGGCAGCTCTGTGCCCCATTGCAGGGTCTTCGGTTGCGGCGGTGAAGCATCATTTTTGTGTTTCTTCTAGTGACGACTTGAGGGTTTTCTGACATTTCAGGTTAGCCCTAAACTCCTAAATTCTAAGCCGTAAGCCCTAAACCCTAAACACCCTAAACAAGGGCTCTCGTGGATCAGGATTCAGGGCATGAGGGCAGGAGCTCAAGGCTATAGGGCCTTCTCTGTGGTTTACGGTTTACGGCTTCTGGCTCAGGGTGTAGGGGCCGGTGTAGGTTTTATTTAGGCAGAGGAGGGGTTGGAGTCTCACTTGGAGGATCATGGGACTTAGTAAGAGGTTATAGGTACCTTAATTGGGGTTATAAGTAGAGTTACCCTAATTGTAACCCTGGTTACTAAGTCCCATGATCCTCTAGGTAGACCCTAAACCCTAAACCCCATAGATCCCTTTAAGGAACCCTTTAGATCCCTTTAAAGAGCCCTTTAAGAACCCTTACGAAGTCCCATGATCCTTCAAGCATAAAAAATTAGTATAGGGATGTCCCATATTACTCCCTTATAATGAAGCCCAATAAGGTAGGATATCCCTATAAAATGCTTATGCTTATGTGCTTTTGGGGTCCCTTACTTCAAGCAGACGTTCAGAGTTTGTGGGTTTCGGCCTTCGGCCCATTTAGGGGTCAGGTTTGAGTTGATCGTCTCTTTTGGAATGGAAGAGCCCGTCGTACGGTTGATGGTATAAATCCTGCATGACCTTAAGGACCCCAAACTATGGGAATTATGGTATATTCCTCATTATGGGTAATGCAGGATTTATATCATCAACAGTATTTCCTAAGAGTTTCAGTAGTGAGTAGTGATGGTTTCTCCGTCGAAGGTGATGGTTTCTACTTCGACGCCATGTCTCGTCGGGCGTTTTACTTTATGATGGCGTAGGTTCTAGAGAGTTTGGATTGACTCGCTGCGACTTTACACCACTCCTAAACCTGCTTTCGGAATCTGCTGCCTCACAGCCCCAAACCCAGAGGCTCCAATACCTCTTAATTAAGGAATATTCCATAAATCTTATTCGGGCCCTTATTATATTCCTTAATTAAGGGGTATTGGAGTCTCTGGGAAGCATCCTAAAGCCCCTAGGTGCTCAAGGGTCCTCTAAGGGATCGGGTTTCCTTTAAGGGCTCCCTTAAGGGGGCCCTTTAAGAGATTAAGGGCATTTTTAAGGGCTCCTTTAAGGGCAGAGTTGACGGGAAGGGGCGGGCCGGGTCAGGGCTCTGGGGTTCCGTGGAGTTTAACATGAGCTCCGGGTGCCTTTGGCTCTGAAAGGCACGCTTTCACGCCTTGCCCTAAACTGGGCACCCTGAAACCTGCTAAACCCCGAAACTCAAACTCCTAAACCTCTGAACATGCTAAACCCCTAAACCCCTAAACCCTGAACCCTGAAACCCTACGCCTTGGAGCCTAGATCCTCAACTATCAGCCCGAACTCGGGCATACTGCCAGGTACTCGAGATCCAGCCGACGAATCTTAGTTCTGAGCTCCAGTGGGCTGCAGATGGCGCTTGGGTGATGAGGCTCCGACATCTATCCGGCACATCCTACACTACAGCAGCTCAACTCTTTGCCCTGATGTTCAAGGGTTTTCGACCTGCCCATCTTGGGCCTGAACCCCGTGAGCGTTGTGTGCTTCAGTTCGGGCCTGTGCCCCTTGACGGGTACACAGAACACCGGCCGAAAACAACGCCTGCCTGGCATGCGCCGACTAATAAATCCAATGCTGCACGATGCTTGCCATTGTAAACCAATCCCCGTTCCATGCTGAGCTTCTAAACGAGTGGAAGTCCTCTGTCGAATCACCCTCGTCAAGTTAGGCAGTATGCACCTAGAAGGGGTTGAGACCCGAATAGCTTCGCCAACCCCAGCATGTTGAAGGATGCCCATCAACTTCACCGCCGCGATCTTGTCAGACTTTGAGCAGTTCTTGGCTTCCTGGCCAGAAAGATGTTTTGTGGAATTTAGGGCTTATAGGGATTAGGGTTTCGGGTTTATTGATTTAGGATTTAGAGTTGGGTCTGGGATTCAGGCTTTGCCCTCTCTACTAGCTGGAGTTGAAAGAAGTCAAATAGTCAACAAATCTGAATGATTAGTGTCGAATTGTTCCTTTCTCTCCCCATTGTGCTTTGCCAAGGTATATCCTACACTGCTGGAAACCCTATGCCAAAGCCCCTAAACCCAACATTGCGCAGGCCCTACATTAGGCAGGGCTGTCTCGGGAATGTCATTCAGCCGTGGGTGTGTGTTTTGGGCTTCCCAGAGCCTCCAATATCCCTTCATTAAGGAATATTCCTTAAATCATATTAGGGATCCTATTATACCGAATCTAATTTAAGGTATTTCCTTAATTAAGGGATATTAGAGTCTCTGGGTTGAAAGCCTCAGAGCTTTATCATGTCTTGGAGACCAGGCTTGGTTCAGGGTTTGGTTTACGGGTTTGGGGTTTTGCGGTTCAAGGGTTTAGGGGTTTGCTCTTCTTCCGGTTCCCCGAACTAGAGGATGTACATCTTTGCGAATCCCTGTTTCACGCAACCTTGCTTTGACCGTAATTAGCAAACAGAGGATTACAGACTTTTGCCTCTCTATGCCCTGCCTCCATTGCCCTCTATGCAGCGTGAATAGCTATTGCGGCGCATGGTTTAGGATCTGGGAGCTTAGGATGGGTGATCCTAAACAAACGCCGAACTGGTGGATGGAGCCACTCAGAGCAATGGTTAGTTACTGCTCAGACCAGAGACAAGCAGACTGAGGGCAAATGGGCTCTACCCACTGCACATTCTGCTGATGCACTGCACTCGCAAAAAGGAAATGGATCAGGATGGACATATCCGGTGAGATTCCGGGTCTCGGTTCAAGATTGCGGAGTTGGGCTCTGATTTATTGGCTTAGGAATTTGGTTTCCCCAAAACCGCTAACCCATTAAGCTGAACCCCAAAAGCCACTTCCAAACCCGGAAATGAAACCCGAAGTCATTGCGATCCCAGTTGCTGATCGAGTCCAATGCCTCGAACTTCAGCAACCTGCCAAGAGCTCAGGGTACCGGTAGCCGTCGTAGAAGTAGTAGTAGCAGCAGCAGCAGCAGCAGCAGCAGCACTAGTAGTACTAGTAGTACCAGTAGTACTAGTAGTACCAGTAGTACTTGTAGTACTCGTAGCAGTAGTCGTGGTGATAGTAGTAGTAGTAGTAGTAGTAGTAGTAGTAGTAGTAGTAGTAGTAGTAGTAGTAGTAGTAGTAGTAGTAGTAATAGTAGTAGTTGTAGTAGTAGTAGCAGTAGTAGTAGTAGTAGCAGCAGCATAGTAGTAGTAGTGTAGTAGTAGTAGTAGTAGTAGTAGTAGTAGTAGTAGTAGTAGTCGTCGTCGTAGTAGTCGTAATCGTGGCAGCAGCAGGGGTAGAAGTAGTATTAGTTGCAGTAGTCGTCGTAGTAGCCAGTGATAAGTAGTAAGGGTAGTAGAACAGAAGTAGTGGTTGGATGGTCGTGGTGGTGGTGGTGGTGGTGGTGGTGGTGGTGGTGGTGGTGGTGGCGGCGGTGGTGTTGGTGTTGGTGTTGGTGTTGGTGTTGGTGTTGGTGTTGGTGTTGGTGTTGGTGGTGTCGGTGGTGTTGGTGGTGGTGGCGGTAATGGTACAGTATGTGGTGCAGCAGTGGTAATTTGACACTGGTATTCTGGTAGTGATAGCAGTCAGGTCGGGCATTCAGGGTTTCAGGCGTTCGTCAAGGGTTGCACTTTTGAGGTCCACCGCACTTAGAGGCTACAAGGGCTGGGGGTTTTTGACTAAAGTCTTTTGTGCGTTGGCCCTTCTGTGATCAGGACAGCGAATGACTACGTTGTTCCGAACGCGTGGCGGCCTCGGTACCAATCCAGGGGTTCAGGGTTTCAGGGTTTAGTAGTTTGGTCGAGCCGCTTCGGATGCTAATTATGTCAGTCTGTGTTCAGGCTTTAACAGCGGCTGTTCTTCGCCTGGCCGTCGATGTGGTGATTCGAGTTTCGGATCCTTCGCCCGACGCATCGAAACGTAACCTGAGACCTGCGAGTAGTTTGGTCATGCTGGTGTGTGGAGGGTTTGGGGGTTTAAGGTTTTCTGGGCTTGATGAACTGTACGGAGCGCGGGTGTGTCAAGACACTATTCTATCTTTCAGGCCCCAATACCAAAACCATATAGTCTGAAACCCGAAGCGAGCCCTTAAAGGAAGCATCAAAGGAACCCTATTCCAGCTATGAAAGCAGCCCCTTAAAGCCCCATTCTAAGGGGAAAAGGAGGGACCCTTAATAAGGACCCCTAGCTAGTATATACCCATTATATAGCCCATTATAGGGCAGGGGCCCCCATTAAGGGTCCCTCTTTTTCCCCTTAAAGCCCCCATAGTCAGCCCTAAAGGGGCTTGACTCTGGCCTCGGCTTTGGCCAGAAGCCGGCCGGAGGGGTGTTTCCCCCTTGATGCGCGGAGGCCCCGAAATGCGAAGCCCTAAACTCCACTTAGCCTAAAGCCGATACCCGAAACCCTCAACTCTAAGCCTCAAACCCCAAACCCCGAACCTCGAAAGAGTCTCCAAAGGCTCTGCCTGAAGGCTCCATAGTAGCTCCTTCTTGTGGTTAAATATTTAAGGTCCTATAAGGTAATCCCCAAAACGAACGACACTGGAGCCTATCAGTAGCCTCTAGTTTTAGACCTGCCTGGGATTCTCAGGGTGGAGCTCATGCAGCGAATCGGATTGCCTGCAGCCCAGCATCGTGGGACAAGAACCCCAATTCAATGGGCTTGGGTTGGAGGGTAACCTGAAACCCTAAACCCTAAATCCTTAAACCCTGTAAACCTGCCAGCCGGAATCCCTCCACGCAAAGCCCAACATGTAAGCCACGTTCCCTCGGATCCTATGTTGCAGTAAGTGGGTCTTGTGTAGGCCGGTGCACGCACAGTAAGTCCCCGAAGCCTGACAACCATAAAGCCGTCATAAATCATGCAAAACGTTAGGAGATGCCACCCTAACACAGTATGCCCTTACTTCTAGACATCTGTTTGTTTTTTCAACTTGTCTTCCATGTTCCTCAAACTGCCGTACGCATGGTTTCTCTTTGTGGTTTAAGCACACTTTCTCAAGGAAGGTCTTGGGCTCTCTGGGTTGAGTGTGTACCTACCCCAGAGGGTCCATTTCTAAAAAGAATGTATATATATATATATATATATCCATATATATATATACACACAAACATACGCACAGACGTACATAAACACATATGTATGTACATCTTTAGTGTATATATATATATATATATATATATACATATACATATATAGGCATATAACATGTGCATATATATATATATATATATATATATGTATTTACTACCCTGTAGCAGCGTGGATTACGAAGTCCTCAAATACCGAGCCTCCTTCAGGCCGTCATGGGCTGTGCCTGCTGCCGCACGGTCCCAGATCCAGACGCAGGGGAACGAGACTGTAAATGCCTGCCACTGAGGACCCGACTTTGGTTGGAGGATCTTTCAAGAGCCCTCCAGGACCCCCAATAGCCCTTTAATAGAGCCCTTATGGTCCTCAATAGTGGTTGTTGGGGTATAACAGAGAGTAGTTGGGTGGTGGTCTACTTGGAGAATCATGGCACTTAGTAAGTAAGTTTATAAGTACCTCAATTGGGGTTATAAGTAGTTATAAGTAGAGTTACCTTGATTATAACCCTACTTGTAGTTCCTTTTTTGTACTCTACTCTACTCTATATACTCTCCATACCATACAGTACTGTACCGCACCATGCCATTCGTTTCCATGCCATGCCGTTCCATGGCAGGCCATGCCATACGATCATATACTACGCCATACTCACCATACTATCCTAGAGTGTAGTACTTAGAAGGTTTTTGAGCTCAGGACTCGAAGGACATATGGGCTGAGAAATGACTAACTAGATGGTTAAGGCTTCAGGGCTCAGAGGTTTCCTAACACCAATACTGAGTCCTCAGATCCTGAAAGTACTCCTGGAGGTCCGCAGCCTCGAACAGATAGTGGGTTCTTAACGCTTAAAGCCCCAGAGACTCCAATATCCCTTAATTAAGGAATATGCCTTAAACTATAGTAGGATCCTTAATATGATTTAAGGTCTATTCCCTAATTAAGGGATATTGGAGTTCCCTTTAAAGCTGAGCTCACGCCAAGGCGAGCACCGAGTACCTGGTGTTACGAAGCCACTGCTTGGACATGTTTGCACAAGATGCAGGCAAACCTCGAACATAAGGGGTAACTTATTTTGGCGTCCTGGTAATGCGGATCCTACTATTTGGGGTACCATATTAGGGTCCCCAAGTTTCGGAATCTGCCATATGTCATTTGGGGACGTTGCTCGGGGGTGCTTTCGTCGTCGGATTCCTGAGGGCTTTGCTGCTTGATGTGAAGTGATTGTTGTCAACTCTGGGAATTGCAGGACATTCGGTTGATGATATAAATCCTGCATTACCCATAATAAGGAATATAGCATAGTTGCCATGGTTTAGGGTCCTTGAGGTAGTGCAGGATTTATATCCCTAAACCCTAAACCCCTATAGATCCCTTAAAAGAGCCCCTTATAGGTACCCCCATAGATCCCTTTAAAGGAACCCGAGGATTTATATCATCAACCGTTTCTCGGGTTGGAGATCGGCTGCGCGTCGCAGGTTTTTTTGGTACCGCGGAGTCCATGTGGAGGGGATGGGTTTGCTTCTACTTAAAGGATCATGGGACTTAGTAACTAGGGTTCTTAAAGGGCTCCTTTAAAGGGATCTATAGGGTTCCTTAAAGGGATCTATGAGGTTTAGGGTTTAGGGTCTACTTAAAGGATCATGGGACTTAGTAACTAGGGTTATAATTAGGGTAACTCTACTTATAACTACTTATAACCCCAATTAAGGTACTTATAACCTTACTTACTATGTCCCATGATCCTCCAAGTAGGATCTCGTGTTCATGTTCGAGGCCGAGGGCTCTTTCCTTTTTCAGGCACTCCGCCGAAAACTCTACACTTTGGAGCCCGAAGCCCTAAACTCAAGTGAGTCAGTCAACAACTAAGCTCTATGCAGGGATTGTTTCAGGCTCCATGTTGGTCTTGCGAAGTATAAGTTGTCTTCAAAACAGTAGCAAGACGGAAGCCCTCCGATATCTCCCTCGACAGTTCTGCTACGTAGCGCTGGGCCATCCTGTTGCTTCCTTCGTCGGTTGGGGTGGGCTAGCCAGGCTCAATGACACCACAACCTCATGGGTAGTTCTGCAGATTAGGGGTCCTTTTTGGAGTCCCTATGAAAAGGATCTTAGTATGGACCCTAATTTAGACAACAACCTATATGTTTTCGCCCTGAACCCTTTCAAGCTGCTCCTGTGCGCAGCCGGGAACTACTTGAACGACGACTTCAACTGGTCCAAGGCAGAGTGTGATTGGGATGAAACCTGAACCCTACTTAAAGGATCCTGGGACTTAGTAACTAGGGTTCTAATTAAGGCAACTCTACTTAAGACTACATATATCCCCAATTGAGGTACTTATAACCTTACTTACTAAGTCCCATGATCCTCCAAGTAAACCCTGCGCGCAACCTCAACCCTACCTGCGGTTCGCACGCGGGTCGCCCTGTACTCGTGGCCAAAACCAAAGTAAAAGCCACAGTTCCAGGCCCCGGTTTAGGGGTTTAGGGTTTAGGGTTTAGGGTTTAGGGATCAAGCCCTAAAGTCTCAAATCTTAACCATAGGCACCAAGCCCTAACTCATTTGGGTTTGTCTGTAGAGCCTTAGGGAGATTTGCATCTAGAGACTGGCAGGACTCTAATTGTAGAGGAGCTTCAGATCTTCGCAACAGCTTCAACGTCCTCTTTGACCGAGGAGTATACCTTAGGTTATAGACGGATGCCTACTACAGTTCCATGTAAAGCCTTCATCGGGTGATGTGGGCGTCTTACTTTCAAAAAGGCACCCTTAAGGGACCCTTGACCCCCGAGGTTCTCCCAAACCCATATCCCCAAGCTCGGAGTCCAATAGTCAAAAGGATTCACAGGGGATTCGTAGTAGTCTTAAGGTCTCAATTGTCTCTTAGGGGTACTTAGAATAATTTTTTAAGTTTTGGTCATTGTAATCCCTAAGAAACAGCTTAAATTATAATTTTTGCTAGGGTTCTAAGTTCAGTATAGCAATTTGGAGGTGTAGGTTGCGGGACGTGGGGTGAAGGGTTTAGGCTTTCGAAGACAGCTGTCTGAAGGCCTGGGGGTTTAAGGTTTCGGGCGTTGGACATGGAAATTCAGAAAGTAGCTCAGCATGGGGCCCAAACCCTGAACCCTAAACTCCAAACCCTAAACCCTAGATAAACAAAAAGCACCTAAAAAACAAAAAGGAACAAACAAGCCTTAAATAGACCCTAAACTGTTTACCTCAAACCCTGAAGCGGTTACGGTCGTCTGGATGCCTTTGTTCAACAGACACGAGGGTTCAAGCAGAAAAAGATGGCTGTAGCAGCGCGCCTTGGGTTTAGGAAGCCCCTTGGGCCCCACCAGGACTTTTAGGGGGTTTAGGGGGGGTTTAGGGTTTAGGGTTCAGGGTTTAGGGTTTAGGGTTTAGGGGACCTGTGCCACTTGGAGGTTCACGGGTAGTTATACGTGGGGTCGTAACTCCCCTAATATAGGGTTTAGGGTTTAGGGTTCACGGATTTAAAGTTCAGGGTTATAAATGGGGTTATACGGCGTCTGATATAGGTTGCAACCAGAGTTCTCCAACTTATGACCTTACTGATAACTACCCATGAACCTCCAAGTAGACCCTAAACCCTAAACCCTCTGAGAATCCCAAGGGCCCTTAAAGGAATCATTAGAACTACCCATGAATCAACCTTGGAGCAGGTGCCATTGACAGCCGACACGCAAGTCTGGTACGACTTTCACAGCTACGTCTTTCTTAATGGCTGCTCGCCTGTGCTTGGAGCTTCATGTCTGTAGGGTTTAGGGTTCCTGTAAAGGGGTCTACAAACTCTACTATTAAGGGCTATGATAAGGATCCAGTATAGGGGCCTCAGTAATTGGCATGACTATTCGGGGGGTTCCTCACCATAATTATAGTATCATATATCCCCAAAACCCTGCTGCGATTAGAAAGTTTCGTGTCCAGAATAACGGGTTCAGGGGTCAACGAAAGGGAGGGGCTTAGAAAAACAACATTGGGGTCAGAACATCGGAGGCCTCAAAAGGTGGGATGCAGGTGGGTAGGATCAAGGATCCCTTATATAAGGACTCTCACTTGGGAATATCGGTTCTAAGTTCAGCATAGTATTATAGAGTCGGAGCTTTAAACCCTGCAGCTTCGCCGGAAATAGAGCCCTACACGATTCGCTGCTCGCAGATCAAAGCCATTCTTCTCTTGGGCTGTTTCTGTGTTACAGCTCACTGGGGCCAAAGAATTATCCATGTCTGGTTTGGCGGTCATGAGGTCGAACCCCAAACCCTATGAAGCTACGGGCTTTAAGGAGCCTTTGCCAGTTTTCTGTGGCCCTTATTTGGGTGCTTTTTGCTGCTAACTTCTACAGGTCCCGGTGTTGGATATCATCGATGCCGAATCACCAACAAGCTCGGAGGCTGTTGGAGCCGAAACCCCAAACCCTATACCCTAAAACCCAACTGTAAAGCCATCAGAGTGCCAGCTCTGAGCGTACCGCAAGCTCCAAGTCTGGGGCATCAACGATCATCAAAGAGTAGGGTTTGGTGAGTAAGCCCTCCTTGGGAATGCCTGGTATGTTGGCGATAGAAGCCCTGTAGTGACCCAAAACCCAACTTTTCAACTGTTGGGCTCTTAAAAAATAGTCTCAGCGGAAAGTTTTGTTACCTCATGGTATTTGGGAAGTAGACCCTGCTTCACGACAAGGCTAAGAAAGTAAAACGGCTGTGCTGCCTGAAGAGTTTTCATCACGTGAAAGTGGTGTAGGTGAGCTGCAGGGTAGTTTCAGAGCACCAGGAACCCCCAATATGTATCGCGGACAGCAGGATGCTCAATATGTCCCTATTCTATATTATACATAGATACCCGTTCTTCCATCATGCAACACACATTCACATATACATATACATGTACATACACATACACATTCTTACATGCGTACATACATACCTCCGTCCCGCATTTTATCCATCGCATCCCATCCATCCCTCCCCTCCGAGATTGCTATACTGTTCCGCCCTCCCTTTTGTCTTACAGAAAGACATTTGTGAATATATATATATATATGTGTACATATATACATATATATATATACACACATATCTATATATATATATATAGAGAGAGAGAGAGAGAGAGAGAGAGAGAGAGAGAGAGAGAGAGAGAGAGAGAGAGAGAGAGAGAGAGAGAGAGAGAGAGAGAGCGAGAGAGAGAGAGAGAGAGAGACAGAGAGAGCGAGAGAGCCGGAGCCGTAGCCATGCCACAGCATCTGGCATTCGGAAAGCATTAATCAACACATCTTCCGTGTCAGCTACGACAGGAGCCCGAGAAGGTCGTCTCAATGCGTCTTAATTACATGCATACAAATATATATATATATATATATATATATATATATATATTCATACCTATATATATATATATATATGTGTATATATATATACATATATGTATGTGTGTATGTGTATACACTTCAAACGCATGCATGGGTGGATGGACGGAAGAATTGCGTTCGTTTTGGTTTCCAAATCGTGTATGTAAGGTACACCCGGAAGTCCCCATCCCTATCATTCTGCTTCCTGAATTAGCAAGGCTCGGTGGTCTCGTCCGATGCGGAGAACTTCAACTACACAAACTACACCATCGAGTTCCTTGTTGGGATGTTGGAGTGTAGGATTTTGAGGCAGCAAGCTTAAACATAAGCTTCAGGTTTGAGCGTTTAAGGTGTCGGGCGGCAGAACCGCCTGATACTGGTTCGCTTCATTGATGTAGATGGCTGAGCAATAACCCGCCCCCCTTAATCAGCATTATACCAGGTACTTTAATATCAAGCTCCCCCCCCCGCTGTATTTTCACCTGAAGGCCCAAGCTACTGTTTGGCGCGCTCCTTACTGTAAGTATAGTATAACGTACCCCAGAACCCTATTCTAATTGTTAATAAGGCATCTTAATACTACTTGAGACCGAAGCTCCAGAGAACGTCCTAGACTTCACGCGTGAGGTTTTGTTGTGGCTGAGGGTCTTCTAGTATAATTCAAGGATCCAAAGGACCCGGTCATTGAGCAGTTGAGTCTAGAATGCCAGGAAAAAGAAAACTCCCTACACCCTAAACTCTATGTATATTGGCCCTAAACCCTAAGCCCTAACCCCTAAACCCTAACCCAAACCCTACGTAGTCCAGTCTGTTGTAGGAAGGTTTACAATGTATGGTGGACTCGGACCTTCGTGCGCACCCGGATTCAGGAATATACCCTAAACTTATAGTAGGACCCCTAAGGTATATTCCTTAATTCAGGGATATTGGAGTCTCTGGGCACTCTATCGGATCCCCACTCGCAGAGTTGGGTTTCAGTCTTGGTAAAGCTCGGGTTCAGGACTCAGAGATCAATTAGGCTTTCCTTGGCCAATCTGCCTCGACTGCGTGCTGCCTGTTTTTTTTTTTGTTTGTGTGTGTGTGTGTGTGCTATCTCTCGCCTAATGCATGGCGATCGAGACAGCATGCACAACTGTCTGGTGCTTGGTAAGGAATGGGGGAATGGATCCCGAAAGTAGTCCCTGTATAACCCCTGATAGCAGTCCCAATAACCCATTCCCCCATTCTCTACTAAGAGCCAGACAGACTCAAATTGAGGCAGCACCCTCCCGAGACGGCGTGTGAAGTGCTCATGGTTTGGCGCTTCGGATTTGCCATAAAGCAAGTACTCTAGGGGCCGCAATAATTACCTATTACGATTAGAATAGGATTCCTTTAGAGGGATCTGTAAGGGCTACTATAAGGGCTATGACATGGATTGAGTAGAGGGGCCTAAAGAATTAACAACACTATTTTGGGGGTTCCTTATTATAAGTATAGAGTAATATACCCCAATGCCCCATTCTAATTCTCAAGGCCCTTGTATCAAAGAGTTTGAGGCTTTCAGTTGGAAGTCGGGCCGATCTCACCGAGTGCTGCCCGGATGTGTGCGCTCGCCTTATGTGCGACGATCGAGACGGTATGCGCAAATTGAGGCAGCACCCAATCGAGGCAGAATGGCCAGGGAAAGCCCCAATGAGGGATTGAGAGATTGAATATAATCCTAACCCCAAGCCCTCAGCTCTATAAGGCCCTAGTCCTGAAATCCCTGAGCCCCCAAACCACTACCCTAAAGCCGAATCCCCCAACCCTAAACTCTAAACCCTGAAACCGAAACCGAACCTCAAGGTTCAACATCTCCCAGAATGTCTCGGAAGCAACTAACTTCTCCGACTTTGGCTTCTACGTCCTGGTCCGGGGCTCGGGGGCGGGGCGATCACCGGCAGCAAAACAAGCATGTCGATAGTAATCTAGAAGCCATGTTAATCATTATCACATATAACAGTAGTGGTAACAATGATCATAATCGGACTGGGGGCAGGCTTCTGGGGAGCTTTCTTGGGAAGCGGTGTCCTCAAAGTTAGGAGGTTCTCTTTGCGGGATCATTGTGTTTTTTGTAAGAGTGTTGAGGTTGTTATAATGAAGTTACTGCATATTGCCGGGTCCTATTCCATGCTCGAAACTCTCCAGCTGCACACTAGGTACCGATCTGGGATAGCTTTTCAGTTCCCTTACTGCTTAATTAATATAGAGCCCGAATTACACATACTTTCGGGGACTGCCTAAAGACCCCAATATCCCTTAATTAAGGAATATGCCTTAAATTATAGTAGGATCCCTAATATGATTTAAGGCAAATTCCTTAATCAAGGGATGTTTGAGTCTCTGGGTGTTGAAATCGACACCGAGTACAGGGCTTTATCGGAGGGTGCGGCGTGCAGGCTCCAGTCCACTGGCCAAGAGAGGGTTCTGGGTTCAGTGGTTTCGGGTGCAGCGTAGAAACCTGCTGGGTTCTTGTTAAGGGCTTTTGGGTTTAGGGCATATTAGGGATCCCGTTCTTGTTAAGGGCTTTTGGGTTTAGGGCATATTAGGGATCCCGTTCTTGTTAAGGGCTTTAGGGTATAGGGTTTAGGGTATATAAAGGAAACCATATGGGTGGTTGTCAAAACTAGGGTCCCTTTTTGGGTCCTTAGTATAATACGGCACCGATTATTTAGGATACCCAAAAAAGGACCTTAATTTTGACAACTACCCATATCATTTACTATAGATCCCTCCTTAAATTCCTTAACAAGCACCCAGCCTGGTCAGCAAAGCCCTTGTTGTATCCACCGACAATAGTAGGACGCATACGAAGAATCCTAGTACGAAGCGGTAATTATTCAGCCTCGTAGACTGGTGAAGTCTACGGGCATGGGGGGATACTAAAGTCTACTAGTCATTCCGACCAAGCTGACAGGCACGTAGGCGGTGTAAAGCCTGTACCTATATCATAGGAGGCTAAAAGGGGTCTTAGCGTATGGGGGTTTAGTAGGGATTCGGGTTCCCATAATAGGGTTCATATTAAGGAATCCCTACACCAAGAATCTTAAACCCCCCTTTTGGCCTCCCATCACTATAATTTGTCAGGAGCCGAATTACGATCTGCCAATGAAGCTTCAAAGGCCGCTCCGTGTTTTAGGCAAGTCCTTACACTGCCATAGCCTACTCCTACTTGTTCACTGTAGGTTCTTATACCAAAGAGCTTATAGGAGCCCTACAAAATATGTAGGTGTTGGTAGTTTTAACCTTTTTTATTTTGTAGGCAGTGGTCTCAACCTACCCAAAATCTTCAACGCCAAGGATTCAGGGCTTAAGGTTTTTGGGGGTTTGGGGGTTTAGGGCTTCGGGGGCTTATAGGGTTTAAGCCCACGGTCGCTCGCAGTCGGCCGGACCTTCCAGCATCCCGTGATTAAGGAGCACATCTAAAAGCCCAGTGGGGCTTCTTAAGTACCAAACAGCGTTTGGATAGCAACAAGAGACGGATTCGTCAGCGGATTGACCACAATCCCCGGAAGCCCTACACCCTAAGCCCTAAACCCAAAACCCCCAAAACCCTAAGCCCTAAACCCTACACCCTAGACGTTTTGCCAAGGAGGAGATCCATCTTTGCTTCCGCGCGACGTTCGAAGCTACGCGCTTCGAGATCGACGGCACAGCGGCGCGGCGCACAGCGCACGATTGTTGTGTTCCATTTAGCATTTGCTTTTAAGCTTGATGGCGAGAGATAGAATTTTGGATTGAAATAGGGTTTTTATTGTAACGCTTTGTAACTGAGAAGCCCTTACAGGCAATATTCGGGCTCTGTAAGGGTGGGATGGATAAGCTTTTGCGTACGGGGATCGATTGCTTTCCGATTGATCGCCGCGGGGTTTGTTGTGCCTTGTGGCTTCGGGGTCGTCAGTTCAGGATTTTCAGTTTGAGGGATTTGGGTTTGGAGATTGAATCTGCAGATGCCAGAACTTCTGAAGTTCTGCAGGTAAGGGGCTTTGGGGCTGAATATGTTACAGTAGGGTATCTTTATTTTGGCCAGGTGGCTCCGTAAGCCCTCCTCGGCAGAGCTTGTGGATCCACCAGAATTCAACTCTCTTCTCCAAACTACGACCAAGAGTAAAGCTTTGCAAATTCGAAGCGCTGGTCCATTCCAGATCCTGTAGCATCTACACAAGCTGAACCCCTAAACCCTAAACCCTAAACCCTAAACCGGTGCAAGCCATGCTAGTACAAATGAGGGGCAAAAAAACTGAAGCCATGCCAGCTGCAACTCTGAACTCACGCCTTGCCACCACGCCTGAACCCCTGAACCCTGAACCCCAAATCCTAAACCCTAAATCCTAAACCCTAAACCCTAAATCCTAAACCCTAAACCCCTTGAGCCCGAAACCCCCAAACCTGAACCCCCTTGACTCCTAAACTCTAAACTCCATTTCGCAAACCCAAAAGCCCCTGAACCCACCTGCGACATACGGCTTTTCCGGTCCATTCGGAAATCCCCGAAGTTTCCTAAGGGATTGAGGGTTCAGGGTTCTAAGATGCGCCCGAAGTAAGTAGCCGCCACTCAAAGCTTATGGTATTTTGCAAATTCCCCGGAAAATCTTGCAAGGGGTGCTGGAGTCCCAAGTCGCCCCCCCCGGAGACGCAAGCCTCAAGGAACCGCCGTACCAATAAATACCTCGCTGTTCAGTGGTACACTTTTTTACTTTCAGGTTTCTGGGTTCCTATTCCAAAATAAGAAGCTTAAAAAAGTATGTACTTTTTCCCAGTGGGTTACTGAACAGCCTTAAATACAGCTCCTCAAATCCCAAAACCCTAAGCTCTACTGCTGCGGTAGCAAAAGTCCCAACCGCGCTTACAAGAAAACTTAACCCTAAACCCCTAAACCACTGAACCCATAACCCTAAGCCCTAAGCCCTAAACCCCAAAACCTACATCCCTAACCCCAAACCCCAAAACTTGCCTGGGCTTCGCAGGCTGAGGAGTTCTGCCTCAGCAACTGTACGATTTCGAACCGGACGCAGACGCGGCTTTCCCGGCTTTTGGATTTTGTTCCGGGTTTAGGGTTTAGGGCTCAGGCTCTTAGGAGCCTGAACCTTGCATCTTAGGGGTTTAGGGGTTTAGGGTTTAGGCCTAGGGTTTGGAGTTTAGGGTTTAGGTTTCAGGGCTTCTGGGGCTTGGGGCGGTTCAGGGTAGCTAGAGTGGTTTAGGAGTTTGGGTCTTTGTGGCTTTGGGGTTTGGGTCATTTCGCGCTATAGGGTTTAGATGCATTTTTTGGTTTGCTGCTTTTAGGGTTTGGTGTCCGCAGCGGGGGCTTCAAGCACAACCACCTGTAAGCCGTGCAACCCTATCAAATTCCCGAAAGCCCAAAACCCTAAATCTCTAGAGCTCCGTACAGAGCTTAAACCGCAGAAGTCTGAAACATGAACACCCCTTAAAAGCTCTGAAAACCACAAACGTCTAGAGCTTGAGCGAATTTGCACAAACTCCAGCTGGAGCATTATGCCCGTTGTCTAGTAGACTAACATATGTATTCAACACGCAGGACATGGCCCTGACACTTTTGGGTATATGGCCCGTTTTCCTTACAGATTTGATTACTTTTGGTACTTACAGGTTCATGGTTAGTTATGCGTAGGGTTATAAGTAGGATAACTTTGGTTGTCATTTATAACCTATATCAGGGGACTGATAACCCCACTTATAACTACCCATGAACCTCCAAGTATCTTCTGTTTCAGTATATTTCCAAAAATAGGCCTTATTAGGTCGTTATTATGGGCATTAAGGCCCCCTATACCCCCCCTCCCCCCACCCTCTAAGGGTTGCTATGAGAATTGGTTACTCTGGGTAAGCCCTAACATGCCCTAACCCTAGGGGTCCATGTACCCAAATAGAAACAACACCCTTAAACCCTAAACCCTAAAGCCCTTATAGAACCCTTGTAGAACCCTGAAAGGCACCCCTTAAAGGACCCAGGTTCCCACATTAATTGCTCAGGGAGTGCATCGTTGATTGCCTCTTCACGCCGATTGCCCCTGGCCTGAAAAAAAGAGGGTTTTGGGTTTTGGGTCGGCAGAAATGTCAGCAGGCACCGCAGAGGGGATGTGAGGCTTTTCATTGTAGGGTTTTGGGATTATGATTTTACTCTAGAAGGGGGTGGAGGTGGGTCGGGGTGTGATTCGAAACATCGCCGCCCACTTCAGTGGCAGAGGGGCTTGTGTTTTGGACTTCAGGGATGTGGGGTTCGTCCCTGTCCGTCAACCCCCAATCATGCTGCAAAAGGGTTTTAGGGTACAGGGATTCGGGTTGGGGGTTCAGGGTTTCGGGTTTGGGGTTCGGGATTTCGGGTTTAGGGTTTAGGGAACTGCATGATCTGATCCCTGCACATGCCTACGATACAGTCTGCTGGGTATACGGCGTGCTCCTCGGCCTATTCAGGTGCAGTGAAGGGGCTTGAATGGCAAGCAGTTTATTTATCTATATCTCAATTGACAGTAACAAGGTTTCTGAAACTCATTGGGTTGCTAGCACTGCTTCCCATGCTCATGAAACCGCCGATGTTTGGGATGATGAACATGAAATAAGGACGATGATGGCGTTCATGAAGAGCCACTGTATTGCAGTGCTAGTGGTGTTGATGATGATTTAGGGTTTAGGGTTCAGGGCTAGAGAGTGGCAGTGACATTATCGCTGGATATGGTCAGAATGACAAGGCTGTGCACGATACTTATGACGAGGAGTCTGTTTATCAAGCAAACGGCTATTGCAAACACAAATCAAACAGACAGCTAATGTTGCTGACTTTGTTCGGTCGTGACTGTTACGCGGCTACACAGTAATTCGGACGGGCTAACTTTGAGTTAAGCCCTCAAACAAAGCCCGCTCTGCTACCAACCCCCAATATCGCCCCTCCTGAAATCCTAAACCCCTTAGCCCTAATTTTACTTCTCGGGGGGGTAATTACAGGAGCCGGCCCACCTTTCCAACACCAGCAGAACCAAGATAACTTTTGCCCAAGGCAAAGTCAATTGGACAATCTGGTCGAGAGAGTTCAGGTGTTGCGTGACTTCCTGAGAGGTGTGATGATATCGACGCCGTACAGGGACTGGGTATGAAATGCCCGTTTCTCTCCGTTGGGTCGGTCGACACGACCGAAGGAAGATACGAGATATCTGCACCATGGCGGCATGCCGACGGCAGGATGAACAAGCAGGCGATGCCGTGGACCGAGGACTTTCGCTGGCTCACTGCAATAGCAAGAATGAGGAGAACCCCTGGCTCCCACATGATAATCCTCATGCAAACGCAGACAGGGCTACTCTCCTGGACGGAGGGTTTTGGGGTCTTTAGAGTTTGGGGTTTAGGGTTTGAGGGTAGGTAGTCTAGTTAGCCACCGACTTTTCAGGCACCATAATAAAAAGTTCAGACCGGTAGAGCAAGGCTTCGGGTTTTCGGGTTTGGGCTTCTGTGGAGGCGTCTCAAAAGGATTGTAGAGTTCTGATCCCACGGGGTTGCGGAGACTCCGTCTGTATGAGCCCTCGCTTGAATCAGCTCGTACAGGGTTGGTGGTGTTCTCGTGTGCCCACGGAGGACTGTTGCTGGTGTTGGTGCGGACAGGGGGAACAAGCTTCCACATGGTTGCAAGTATGTGCAGCGTCCAACTTGCTCAACTCGCCCGGAATATTCGAAGCTCCCGCATTCTCCAGATCCTTCCGGAGGGAGACCTTCATTCGAGAACAAGCCCGAAGCGTCTGAAACCTGCACAGCTCAATACAAAGCCAGTACAACGGTGCTATAGGTTTACAGAGCCTGTGAATTTCCGTGAACTCCCAGTGCTTCCGTCTGGCCCAAATGCCAAGGCCCGCAGCCAAGTTCGGTGCACGGCCTTACCTGCCGCAACCTGAGCCACCAAGATTTGTTCCAAAGATACGTACATATCACGCTACCCTACAGTGCCTGTACTTTGTTTCAAGGTCGGGTGGCTTTAATATTACGATGCGTCGGAGCGGACTACTTCGTGGTTAAGTTGTGTCTGTGTCGGGTAGCTTGAGGCTTTCCCAAAGCTTGCCAGTAATGTAGGAGCCTGATTAAGAAACCCTGGGCCTATAACCTCAATATAGTAGGGTTCATATAAGGAGCCCTAATAAGGCCCAAGGTTTCTTAATCAGGTTCAAACCCTAAAACCCTAAACCCTTTCTAGAACCCTTATAAAGTAGAAGCCAGAAAGTTGGAATATGGATTAATGGTCGGATCCCCTATAATTTACCTTAAAGGGGTTAGGATAATGATATTCCAACTTTCTGGCTTCTACTGTAGATCCCTTTTGAGGAGCCCTTAAAGGTTCCTACATTAACCCCAAGTTGCTCGGTTGACTTCGCTTTTCCAAGGGCAGGTGTGCAGCTTCGGTCCATAGGTTTTCCTACGTTCTCCTCCCCTTTTGGAGGAACCTCTTGGATGATAAAAATGGGACCTCAATACACACCTATACTATTTTGGGGGCTCCTTCTTATAATTCTCGTAGATTATACCCCAAAACCCTATTCTAATTATTATAAGGTGATCCTAGATGCCTCCTAAACCCAAACCCCACACCCCCAAAGCAGTTCCCTTTTCCGGGATCTTACAGCTGTTGAAGAAACGGTCAAATTGAAAAGTTGAATTTTATGCTACATCGCAACATGTACAGAGCAGCCACAATGATATTGATGGTACACTCATTAGTGATAGGGCCACAAGCAGTGATGATGGCTGTTGCCACAGTACATCTTCGATGAGAGGGTACCGGTTCCCGAAATCATACAACGGATTGTGAAAAAGATCACATAGGATTATAACCGTGTGGTCGTCTGGAGTTCCTGAACAAATGCAGCCTCTTGCAGTGCTGCCGTATATATCTGCCATCCGAATCCTGGTGTGCAGGTTTGCACAGTGTGCGGAGCCCCCAAACCCCAGGGTTTAGGGTTTAGGTTTAGAGTTCAGGGTTTAGGGTTCAGGGTTTAGGGTTCAGGGTTTAGGGTTTAGGGTTCAGGGTTTAGGGTTCAGGGTTTAGGTTTAGGGTTCAGGGTTTAGGGTTTAGGGTTCCCAGACCCTGGACCCAAAATGTCGAGGCATCCCCTGGCCTCTGCATAGAAATGCTAGACGCGGGCCTTCGCATATGAAGCTGGAACCCACGACCCCCAAACCACGATATATTCGGGCTTTGCGGGTTTATAAGGCTTGATAATGGGTTTCGCAGGCTGTTTAGGGATAGACTATTAAGGTTTTATGCGGCCTTATGAGGGTTCTACTAATTCATGCTGCGCAGCATTCACCACTAAACAATAGGTTGTGTGGGTCCAACAGGACTATACGGTTTATCGAGAGTCTGACCTGACGTTGCAAGGGTTCTACAACGGCAAAGCCCTAGAACTTGCCCTGATCCCTAAACCCTAAACCCTAAACCCTAAACCCTAAACGCTAGCACTTAAAAAAGCAAAAACAACCTAAACACTATATAAGTCTCGGATTCCTCTAGCAGGTGCTGACCCTGCAGCCCAAAAGCCCGACGCCCAAGCTCCTAAACCCGAAGTACGAGTTTTGAACTCCCCTCAGAAGTAGGTGCTGAGTACTAAGGGTTTAGGGTTTAGGGTTACTATGAACATTGTGTGTTTTGTGGCAAGCTTAATTTCAAAATCCCCCACAGCAGGCCGGAGGCTTGCCAGATGGTGCCGAAGGTGCCTTGCTGCATGGGAGTTTCAGAACGTGAAGGGACCCAAGTGTATGCCCTAAACCGTAGGATGCATGCCACAAGGGTCTCCAGTATTGCAACTCTTTTTCCAACAACCTTTCAAAAGGACAGAATGAGCCTAATTTCATGCTCGCACCACGGAAAAACAGCAATCCCGCTATTGTCGGAAGCAAGTAGGAACGGTTCACAAGGACTTCCGCACCACGCAGTGCAAGCCGCAAAGCCTGCCGTAGCATGTCACCTTTGTTGCCCGAAGACTGATCTACTATGATTTACCGAATCCATGGGTTGACTTTGTTTCAGAATTCACAGATGGTGATTCGGATACTGCTTGACTTTCCCTATTGTTTGGCGGGTGCCGGGGGGGGGAACGGGGTTTTGCGGCTTCAAGTGAGTGTGGTCTAGGCAATGACCCATGCTTGGGGTTCATGTAGGGTATGCGAGCAGATTGAAAGTACATTGTTGGTTTGAAGCCTTTCGACTTAGGTGCCAAGCTGATGGCCCAATGCGAGTTGAAAAGAACTCTAGTTCTAAGCCTTTCACCCTACACCATCAATGTACCGCAACCTGCATTTTTGTAGGGTCCTCCTGATACCTAACATCGAACGTATAGGGGCACTACAGAAAAGTAGGTCTTGGCAGGTCCAGGTACGCCATTAACCTTCGACCCCAGCCCCTTGAGTCCTTGGCTTGTTCCAGCTTGGCACCCGAATTTTGTCAAGAAGGCAGAATCCAGATTAGCGACTCGCACCTACCTTTCAATTTGATACATCTTTACGAGTGTTAAGAGTATGCCTCCCAGTATGTACCCCACGCCCAGAGCCCTGGACTTCAATAAAGACGTGCTAAGAAAGTGGGACTTTCCCGTAACCCTAGCCCAGATCGCTCCAGAAAATTCCAAAGTCGCCATCTGGATTTGAATCTGTTGCTTCCTATCGGGGCTTTAGGAGCTAGGGTTATATAAGGGTTTTGCAGTATCGATACAAACCTCGAAGACTCAATGCTTAAGTCCTGAACCGCTAGACACTCATCAGAAGTGAGCTTACGATTCAGCCTCGCGCAGATGCTTCGCAACAACTGCTGGCAAAGCCGGATTGTGCAGCGCAGGCACAGTCCTGGCTTTTGGGATGGAGGGTATTGTTCAGGGTTTAAAGTTGAGGGTTTTGGGTTCTGGTCTTGGAGTTTCGGGATTAGGGTTTGGGGGTCAATAGTTTAAAGTTTAAAGTTGAGGGTTTAGGCTTTAGGGTTCAGGAGTATCTTGAATGAACTCTCCGTGAACCCTAAACACTAGCATCCGGGCCCCCCTTTTCGAAGCCAGGCACAAGCAAGCGCAGACTCGAAGTTCCCACAATCCCAAGCCCGCACTGGAAGAACTTGAGGGTTCAAGGTGTATTGAGTCGGCAGTCTCCTTGGGTTTGCATTTTTGATGCTTGTTCCTGTAAAACCCAAGAGAACATCAAACATACTACTTTCATTATGATTCTGTTCTAAGGGGAGGGATTAATTTAGGGCTTGCCCGGGCTTAGTTGGTGTTATGAGGGTTTAGGATCCAGAGTTTTGGGTTTGGATAACCGTTTACTGTTAGGGCTGCTTAGGGTTCCAGGGGTTACAAGCGAAGAATAGCGACCAAATCCTAAACCCCAACTTGTGGCACTCTCCGGACTATTCGGTGCTTTGCCGCAATTTCCCTGCCGCAAGCTCGCCAATCAGAGACGTTAATCTGTGAATCCTCTACCTGCTACTTGGATGTTCATGGGTCGTGATAAATGGTCTGTAAGTAAATAAGTTAGCCATAAATAGACAATATGGCCCTTTCAGGGGACTTGTAACCCCACTGAGAATCACCCATGAACCTCAAACTGAAGCCCAAACCGTAGACGTCAAGCCAGCGTACCAAAATCACAAAGGTCCAGTCTCAAAGCCCTATACACCCTGGAGCCTGCACCCCTCACACTGACCAGCTGCAAGCGACTCAGGATGCAGTCATGTCTATCGCCATATTTCGCTGCAATATTCTAAAAGTGCTTCCGCACATTTAACCCCCGATGTGACCCCTGAGCCACACGAGTCATAGACTCGCTTAATGTCGCTTGCAGCTTTGTAATGGGCTTTAGGCGCATTGTCGAAGACATGAGCATGGCAGGCACGTGAAAGCAGAAAGCAAGAACATCGTCTCTTAGGCGACAACTTGAACTCGGAACCCTAAACCCTCAACCCTAAACCCTAAACCGAAAACCCTAGACCCTCATCCTTTGTCTGTCAATCCAAAGGCTAGATGTTGGGGTGCTCCTTTTCACTTGCCCGGACGTGGAGACGCCGAGCCTGCGCAACACCCTATGAAATCGTAAACTGAAAAGAACCTACTTGGAGGTTCATGGGTAGTTATAAGTTGGGTTATCAGTCCCCTTATATAGGTTATAATCATGTTTATCCTACTCGGAACCGTACTTATAACTACCCATGAACCTCCAAGTAGACCTCAACCCTAAACCCTACTTCCTTCAACTGGATAGCTTCAACTGTTCGAAGACCTCTGACACACCCATTCGGCAGCATTGCATGCAAGGTGCAGGCTTTCTACGATGGAGCAGGCGGATGGCGATCTGCTTGCGGGGATAGTTGCAAGTTGTAGGTCGCCCAAACAAGATCTAAACTCTAAAGCCATAAAATATATATATATATATATATATGTATGTACGTATGCATGTATGTACTATATAGATACATTCAGCCTGCCCACCGTACTCTTCGGAAGCGCGCACTCGCCTTCTGTTTTGGACACAAAAGCCTGGTGTATATAAGCCTGAACAGTCAGAAGAGGATGTCTCTCAAAGCTAACACTCTGCTCGGCTCCCGCATGTGCTTATCTGTAATTGCTTCATCTGCTCGTTCGGCTCATGTATATGGGAGTTTCCGAAAGTTACGGGGTATTTTGGATTGGGTCCGTACAAAAAGGATCCTACTATTGAGGGTACCATATTAGGGTCCTCTAATTTCGGAAACCCCCATATCGTTTTGGGTTTATTTTGGAGACCTTTGGCTGTTTGTTGTGGGCGTCTGCAAGGGTTGTACAGCTTTCGTGACTCCTAACTGTCTTTGGTGTGTCCGGGAGCACGTAAAACACGCAAAAAGCGCACTCTCACAGTGTCCCGTTTTGTTTAGAAGCATCCAAAAGTTGTGCAACCCGTTGGAATCCCAAAGTCATGACAGCCTTGCGTCAGGAATGGAGGCGGCGGTCTCAGATACCTAGGGTTTAGGGTGTAGGGAAAATTACATAGCACCTTCGAACATCCTGTACAAGGTCCGTAAGCTCTTGAAGCAGACTCATCAGGACCCTTTCAATGCGCACTTCCCGAAGCCTGAAAACCCCAAACCCCTAAAGCATCTTAAAAAAACTCAACAAGACCCATATTGAAAAATGCCAAAAACCCTAAACCATCTTAAAAGACTCATCAAGACCGGCATTAAAAGCAAAAGCACCAGAAACGACTTGGTGCGTTTCGAGACGGGGGTCTGAGAGGAGTTGGGTTCAGAGTTTGGACTGGGAGTTATACAGTTTAGGATTTTTCTGGTCCAGGGTCCAGGGTTTCAGGTGTTGGAGTTTTGGGTTTAGGGGTTTAGGGGTCTAGAGTCTATAGGATTTAGGGTTTCGGGTGTTGGTTTAGAGTTTAGGGGTTTAGGGGTTTAGGGGTCGAGGGTTGCGGGGTTTAGGGTTTCGGGTGTTGGAGTTTTGGGTGCGGAAACATGGAGGTTTCGGTTAGGGTTTAGGGTTTAGGGGTTTAAGGTTTAGGGTTCAGGGGTTTAGGGTTTAGGGCTTTAGGGTTTAGTGTTTAGGGGTTTAGGGTGGAAAGAGAAGGGGGTCGGAAAGCACCGGGGTGTCACGGTAGGTCCGGAACCCTACAAGCCCCAATTAGACCCCAAACCCTAAACCCAATCTAAACCCTACATCCCTGGACCCTGACACCTGAGACCCAGAACAATGAAGCCAGCTTCTGAAGCTGGGCTTTAGGGTTTAGGGTCTGGGGTCTCTGGGTTCGGTCCGTTGTGGAAGAGATCTTTAGGCACTCAAGGCCAGAGGTCGGTCCTGAACTAGCCCAAACCCGAAGCCCTAAACCTGGGAGTTAGGATTAGGGACCCTCCAAAAAATATAGACCCTCTCAATAAGATCCCTTTAAAGAGAGCCAGAAGTAGGGTTCGGAAGGGGTATACCCTTTAAGAGGGTCCCCAAACCCTAGAACTCCTAAGCCCGAACAACTCTCAAGCCCCTAAAACCTCGAAGTCCTGAAACCCCTGAAGCCCCTAAAACTCATAAGCCCTCAACACCCCCACTTTCTCTACACCGACCCTAAACCCTAAGCCCTAAACACCAAAATCCTAAACCCTAAACCCTAAACCGAGATTCCGAGGTTAATGACTCCAATGGAACGAACGACAGCAACAGTAGCAACACCAGCCGGGGAGCCCGGATCCTGCTAGCTCGGCGTAAGGGATTGAAAGAGGGGCTGTTATGGGGGGGGGTTTAGAGTTGTTTATGGAGGTTTCTTAGTATTTGGATTGAAAGAGGGGGTTTTAAATGGTTTACACGGGTTTTCGAAGCTATAAAAAGACTTAAAGAGGTTTTATAGGGGCTTAGATTTGAAGTCGTTTCTGGAGGGCTTGTGGGGTTTTGAGGGCTGTATGGGCTTACGTCCAACTTTAGCATTCTAGCATTGGTGGCATAATTGAATGTGAAAAGTCAGCATGTTTTGGCACATGCTATATATCAGAATCTATGGTTCCAGTGCATATCAAATGTGAGGGATTAGGGTTCATGCTCTTGTAATCAGGGTGAGGCATTTGGGATTCGGGCTTCTTAGGCAACATGCTCATTCGTACTGCTACGTTTCGTGAATTGTCCGTTTTAGTCTTTGTTGTCAGCATCACTGGTACTTTCATGTTTCGTTACTCTTGCTTTTGCGACAATGGCTACTCGCACTTGGGAAACCTGGCGACGGGTTCTTGCAGCTCATGTTTGTCATAGGGCCGGGCAGGCTGAATCGAGCTTGATGCTTTCCATAGCGGTTTAGGAGCTTTACATGTTCATTCAAAAGTATAGCAGCGAAACACCTGGCAACTGAAGGGTTGAAGGGGCGCAGACTGCATGCCAGGTTTAGGCTTGGAGCGCCCCAAACCCTAGACCCTAAAATGGTTGATGTTGAATCCTTTTTCGCTCAGCACGAGGCCCTTCAAGAGCTCAAGAACAGGTCCGGTTTGGGGTACATGTAGGCCCACTTCCGTACCTTCTAGCAAGTAACACCAAGGCGGCATTGCGCTGAGTGTTCTGCTTACCCCCCACTGCATGCCCTACCTTAACCCGGAATGGCCTACGTACTATTTTAAGGACACTTGCAACGAAATCACATTACGGAGCCCTGAAAAAAGGTAGGTTATTCAGGGTTAAGGTAGTTCCTTATAAAGTATCATTCACTGAAACCCAGTCGGAAGTCCCAAACCCATTACAGTAGAAGCCAGAAAGTTGGAACATCATGACCCTCATGCCCTTAAGGTAAAGTATAGGGAATCAGAGCATTAATCGTCCTAGATCCATGTTCCAACTTTCTGGGGTTCACTATCCCTAAACCCTAAACGCTAAACCCTAAACTCTAAAGACCTAGCCGAGGCCTGGGGACGCCACCTACCTGCCGGTGTGGCAGGTTCCTTCAAAGGTTTAAGGGCGGAAGTCGGGGTTCTTCTAAAGGTAGTTTAGGGACCGGGTCTATAGGGGGTTTAGGGTTTAGGGTTGACGGATTAACAAGACTATCTTTATTATAATTATGGTATACTATGCCCCCCAAACCCCTATTCCAGCTATTAAGGCCCCTACATTAAGGGCGGAGGTCGGGGTTCTTCGAAAGGTCCTCTGAAAGGACGACAAAGTGGACAAACGGGATTCTGATTTTAAAGCGCTTATACTGCCATGACTCTCCATAGTACAGTGCTCATGGTACCCTCTACTAGAATACACCTATAGCACTTATAGACTTATAGCACCCTCACAGTTACAGTACCTGTGAAGTATCCGTACATTCTCTTTGCAGTCGTATCCTTGTAGTGTCCATGCATGTGGGTAGTTGTCAAAATTATGGTCCCTTTTTGGGTCCCTATTATAATACGGCACTTAATATTTAGGGTACCCCAAAAAGGGACCCTAATTTTGACAACCACCCACGTGAGGCCCACAGAGGTTCAGACAGCTGTGCTCTGGCGCTCGAAGTTCAACCTCACGGCAGAGGTCGGGCTTCGTGGTTTGGGATGTAGGGTTTAGGGTTTAGGGATGCTTTAGAACAGGGGGGGGGCTTAGGGTTTAGGGCAATACTACGTGGCGGTATTCTGCCCAAAGTCCCAAACCCCGTGAGGGCTGCCGAGGATTGGGTTCCGCATTTCGAGACCGGCTCTTACTAGGGTTTAGGGTTTAGCGGTGAGGGTTTAGGGGGTACGTCTGTAAACCTTAAGCTCTCCAGGCACCTACTCATCAACTCAAGGTCAAATTTCTGAACACTGTACTCTGAACCCTAAACCCTAAACCCTAAACCTGTAGCCCTCAGCCTTCACAACGGCGGCTGCTGCAGAGAGCATACCGCAGGACTTAGAAGTGCAACCACTCCTCAAGGGCGCTGCCTCTCCGACCCTGAACCCTACTTGGAGGATCATGAGACTTAGTAAGTAAGGTTATAAGTACCTTAATTGGAGCTTTCTGTAGTTTTGATTCAAGTAGAGTTACCCTAAAGTTTAAAGTCCCATGATCCTTTAAGTAAACCTTAAACCGCATGGATCTTTGGCTGTTTTTTTTGTTGTTCGGGCTTGACGTACATGGAAATAAATGGGTACCTTATTTTGGGGTCCTTAAAATCAGCGGCCTACTATTTAGGTACCATCTTCGGGTCCGCTAATTTGAAACGCTGCGCGTCGTCCGCCTCGGCCCGGCTGTACGCGCATGCGGCGAGTGGCTACTATCTGCAGCAAGCTCTTGTAGGACAAAAAGTAACAGTTGGAATCGCACTTATAGTAAAAGTAATGTTCATAGCAACACGAAGCAGGATGATTGTGAGTAGTATTAGTAGTGGTAGTATCAGTACGAATTTTGGTGTCGTCATTCCGAAACACTGGATACCAAGACTCTCGCAAGCGGCGGGATGCCTTAAGTATGGGCCGTTGAGGCTGTGGATGTCGTGGGCGTCTTGGATTAGGGAAGCATTCCCAGAAAGCTCGCACCTGTCGCGGGAGGGTGGGGGAGGAGGGGAGGCGGGGGGAGGGGGGCGACGTGCTTTCGGGTGCAGGTGTTGTCCGGCTTTGAAAGTTTTTCAGGCTGGGGTTAGGGTGTCGAGCCCCAATTTTTCAGGCTGGGGTTAGGGTGTAGGGTTAGGAATTCAGGTTTGAAACTCGCTTGGTACTGCAGCATGCTACATTGCAGTCCCGTGTCAACTCCAGAAAGCTCGGGGAGGGGGGGGGAGGGGGGCCGGGGAGGGGGTGGGGGGGGGAGGGGGCGGGGAGAGAGGAGCGGGGAAAATTGGGTGGGACTGCCCACAGAAGCCAAAATCCGTTGGAGGGGGCGAGAATTCACCGCCGTACCTTGGAGCTCATTTTTGGTGTGGGGTCACTGGGGAGGGGATTAAGAGGTGGGGAATAGAGGGAATCCGAATAGGAACCTCTGACCGCTTCGGCCAGAGCCGAGGCGAATTTTCGGAAAGTGTCATACGCAGGCCTGCGGAAAGTGCAGATGGAGAGACAAGGGCCGCAGCACTTAAGCTGTTAGCTGTTAGCTTACAAGGACCCCAACATAATAAGGTTCCCCGATTTTTTCGGAAACTCCCATGTGTGATTTAGCTAAGCCCTAAACCCCATGGGTGTCCTGGGGCTTGGGCCTCGATCCTGGATTGAAGGTGTGGGGGATGTTCAGGCTGAACAGATGACGGTGGCCCGGGTACGTTTCCTTGGAGACGAGCGTGAAGTCTTCATGCGAGCCGCATCATGACATGATAGCTGCGTGCACGGAGTGACTCGACCGCAGCGCATGCTGAATGCGGCACCTGGCGCTGATCTGGCATTTCCTGGCTGATGGTGTGCCATGTGAAGCGGATGACGCTTTCTAGAGTTCTGCATACAAATGCTAGCTATAGTCCGCAGCGGCCCAATCTGCTGCCCCCTGGAGCAATGTCTGCAGGGCTCCACAAGGCATTGCAAAATTTGCAGAACAGCCAGAAAGCGAGGCCCTAAACCCTAAACCCCGAACCCCTAAACCCCTAAACCCCTAAACCCTTAAACCCCTAAACCCCTAAACGCCCTAAACTTCCCTAAACTTCCCTAAACCCCCAAAACCCCCCTAAATTTCCCTAAACCCCCAAAGGTTTCCCCTAAACTTCCCTAAACCAACAAACTGATGTTGGTGACTCCGCACGGGCGAGGCGATGCCAAGGCTCTGAGAAAGCCCCCCGAGCCGGGCTTCGACCCTCGCTCACGTTAGGGAGCTCCTTTAAGGGTTCTATAATCTATAGGGCTTAGGGCTTTTAAGTTCTTTTAAGGGCTCCTCTAAGGGTTCTATAGGGTTTAGGGTTTTTAAGGGTTCCTTGAAGGGTTCTATAGGGCATCTATAGGGTTTTCGGGGTTTAGGGCGTGTAGGGTTAGGGCATATAGGGTTTAGGGTGCTTCGTGTTTCGGATAAAATTTTGGACTTTCTAGCTGTTTAGGTTTCTAGGATTTGTAGTCGGCATAGGAGATTTAGGGTTGACTTAAACTGGGGTTTAGAGTGAGACGTTCCAGGAAACCAACTAGTAACTTAGTAACTAGCACTTCTAAACCCAAGGACTTGCTTTTGTTGTTCTGTGTATACGTATATGTACATATATATGTATGCAGGTTTCAGATCGAGGAACGAGGTCCGTTGAATGGTCGATGTCAGCTCACATATGTTTTGTTTTCAATGGCTTTTTGCTATCCCAAACCCTCCTTATGTGGGAATTAGACTAGTCATTAGACCCCTCGGTCGAAGCGACGCAGCAAGACCAACCCTACCGGATGGCTCACGTTCTCAAGTACCTCTTCGAAGCAGTGTAGAATTTCGAAATCCTTTTCTGCCTTACAGGCTAGAGACTGCGTGTTGCAATTCCGCCTTCCAGGTGGAAGCATACCGTCGGGAGTATGAGGCGCGGCGGGCTGTCATGTCCAGAGAGGAAGGGGCCGCAACAAGCCCTAAAGGCTGTCATTGTGTCTGCAATACAGAAGCTCTGAGCAGGTAGTATTCGCAGCCCTTCAAAGTGTAGTTGTGTACCCGAAACCCTTTCCTAATTCATCATGAAGGCCCCTTATGTTACTTCGAAGCCTAGGTAGGGCGCAAGCATAAAGTGCAGACAGCCCAAACAACAAAAACGAAGCGCAAGCAAGACAGCAGAACCCCTGTACCGAAACCCTGAAGCCCTAAACCTTCGGCCCGAAACCCTTTAAACCCTACTCAGGGCCCTACTCCCTATAAACCTTAGTACCTCCCAACCCGAGACCACTCCAGTCCGAAATGTTAGAGGTCTGACTTTCGAAGCCGCGCTTTGGTTGAGGTATCTTAGGGTTAGCTTTGATTTCGGAACAGGACGGTTTAGGGTTTAGGGTTTTGGGTTTAGAGTTTAGGGTTCAGGGTAACCTTGAAGCCAGTTTAGGGTGTGGTTTTGAGCCTTCGGGTTCAGAGCCAGAAGAATTCTTGCAACCCAAAATAAAGAGACGTCTTGATTGAAGCCCTGAATCGCAGGTTGTAGGCCGTAGTCAAGATAGATGTTCCAAAGCCACAAACCCTGAAACTAACAAGCTTTAACTCTGAACCGTAGAGCCTAACGCCTTAAGCTCTGGATCCGAACTCCACAAGGTCTAACCTTCGACATCTGCATCCAACTCAAACTGCCAAGCTTCTGGCCTCAAGTTCTGCTTTGCAATGGGCACTTAGAACACCTAAACCTTTCTAGAGCTCTTATACAGAACCCTTGAAGACAACTCAGAACCCGCATGAAGCCCTTGTACAGCCCTTGAACCAGTTGAAGACACCGACGAACCTAAACCGCGAAACCTTGAACGCTAATTACTAAACCTGAGATCTTAAACCCTAAACCCTGAACCCTAAACCCTAAACCTTAAACCCTAAACCTTAAACCCTAAACCCAAAACCCCAAAGTCCCTGCGGCTGGAGGCGGCGGTGCGCCTGAGGAGCTTGGATGCATCGCCTCTTCAGGCCGAGGCGATGTGCAACGACAACCAGGCGCTTCAAGGTTTTGGGGGGTTTCGGGCTTTTTGGGGTTTAGGGTTTAGGATTCTTTTAAGGGATCTACAGGGGTTTAGGGTTTAGGGGCTATGGGTTCAGGGCTTTAGGGGTTTTGTGCTTGGGGTTTAGGGTTTAGGGTCTGGGCTTCGGGTTTAGGGTTCAAGGTTTAGGGTTTAGGGCTTGGGGGCTTAGGGCTTCAGGGCTTTAGGGTTCAATTCAATCTGCAATTTAGGGTTTAGGGGTTCAGAGGTTGAGGGTTTAGCATAGCAGTGCTTTTAATGTCAGGGGTTGAAACAGTGGTCGCAAGTGTTTTATGAGGCTGTCCTCGTTTGGTGTTGAAGGAAGTTCAGTATCGAGAAGTTGAAAGTCTGTTATGGTTTGCAGCGTCGGATCCCAATACCTGTAGCTCCTGAAGTGCCGCAAAGGTTGAGATGCACATCCAGTCGACGGAGCTACATCCAGATCCACAGCCCGGTGCCCATGGAGGGCTGGAGTAATGACCGCACACAGCGAACCTAGTCCATACCAGTGAATCCGATACTGGAGTAGTAGTTACACAGTATATCTTAAATATCTATCCGGAACCTTAAACCTCAAGTTTGAAAACTCTGATTCTTGACCACCTTACACGGTTGCCTGGGATCCCAAAACCCTACTTAAAGGATCATGAGACTTAGTAACTAGGATTATAATTAGGGTAACTCTACTTATAGCTATTTATACCCCCAACTAAGGTACTTATAGCCTTACTTACTAGGTCCCATGATCCTCCAAGTAGAACCCTAAGCTGCCATTTTGCCGCCAATGGGTCCTCAGTTGAGCCAAAAGGTTCGTGCACTGCCGAGAGGTTCCCCAAAGGGTTTCATGATGGGTTTATAAGGGCCTTGATAGGGTTTACGACTATCAGGGTGTATTTGGTGTCCAAGTACCCACAGAGTATACACTGTGGCCACAAAGTTATCATATAAGAACTTCAGCTAACGTATCTAGTATAGCATCGCGGAAGCATCATGAAGAAGCTCAAGAGCACCTGAAGGATTACCAGAAGAGACCTGGTCAGTAAGCCGTTTGGGCATTTGTAGGTTTTGAGAACTTATCTCTCTCCGTCCACTGGAGAGGTGGCTTCAAGCAATTTCAGGCCCTACCTGCACGACACTCTCAAATCGGTTGGCTTACTCTCTGATAGGGCCTGAGCCGCAACAGAGGGAATCCAAACGAAGGTCTTTACCTAGACCCCCTGAATAATCTTCTATATACCCCCAATACCCACCGTTAAGGACCATAAGGGCTCTTTAAAAGGGCCCTTGGGGGATCCTGGTAGAGTCATCGAGTTCAGCGTAAGGATCGATTCATGCCTTGGGGACCGAACCTAGAGACACCAACAAAGAGGCCTAAGGAATGCCGGTTTTGTGTTTAGGGTTTAGGGTTCAGGGCTTCAGGGTTTTTGGGTTTAAGGGTTCAGGGTTTAGCGTTTAGGGTTTGGCAGGATATTCAACTCAGCAACAAAACCTTCCAAAAGCTCAACAAAAAGGAGTTATCTCGAACCCATTCCATACTTGGGCAAGTTTGGAGTTGCTGCGATTGGCCGAAATCTGGGGCTGGTGTCGTCCGACAACCCACCCCAAACCACAGGGTGAAAAAACTTTGAAGCCATCCTAAACCATGAAACCCTAAATCCTATGCCCTAAACCCTAAACCCCAAACCCCTAGACTTTAAACCCTAAGCCCTAAACCCTAAACCCATAAACCATGAAACCCCTAAACCACAAAACCCTAAGCCCTAAACCCTATATACCCTAAACCCCTCAACCCTAAGCCCTAAGCCCTAAACCCTAAACCCCTAACCCCTAAACCCCTAAACCCTAAGCTCCAAAGCTTCAAAGCTCCTGAACCTCGAACCTTCAACTCCAAACCTTACACCCTGAACCCGAAACCGAACCCTGACAGAGAACCCTAGACCCTTATCGATCCCTTAAAGGAACCCTGAACCCGAAACCCCACACCGATATCCGAAGCTGGCTTTCCTGAAGCCAATCAAAGGGGAAAAGGAGGGACCCTTAATGGGGACCCCTACCCTAGCTGTATAATGGGTATATGACAGCTATATTAAGGGTATATACCTAGGGGTCCTTATTAATGGTCCCTCCGTTTACCCTTGGAGCCAAGGTTTGTGAACTCCACGGTCACTTTCCGTTTTGAGATGCGCTTCCTGGCTTCGGCGTAGGGTTAAAGGGGCTCTCCGAGATCAGAGCATAGGGTTCATGCATACATACATACATACATACATATATATATATATATATATACACATGTGTACACACACGCACACACACGCATTTTGTATGCCGCAAAGCTTTTAGTGTCTACGGCTTTGGGATTGGGGGCCGTGTGTTCAGAGTTCATGCGTACACGGTCACGTGCATGTATGCATGCATGTATACATAAGACAAAAAGCCTGTCGAATTGGTGCTCCAAGTTCGAGTCCATACTAGCTCGCTTCCGCAAGTCCGAAACAGTACGGTTTGGGCTCTTTGTGGGAGTTGATACCTTGGACGGCTGAGACTTGAAACACATGAGCAGTATCGTTCTTGTGAAGATGAAACCCTAAGCCATTTATTGTTTAGGGTGGTTTAGGGGTGTAGGGGTTTGGGTTGAGGGTGCAGCAGTGTCGAATCAACTCACTACATGACTCGCAGAATTTTGTCAGGCACAGTACATGAACCTGGTGGCCTTCTTCGTTTCTATAACAGGTTTCATCAACCCCTAACCCTAAACCCTATTCGATTCTATCCGAGGTTTCATCAACCCACGCAGACCGCCACTGGATTTCGAGAACAACTGGATCATGCTTCACAGCCCCTCGGCCGGATCAGCTTCTTGCCCCATAGGCTTCCCAGGTTATATAAGGGTTTAGGCTTTAGGGGTTTAGGGCTTAGGGTTTGGGGTTTAGGGTTTAAGGCTTGAATCCCCGACCCCCCAAGCTTAGGGTTTGGGGTTTAGGGTTTAAGGCTTGAATCCCCGGCCCCCCAAGCCCTAACAACTAAACCCTTACTCCTAAACCCTGAACCCTAAACACTAAACCCCACCCCCAAGGTCATTTGTTCAGTTTCTGATTTCTTCGGAATCACTGCCAGAGTGCGAGGAGGTTGGGGTACAGGGTTTTAAGTTTTACAATCACTAAACTCACTAAACTTCGCTTATGAAGGTTAAACCTAGGGATGTACTACATGTTACTCAGTACTTCAGCTTAGTGCCGGGCACAGCATTTCTGAAGACTCGAGCACAGAGCTGGGTGAGAAGCCTCATTGTCCAACAGGAAGTTCGCACATCGACTGAAGCCTTAAACCCTAATGTCCCATCACCATTGCTCTTACCGTTGCTGGCTCTACCAGAAGCAGTCAGAAGCTCAAATGCCAACAGTCCAGCCTAGGCCTTAACAAACCCCAATCACAGAGATTACTTTAAACGATTTGAGTCGTGAAGGCCCTTGGGCCCGTGCAAAACAGTGCGCTGCTCTTACATATAATATGCAATATATAGCCTACAATCTGTTATATATCATGATATACATACATACACCCATAGAAAATATTTGTCTGCCTGCATGCATGCCTGCCTGCCTGTCTGTCTGTCTCTCTGTCTGTATGCATGTATGCAGCATATATGCATGTATGCAGCTATGCATGCATGCATGCATGCATGTATGCATGTGTGCATGTAGGTAATCATGTATGCATGTAGGCATGTATGTATGCGTTCATGGGCGTATGTGTATGCGGTAGGTATGTATCTGTGTAGGTATGTACGCATGCATGCATGCATGCATGTATGTTTGTGCGTATGCATGCGTGTATGCGTTTCTTTTTGTATGTGTGCGTACGTGTGTGTATGTGTGTATACGTGTGTATGCGTATGTATGCATGTATGCATGTATGGATTGGTCTTCAAGACCACTGAAGACGTGGAGACTGAGCCCTGCCATTTCAGCCTGCAAGAAATCATCATCCATCTCGGACGGAGTCGCGATTCCGGATACTATCGAGCTGTCACTTGTAGGAGCAATGCCTGGCTCTTTCATGATGACAATAAGCCTGCCGTGAAAGTGCGACCCGAGCACAGAAAACTCATCCAGCAAAACTCATACCTTTACATTCTAGCTCTGAATGGTCAACGAGATGTGGTGTAATTTGGTGCTCGCTACTCGTCAGTGCTTGGACCCTTGGGTCGGCTGACGAGGAAGCGCGCTTTTGGCCTGAATAGGTCTATGCTCTCAATCGAGGAGCCGCGTATCAAAGACACGTGAAACCAGGACGCTTCGCAAGGACTTCTCTTTGCCGCTCGAGAAGAAGCATTTCTGCACATATGCATGTATGCATGTATGCATGCATGTACGTTTGTACGTGCGTATGTGTGTGTATGTATGTATGTGTGTATGTATGTGTGTGTGTGTATATGTGTGTATGTATGTATGTGCGTATGTATGTATCTGGGTATGTATGTGTGTATATATTGTAAACATAGATATAGATATGTGCGCGCCCGCCCGCGCGCGCGGGTGTGTGTGTGTGTGTGTGTGTGTGCGCGTGTTTTTGTTTACCGTGACACCCCGGCACTGGGCATAGGCCTTAGTGTATAAGGGCTTGAGACCAGTTCCGGACCCTTGACTCTACGGTTCAGGGTTTCCCGAGACCCTAAAACCAGAAACGATTTGGCCAGTTCCTTCGCTGCAGGTCGTCCCAAAGATCCCACTACCTCGGGGTCTACAGACAATGAGGACGCCCTGTTTGACTTAAATCTGGGTGTTCTAGCAAACATTAGTCCAGTACTTTGGGACTTTGGGTGTGAAGGGCTTTTAGAAGAAACCTCTGTTGGTGTACCGCAACGCAAGCTCAAGCCACGAACCAGAATCCAACACCTTGAATCCGTCAACTTCCCGGCTCCATGCCAAAGCACGGAATTCCAAGCACTCTTCGGCTCGCGTAGACGCTGAATCCACGTTTCGAGCCCAAACTTCAATGAATACAGATATCCCAAAAGCAGAAGGACATCCTGTCGTCAGATGCAGTTCAAAGCTGGAGCGCCGGGGCCCCTGTTTAGGGTGTGGAGGTGTGCACGGTCAAATCGGTGGGGGAGGGTAAGGTTGATACTTGACCCTAAACCCGACTTTAAGCCCATAGCCGCAAAGAGCCCCCACCCCCCGCCCCCACTTGCCCCTACTTCATAAGACCGCAGCAGACTCAAAGGAACATCCCTACTTCATAAAGAAGCCGCACCCGAAACCGCACTGCCAGGTCTATAATCCCAGATCCGTAGGCCCTGTGCCCTCAGCCCTCCACCCTACATGAAGCCTTACCCCTAAGAGCCCTCAGCCCCGAGCCCTAGGTGCTTTGAACCCAAAATACTAAACCCGAAACCCGAAACCCAAAACCCGAAACCTTAAAACCTAAACCCAAAGCCCCAAACCCTAAGCCCCTTACCAGCCCCATACCAAAAACCCCAAACCAGGTCCGAAATAAGCTCCGCTACATCATCGCAAACCTTAAACCTAAATCCCTACAAGCCTATACCCCCAAAAACCTCTATAGCCTACAGCACCAATGCCTCGGAACCTAAGCCCCAAGCAAGGTCCGAAGTAAGCTCCGATACATCACCATCAACCGGCTCACTGAGGCGGCTCAGAGGGCTTCGTACCACTTTCAAAAGGTTACACAATTTATCGCGTGATGGGTTTCGTCAATCAGGATTTAGGTCTAGGCTTTAGGAATGTTTGTGGTGTTATGGGTTTAGGGAATAAGGGTTTCGGGGTTTAGCGTGCTGCCTCAGTCCGGGACTTGGCAGTCCTTGTCATAAGGATTCTAGTCTTCAACTTCGTATGAGGAAATGAGGATAAACGGGATAGACTATAACTCCCATGGTTCAGGGCACCTGAGATTAGTGAGTTGGTTGTCCACCAATGATGGTGTCAGTCCCGGTTGTTGTAAGGTTCATGGAACGGCGTCTTTGTATCGGTGAACGATGGTTCTAAGGTTTGTTCGCAGAAACTCGCACGATTGTTCTTGAGGGCTTTGGATGTGGACCGTGCGAGAAGCGTGTTCCGCCACCCAAAGTGCCTTTGATCAGGCTATCTTGCCTTGCGCCCGAGCCGTTGGTATATAGTGCACTCGGGCGCAATCTGACGAGCCAAAACCCAAATCCGCAACCATAACGTAGCCCGAACCCTAAGCCCGGAGTGGCTTGAACAGCTCTGAACCCCAAACCACAGCTGCCGGGGTATGGGCAGTCTGGGGTTCCGGCATCCGAGATTCTGAGTTCGCGGCTTTTGGGCTGAAAGGGCCTTGGGTTTCAGGTGGTTTAGGGTTTAGGGTTTAGGATTTAGGGTTTAGGGTTTAGGGTTTAGGGTTTAGGGTTGTCATGACTTATTGGTCGGTGTTGTCGCGGCGCCGGCCATGACTAGGTGACTAGGGCAGTTTCCCTGAGCACCTAAAACCGAAACCCTATAAACCAAGTGGCAGGGCTGCTATGCTTCACACGGGGCTTCTCACGACCGGTCGAAGCAGAGAGTTTCACGAGCTTTGCTCAGCAATCATCTCTTCACAAGTCACAGCAACGTGCAGGCTGCCAAGGCGTTGCACATCTCTTTCTCATGAAAAACGAATTCCGTTGCGGACTGTCTTCAGCTGCCGCTATGCGTAGTCCAAGAAAGCCTCTGAAGTTGAGAATCCACTCCACAAGATTACGAAGCGTCAGCATCTCTTCTAGCCATGAATGTCAGGGAAGTTGAATTGGCCACGCCACTGGAAGCCGATCGGACGGAGACCCAGGTTCAGATCCAGAATGCCCAGGATGCTTCGGGAGACCTAAGTGCAGATCCTGAAAAGTCCCCGCGGGACAACCAATTAAAGCTTCATGAGCTTGGCGTCGTGCTCTTCGGCTTGAGGGTCTACGCAAACATCGTTTGCATTCTGGCCCCCGACGACAAAGAAGCTTCGCGCAAGGCAGTCTTTGGTGGCCGCGGCATCGCGGCCCTGGTCGTTAGTGTGGTGTGGCCTTTGGTTGGAGCTTTGCCCTTCTTCTTGCGGATCGACCAGACGTCACAGTTTCATGCATGGTGCAGTGTCGGACTCCTTGTTCTCAATGTCATATCACTCCTGTCAGACACGGGCGGTACTCCTGACGGTGCAGTTAAGGTTCTGACGTTACGTTGGTTCAACCGATCCGTCCCGGTGCATCTCACACCCCTGAAGCTGGAGGCCCTGGGATGGGACGAGAAAGTGAAATGGTGCGCCCATGCCTGGACCTGTGGGATGACATTGCATTTCATTAGCCCTCGCTTTGGTTTGCCCTGGTTCATATCCTTCTTGATGTTCTACTCCGGGTGGAGTCTCCTTTGCGCAAGCAGCTGCATGCACGCCTTTCTGCTGTGGTCCGAAGCTGACGCCAAGCAAGCCTTAGTCGCTGCCAATGCGAAGGACAAGGAATTAGCTTCAAACGGTGCTAGGGCTATTCTGCTTCTGCGCATCGGGGCAGCCCTCACAGTCTTCGATGCCATCTACCTGCCCTGTCTCGAAGCCTTTGCTCCTGGCACTGGCATAGGATTAGCGTATTACTTCACTGTGGACGACCTTCTTGTTGTTACCACTTTGCTTCTCCTAACTGGTGTCATCGGACCACCAGAGGCCCTGAAGGGCGGAGATGTTCTGAAAGAGCTCGCGTTCATGGCGCGGGCTAGAGAGAAGCGCATCGCATTTCCGGGCCAGATGAACCCCACCTCTCAGCACTGCATCGTCAGCTTTCCCGGCAAGTATGCGGAGGAAACTCGGCCATAGTTGGAGTAGTGCTCCTTTCCAGCATGAAGCGAAGGTGGCTGCGGGTGATTCGGTTTGTGGGTGAATCGGTTTGTCTGAGTCGTTGAGGGTTGCGTTCACATTGCATGGAACGGATAATAACGGATACAGCAGCGCCAGGCGCAAGCTACTCCAGATCCAGTGTGGAGTTAGTGCAGTGATTTGTACTTGAATTGCCTCCATTTCAAGCATATTCATCACTTGTTTGCAATCCTTGAGCAAACAGAACGGGGTCTAATTATCATGATATGCCAATCTGAGTGGTCGCTGGCTCTGCGGATCTATGTGTGCAGTTTTGCAGCTTGAGCCTTGCCTATTATCAACTTAAGAGAGAACGACCCCCACCCACACCCACCCTCCCGGCTCATTCTAAATGAAAAAAGCGATTTGGGACCGGAGTTGCGAGCTTCGGTTTCGGTCACCCACCTCGCTGTAGCTTTCGATTCTGCAGGCCCCCTTGCTAGTGCCAGAATCCTGCCGCCCCTGGTGCAGCTCTTGAGTCATGACAAACGATGGGGCGGGAATTTGAAAGGGATCTCAGCTTCCAAATATTCGTTCAGACACTCGCAATTGAAATCACACAGCCCGAGGCCCTAGACTCCAAGCTTCATTCCCTAGTCCTCGTCCTGGTAATGTTAGTACGTTAGTTAGTATATAACTAGTTCAGATTCAGCTCATAGTATCCCCAATACCACTGCTGACTACTCCGCACCCCGCCGGTACTAAATCGGGCAGGGAACCCCCAAGAAACTTGAACAGAAGTGTGGTCGCATCATTGTTGTCACCTTGCGTCGAACTTGCTCGTGCTCGTGCTATCACTCCTGCTCTTGCGCCTGCTCTTGCTCGAGCTTGTTAGGGGTGTGTATGCGTTCTTACTTTTCTCTTCGATGTCCACGAAACCGCAAAAATCTTGCCAAGCTAGTTTTAAATATTTCGCAGATTCAGGTTGCGACGGTTCCGAGAAGGATAGGCGGCCACACCTTGGGCGCTAAGGAATGGGATGGAGCAGTGCGGATGGCACAGGTGCGGTCTGGCGCACCGAGCTTGGCGTGTGTGTTCCTCACGGACGAAGCCTCGGGGCTGGGCAAGCATGCAGAGAATCCTGAGCGACCTGGAGAGTGCTGGTGTCAAGCTCTTTACGGAAGTGTGCCTGCAGCAGCTTACATCAGCATCGTAGAGGACATCAAGACTATGACTGAGGAAGAACTCCATTTCAGGCATCAAGATGCCACAGCCATGGGCCAAATTCTGCTCATACGCGCAGATTCCCAAGATGATGCACAGTGGCGAGATGCCAAAAGGGAAGCAGTTTTGAAGGCCGAGCAGGCTTGCAAGGACAACAAAGGGCTCGCACCCTGGGGCTGCGTGTGGTTCGAGGAGCAGTGTGCCCAAAATTAAGCAGAAAGCAGGGAAGGGTGGAAAGTGTTTAGGAAAATTCCAGAACCAATGTGTGCGTGTATGAAATTTATTTACTGTAATCAACTGGTCCAGAGATAGTGTCACTTGTAACAGACCCATGTTGTTTTGACATATCACAAAACTTGTTCTAAATCTACGTTTACGGTGCAGGGGTAGCCATGTCGCAACATGCGACAAGCCGTATCACTTATCGACTGTATTTGACTTCCCTAGTTAGTTCATCAAAAGAAAATCACCTGCCGTCGAGATGTGTCTGTGCAGGAATGGAAGGTGAACGTTTCAAAAGCTGTCGACCTTGGCCAGAAGCTACACGTGTTCTACTTCGAGAACAAGGTTGGGGAAGGAAAATTGGCCTGGGATGACCTGGCCAACGAAACGGTTGTCAAGAAGGCCAGGGAAACCAGCGGCCTCGGTGCATCACAAACAGCTGAAGTGGCTTACTTGCAGAGGTGGGGCTATGGCTTTGAAGAGCACGACGTGTCGGATTTTTTCGATTTCATGCAAAGGCAGAGAAAGAACGCTTGAATTCCGGACGTTCACTTGCAGAAGGCAACACAGTATCTAGCATTGAAGCCTGTCGTCCTGAGATACTGCTTGAAAAATGTGTAAAAGTGCTCGCGAACTGGACCTGAGGAGCTTCAGGGTCTATAGGATTGACGGCTGCCGGATGCTCCGGTGCTTTGGCCTCAGATCTAACTGGCCTTCGCTTTCATGCAACTCTAACACGGAAGCTTAGGGCGCATTTATGAAATCCTACAACACCTGTGACAGCCAACCCTGCTTTTTATACTACATCCTCGCAGAAGCCTCTCACACCCACTATTGTTGACGTTCTTTAATGAACATGCCGCATGCAACGGCCATGCATTTCTCCACTTCGTCGACCCTTTTGCTGGATGTCTTGGGCGCTCTGAGTTATGGCCGGGTTTTGTTCAGAGTTTGGCTTAGTGTCTAGGGCCACAGTTTAGCTTAGTGCATAAGTTAGGACTCAGTAGTAGTGGTGTTTGTGCTGTTTCTAGTGTAGGATTTGGCGTTTCTGTTTTTTCTTGATTGCGGGTGTGGATTCTAGAGTTGGTGGAGCAGACAAGCACCATGTACTTAAAGGTCTGGAAGAGGGTTCGGCAATTTTGTCCACACTGGGTCAAGAAACATCCGCTGTCACTGGCCTTCATTATCACGGTTTAGGGTTTAGGGTTTAGGGTTTAGCGTTTAGGGTTGTCATTAAGAAGTGTTCCGGGCCGCCAAGCTGCCTTTGTTTAAAGGTGCTGCGCCCAACAGACCCGGCCATCATCCACTTCGAGTTCGTCACAGTGGCTCGGCCATCGGAGCCCTAAGGCTTGCAGAACCCGACTATAGGGGCCATATGGGAGTTTCCGAAAATAGGGGACCCTAATATAGTACCCGAAATAGTAGGATCCTTATTATAAGGACCCCCAGATAAGATAGCCCTAGTTTCCGGAAACTCCCATATTAAGGAACCCCCACAATAGTATTGGTAATTACTATAATAAGGCTTGCAGAACCCGAAACATTAGACCCAATGTACAAGCTCTATATCTTTAGACTGGGCGTTCCTTGGAAGTCATTCTTCTACTTCATGGTTTGAGAATTTGATCCCTAAGCTCCACGGGCTATGGCGTGAAGATATTCATGATCAGCAACCCTTGCACCCTATACCCCTCAAGCCCATGAAATGCCCAAACTCCAAAGATGCTTAGTGTCACGAGCATCAACCCACATGCACAGAACTTGTAATTACTCCCAAACCCAAGGCGCAAGCCCTAAACCCTAAACCCTCTCAACCTGCAACCCTAAATCCCCAAAGGTCAATCCAGCAGATTCGATGGAAATCCAAGCCGCCTTCCCGATTGGGTTCGACTTCACGAACGTTTACCTCAATTCCATCGGTGCGACCCTCAGACGATCCTCGCGATACCTGGGTTGGTTTAGGGTTTAGGGTTTAGGGTTTAGGGACTTGTGCCATCCAAAGACGGAGAAGATCTACATCAGGTGACGGCAACTACCTGGACCCCAAAAGTATGTAGAATAATAGCCTTTTATAGTATTTGGGCCATTATTTTACCTACTTTTGGGGGTCTAGGTAGTGTGTTTTTGAAGCATGAGTGTTCTAATTTGACAGGGAACGCTCAAGTTAGCAACACCATTGAGCCCTAGCCGATCGAGCCGGATGTGCCTGCACGTCCAGCGGGAGTATATTGAATAGGAATCGCCGAAGTCTCCACAGCCATCACAGTCATCATTCAGCATTCATCATCATTACGATCACAATTACCACCACCATCATGGCCACCAGCATCTTCATCCACATCAATATCGTACCCGACCAGACAATGACGTGTTTCGGTTGCCATCACCGTCTTCCTCATCGAATTTTCGTGGTAAACAGATTTCCATCGTCATTCTCAAGATCGTTCTGCCGTCACCGTGGCCAGCATACTCTTTCATCGCCATCGTTATCGATACCATCATCATCAGCATCGTCACCACCATGACCATCATCTTCATCAGCGCCATCATCATCATCAAGCAGCGCCAATCACCACCACCGCCGCCACCACCACCACCACCGCCGCCGCCGCCGCCGCCGCCGCCGCCGCCGCCACCGCCACCGCCACCGCCACCGCCACCACCGCCACCGCCACCGCCACCGCCACCGCCCCCGCCCCCGCCACCCCCCCACCGCCACCGCCCCGCCCCACCGCCACCGCCGCCCCCACCGCCACCGCCGCCCCCACCGCCACCGCCGCCCCCACCACCACCGCCACCCCACCACCACCACCCCCACCACCACCACCACCACCACCACCACCACCACCACCACCACCACCACCACCACCACCACCACCACCACCACCACCACCACCACCACCACCACCACCCACCACCACCACCACCACCACCACCACCACCACCACCACCACCACCACCACCACCACCACCACCACCACCACCACCACCACCACCACCACCACCATGATCATGATCACGAGCGTTATCTTCATCATCACCATCATCATCTACAGCAGCCACCACCACCACCATGATCATGATCATGATCATGAGCGTTATCTTCATCATCACCGTCATCATCTACAGCAGCATCGGCATCATCATCAGTGTCATCATCATCATCATCATCATCGTCATCGTCAACACCACCAGCAGCAACAACATTAACAGCCACCACAACATTGTCGTCAACATATTCCTTATTCTTTTTTGTCATCATTATCGTCGTCGTCATCATCACTATCGTGATTGGAAGTTGTTCAGGAGGGGCTATAACTCCAACGGTTTGAAGCTTAACGATTTCCTCTTGCTGCTTGAACTCGATCCCGACTCAGGCACAGACGATGGCAACAAGCCGCCTAACGCAGCGCGCTCGATTCAGATTAGGATTTCGGGTTTCAGGAGGGTTCAGGGATGCTTTCAGCAGGCGTTCTACGATCCAGAAGCCTTGCGCATCGAGTAACATAGGGGCCTCAATTAGAATAGGGGCCCATATACTATGATTATGGTAAGGAACCACCAAATGAGTATATAATAGGTAATTAATATGGCCCCTATAGTATGCTTCGCGAGAGAAGCAGCTGCCGCACTCCGAAGCAGGATTTGCGACGACGGGAGTCTTTATCACGCAACGTTCACAATCTTACTTACGGATGCGAGTTAACGGGCTCTTTGACGTTAGATGCTTCGTTGATTTTTTGCTGTGCCGAAGTCCTTTCCAGCTTGGCTGGTTGGGGGATGTAAGGTTTAAGGGAAACTATATCTATTCGGGGTCTGGCTCTTGTATATAGGGCTTCCGAGGAATAGTGGCGAGTGTATAAAGTCTTGGTTCCTATCACGGGGACGTGAGTAACCGCACGCACCTTTGCGACATGGATACTCTTCGGAAGCCTTTGTGTTTGCCAAGAAAACCATGTAACTCTGTGTGTATGTGTGTGCGAGTGTCTCTCTATGTCTCTCTCGCTCTCCCTCTGTCTCTGTGTCTGTGTGCGCACTTCTGCTCATGCGTCAGTTTTGTGTTATGATTTTGTGGTGTAGACACGCATTCATGCACATCCTACTCAGTGTCCGTGAGTGGGGATATCGAGCAGCAGCCTGTGCCGGCAAGGGACCGCCTCTGCATTGTTCGTCTGTAGTGTAGCATGTTGAGTTGTCCCGAAGAAAAAAGAAAATTTTGGATGTTGGAGCTGAAAAGCATTAAACTCTCAACCCTAAACCCTACTGTTGATGATATAAATTCTGCATTACCTTAAGGACCCTAAACTATGGGAATTATGGTATATTCCTTCTTATGGGTAATGCAGGATTTGTATCATCAACCGTAGTATCATGTTTCCCGCAGTTGTCGAGCTCCTTAGCCCTGGAGTTCTGTCCTGACGGTGCGCCGCTTTGGCAGGGGCCCTTACCGTATCATAGAAACGCCAAGAATAGGGTCCTTCAGGAAAGCGTGAGACCCCCCCCCTTCCCTCAAAAAAAAACTTCTTTTGCGGCGGATCAGAGAAAAGGGACGAGTAACAATTGACACACACACACACACACTCGAACCGTACCCCCCAACGAGCACCTGCATCTTAACAGCTGGCGGCACAAGCCCCGAACAGTAAAACAGCTTTGAACCCTACTAAGCCCTACTAGCAGTTTAGGGCTGAGGGTTTAGGCAGACAGATTCCCTCGCTGGAGCAGAAGCCGAGGTGGGTCGCCGCCTACTTTGGCAAGGCTTCACCAGACCCTTGGCTGCGTTGGCATGAAACAGCCAAGCAAAGCCCAGTCACCTACAAAGCAGGTTCCTAATCTTAGGGTCCAGGCTCAGAGTCTCGAAGGTCCATATCCGGGGTTGAAGGAGCATCAATGCAATGTACCCGTAATCGGTAGCCCCACACTGCACAACTTTAATGTCTTAGGGTTTAGGGATTAGGGTTCTAGTATACATCATGAAAAGATGTGGATAGGCAGTACCAAGAGCACCGACGGAGGCAGCAAGAGGAGACCCCTTATCAAGCAGTTCAATCCCGGGCACTCCAAAGTCTAGGAACGACCTGCTCGGGCGCAGTATTCTTATATTACTTAAAGGATTATGGGACTTAGTAACTAGGGTTATAGTTAGGGTTATAACTACTTGTAACCCCAATTAGGGTACTTATAACCTTGCTTACTAAGTCCCATGATCCTCCAAGTATGCTTGTGCTACTTGAAGCCCTGCTCAGCACCTACTTGGGAGTTTCCGAAAATAGGGGACCCTAGTATAGTACCCTAAATAGTAAGATCCTTATTTTAAGGACCCCAAAATGAGGTACCCCTAATTTTCGGAAACTCCCACTTGCAAAGTCCCGTGCTTGGGCCGAGAGTCGAGTTTCAATGGTGGCTTCGGGTCGCGGGTTCCCGGGTGAAGACGAAAGAATCACTTCGCTTTAGCTGATATGCTTCTCCAATCACCAATAGTCCAAGGAAGGGTTTCAGGGTTTGCTGAAATCATATGAACTTCGGACGAATACTAAACTCAGAGCCCACAAATGTGCCGCAAATTGGGAGCTGCAGAATCATCTCAATCGGTGGCAGGCCACGGGCCGCTGCATTTTTGAGCTTTGAGCTTTCTTGTGGGCTTCATCGCTTTAGTAAGCTCCCCAGAGACTCCAATATCCCTTAATTAAAGAATATACCTTAAATCATACTAGGGATCCTCCTATAACTTGAGATATGTTCCTTAATTAAGGGATATATGGAGTCTCTGGGTCATGGCTCTGTAGACGTTTCCATGCCCCTATGTGATACTGCCCCCACTCAGTAACAGTTGGATAATATTAGGCCCTTAATAGTAGCCCTATTATAGACTGTTAGTGTATGGGGGGCAGTATCCAACCCCTATGTAATTTCAAGGAGCCTCAACTCTCATGACATCCAGCGGCGATCTGCGAGGATGGGACACCCAGAGACTCCAACATCCCTTAATTAAGGAATATACCTTAGTTTATAATAGGATTCCTAATATGATTTAAGGTATATTTCTTAATTAAGGAATATATCTCAAGTTATAAGAGGATCCCTAACATGATTTAATTAGGTATATTTCTTAATTAAGGGATATTGGAGTCTCTGGGCACCTAACTTTCGGAACCGCCCTGAGGGTCCATGTGCCTGAATAGTATATACTGTAGCCTTAAAATGCTCCCTATATGGGTACATTGGGCCCAAAGTATATACTATTTGGGTACATGGACCTTCAGGGCCAGCTACTTGAATCACTGGGGTTAGAGATGTAGGGTATGATTCCTCAACTCTTGACCTAGCCGGCTTTCGCACGAGGTGGGATCGAGCTTCGCGATGGCTACCGCGATACTTGCGAATTAAGGCGGGTGTGAACCTGCCGAAAATGTGTTTTTCCATGAGTGCGTGAGGACGCATTGGATCAACAACGTCTTGTCTTAGGTCTTACGGTTTAGGGCTTTAGGGTTTCTCAGGGTTTTCGGGAGTTCGGGTTGGGGGTTTGGGGCTTTTGAACAACATGTACCCCCGAAAACCTACAGGTCAGGGTGTCGCATCTTGGAGTTACACGACTAGCACAGGTTGCAGGTGCTGCTAGTGGCAATAGTTGGTCTTCGCTGACCTCGTAGTAGTATGTACTAGTAGTAGTAGTAGTAGTAGTAGTAGTAGTAGTAGTAGTAGTAGTAGTAGTAGTAGTAGTAGTAGTAGTAGTAGTGGTAGTGGTAGTAGTAGTAGTAGTAGTAGTAGTAGTAGCAGTAGCAGTAGCAGTAGCAGTAGCAGTTGCAGTTGCAGTTGCAGTAGCAGTAGCAGTAGCAGTAGCAGTAGCGGCAGAAGTAGTAGTAGTAGTAGTAGTAGTAGCAGTAGTAGTAGTATTATAGTCTCCTTAGGAACTATGTTTGATTATTGTTCATTTAGAACCCAAGAGAATGTTAAACATGTTTTTTTTTTATGCTTTTAAGGCGGGGGAAGAGAAGTAGTAGCAGTAGTAGTAGTAGTAGTAGTAGCAGTTACTGTAGTAGTCGAAGTAGTAGTAGTAGTAGTAGTAGTAGTAGTAGTAGTAGTAGTAGTAGTAGTAGTAGTAGTAGTAGTAGTAATAGTAGTAGTAGTAGTGGTGGTAGTAGTAGTAGTAGTAGTAGTGGTAGTGGTAGTGGTAGTGGTAGTGGTGGTAGTAGTAGTAGTAGTAGTTGTTGTTGTAGTAGTAGTGGTAGTAGTAGTAGTCGTAGTAGCAGTAGTAATAATAGCAGTGGTAGTAGCAGTAGCAGTAGCAGTAGAAGTAGCAGCAGCAGGAGTAGCAGGAGCAGCAGGAGTAGTGTAGCAGTAGTGTAGTAGTATTGTTTACTAGTGTAGTAGCACGTTCCAGGTCAGTCGTTTCGGCCGGTATGTAATTATCAACCGCAGCCGCGCAACCCTAAATCCTAGACCCTAACCACAAGCACGACATGGTGTATCATCGACGAACTCCCCTGCCGTCCAGGAGTGCAGCATCTGCCTTCCGATCTGTTCGCATGCCCAACATGTTTTGGCTTATAACCTCTGGTCAAATTCATAACCTAAGCATAAGTGTTATACACCGAAACCTTTTTGCTTTCGGAAGCGGCCATGGCTCTCTTTCTGAGAATCACTCGCTTTTGAGATTGGGATAGTATAGAGTCCTGTCACGAAAGCTTTTCGAACTTGGCTTCCTATGCGCTTGTAAGCCACGGCCACGAGACGACGGTGAAGAGGCTGATTTTCAGAGCCACGTTCCCCGCGTGCTTATCCGAATGCCCCTGAGTAAGAACAAGGGAGTCCGAGGAATCCCTGTATCTCGGTACAAGTAGGGTTTTAAGTAGGGTAACCGTGGTTATTACCTTTATTAGAGGACTTAAAACCACGTTTTTACCTAACCAAGGACCTCCAAGTAGGCCACAGGCTCTCTTGCAACTTCACATGTTGAGACTCCCTTATCGTGTCCTGAATTGGAGACCGTAGAGGCGGACCCATTGGCACAAATAATGCAGTCGTACGGTTCTCTGCTTCATAGAAGTGTTTGGCAATCCAGCCGTACGGTTCGCTCCTTCATGGAAGTGTTATGAGCTCTGAAATCTCTACAAGCCGCGAACAGCAAAACACTCGACTGGAGAGTTTGCTTGCGAAGGGTAAACTTCGACAAGAACGAGTACGTCCGGTTCGAGTTGGGCGGTATCCTGATTCCCTGGACGGGCGGGCAGGCGGATATTTGTGTTGTGTTGTTTGGATGCTTTCAATTCTTATGAGTGCGTTTCCGCTCAGGGTCCACGTAAGCAAGTAGTATAATTATACTTTGCCCGTAAAGTACTCCCTATATATAGGTACATTGGGCCCGAAGTATATACCATTTGGGTACAACGACCCGTCGGGTTCGGTTCGGGAATGGAGGATCTTGCTTGCCGGGGCGGAAAGAGGCCCCTCAGTGTTCGTGACGACTAGCTATCTCTACACCCCGCACCTGCTACCGCTTAGCCCGAGGCAGTCTAGTCAAGTACGGAATGAAGAGCCAATAAGTACAGGCATCCTCAACATCTGGGGACAGTTCTTGTCAAACGCCCAAGCTTCCTGCACATCGACAGCTCTTACCCCCCCCCCCGGACCCTAATCCCCAAACCCCAGACCCCAGACCCCAAAACACTAAGCCCTCAACTCAAACCGTCGTGGAGCCCTCAACCCAAACCGTCGTGGAGCGGCTGCGCCAGGCGCTTTTCAACATGCACACCAGCATTGGAGGCTTTCGGCAGGCCCGAAAGGCTCAGGGGATTTCGGGCCATTTTAGGGTTTTGAGTTTATCTAGATTCCAGGTGTGGCGCGTAATTAGGGTCGAAAAATCAGGGTTTGGGATTTATCGTTTTTGGGGTTTCAAGTTCAGGGCTTGAAGGTGTAGCATGTAGGGTTTCGGTTCGTGAGCGCCTGAGATCGACGGAACCACGCGTGTGGTTGTGCGGAAATTCACCCAAGTCTGCTGCCAGACCCAAGTAAGATTTGACATGTGGGTTTCATGGCTTTGTATGTATGGCTTCATGGTTCGTGGCTCCACGAAACTGCATGCGACCACTTGGGGTGTACAGGAAGGATTCTTAAATGGATCCTAGTTTAGTGGGACCTCACTCGATGCTTCATGAAGGCTTTAGTCCTCTGTGTGACACGGTGCAAAAAAGCACGTGACAGCTGAATGTGCCTGGATAGCCGACTGTTTCGTTCCATGTTGAATTCGAGCGCACGCATGTACACATCCACCCATTGCGAGTTTCGATGTATGTGCGCCTACATTCACATGGGTGGTTGTCAAAATTATGGTCCTTTTTTGGGTCCCTATGATAATACGGCACTTATTATTCAGGGTACCCCAAAAGGGACCCTAATTTTGACAACCACCTACATGCTCTGGCGCTCCTTTGCCCGTCATGTCACAAGGAAGCAATCGGAGGGGAGACAACAGTTCTGTCCTGTGGACGCTAACAGTCTGTTCGGGTCTTTAGGTTTCCGGCCGGCAGGGGCAACAGGCATTGAGTGCTTGTGGTTCCTGGAGTGTCACAAGAGCAAAGCATCAATGATCGGAAGCCATAGGGACCACAGACGAAACTCACAAGCATGTGTGCACTCTGAACCTAAACCCTAAACCCCCAACCTTGATCCCCGAACCTTAAATCACATGCAGCCAGGATGAGATCGAACTTTGCTGCCACGTTTGGCGCTGAGCATTTGGCCTTGAGGGCAGAGGCTTGTGTTCACGGCCGAAGGCTAGATGTTAAGGTGCCTCCTTTCTGCAATTATGCCCGGGGGAATTCTCGCCGAGGAAACCTCAGAAAATCCTGCCCCGCCTGCCCCTGCCTCTTATCAGCCCGAAAATTCCCATATTGAATTCAAAGTTCCGTTATGAGCCCCAAAAATCCCATGTAGGAATTTGAGGCCTTATGCGCCCGAACAAAGTCCCATGTGGGAACTCCAGTGGCTTAACCCGAAAATAGTACGGCTGCCTTGCAAAGACGAACCGAAAAGGGACACTAACTTAGAGAACTACCCAGTGGGTTGGCGACGGAATGCTACTTTCAGCTCCCAGGCGCTCATGCACTAAAGCCGCGGGTTTCTAAGGGTTTTTAGGGATTTTGCGGTTAGGGGTTCACAGGGTGTCTCAAGGGGTTTATGGGCGGCCTATTGGTGGTTACAGGGGTTTTAAAGGGAGCTTTTTCTTCCTTTCTTGCTTGTTTCTGCATTCGGCGGCACTATGCAATAAGACCTTGCGATTTTAGGGTCTATGTTGGGGTCCTTGAACCCTCAACCCAAGAAAGAAACATACATAGATATGCCAGTTTTACAACCCTCAAACTTCCCTAAACCCTAAACCCGAAACCCAAAACCCTAAACCCTAAACCCTAAACCCTTAACCTCAGGAGGGAGAGCCGCCAGAGAACCCTGCGCATGTGTTCAAGGCAGACGAGTTGGACATGTTTGGGGTCAAGGATTGGTATTCAGGGTTTAGATTTTAGATGCTTCAGGGTTTAGATGCTTTAGGGTTTAGATGCTTTAGGGTTTAGGGTTTAGGGTTTCCTAAACCCTAAACCCTAAACCAAGGCCCTTGCGTGGTTTTGGGGCTGTACTACGTTAGGTACCTTGTTTAGGCTTCGAACAGTTGCAGCCATAGCTTAGGGTACACACGTATAGGCCCCAAACCGTAGCAGCCTCACTATAGGGAGCCCAACAGCAAGGTGTCCCAGATGCTCTCAAAGTTGCTTCTGGTTTGGGCAGACCGGGCCTTCTGGTTCCAATCTTCGGCTGGACCCCCAAACCCTAAACCCCCAAACCCTAAACCCCCAAACCCTAAACCCCAAACCCTAAACCCCCAAACCGTAAACCCCAAACCCTAAACCCCCAAACCCTAAACCCCCAAACCCTGAACCCCCAAACCCTAAACCCTAAACCTGAACGCTGCTGGGGTTATAAGGTTCAGGAGACCCTGGGCCCCTTTAGGATAGGGTTTTAAACATTCAACACTGCAGGGAGCCACAGGTGCTATTAAGGTGGCGTTAGGAAAGAGAGCTTAGACCCTATAAAACCTTAATAACATGGGGGGCCTCAATAATAAGAACAGGGTTTTGGCGCTCATTCTAACTATACTAGAAGTATATATAATAAGGACCCCCCCAAAAAAACAAAAGTATAGATAACTGATATGGCCCCTATATGATCCGATATACCACAGTTGCAGATACGGTTGATGATATAAATCCTGCATTACCCATAATAAGGATTATACCCATAATTCCCATAGTTAAGGGTCCTTAAGGTAATGCAGGATTTATATCATGAACCGTAGCATAGTCGTCGGGCCCGGAGCTTTCATTGGTGAGTTCAGGGGCTCTTTGGTTGCTGATTCTAGGGTTTCTGTTTATAGTTTATATTTCGAGGTTCATGGGTAGTTACAAGTGGGGTTATAAGTCCCCGAATATAGGTTATAACCACAGTTATCCTACTTATAACCCTACTTATAACTACCCATGAGCCTCTAAGTAGGGTGTTTCAAGGTGTTTAGGGCTTAGGACGAACGGTTTAGGGTTTAGGGTTGAAGATTCAGGGTTTCTGGTGTAGGGATTTTTCAGGTATATGGGGCTTAGGATTACGGGTTTAGGGTTGAAGGTTGAAGCTTTGGGGTTCAGGATTTAGTCTTAAGCTCTGATCTGATGCAGGGGGTTCTATATCTGATATCCGCTTATTTCGCAACATCTACACTCACCACACCCTATATACACCGACCGAGATCCTTGACGTGAGCCCGACTTCACGTTAGAGCACAAGGCTAGGAATCTTCAGCCTTCACAAATATCGGAGTTTCCGAAAATTCGGGGGATCTTATTTTGGTGTCCTGATAAGGATCCTACTATTTAGGGGAGTCTATCAGGGTCCCCTATTATCGGAAACTCCCTAAGCCCTAAACCCTTAATAGAACTCTAGATCCCTTCAAGGAACCCTTAGAGCAACCCTTTAAAGGGAACTCCAGAAAGTTGGAACATGGTTTCAGGGTAGGATACCCTATAATTTACCATAGAAGGGTTAGGATAATCATATTCCAACTTTCTGGCTTTTACCTTAAAGGAAGTCTATTTGGGTCCCCCATGTTCGGAAACTCCCACATTGCCAGGTGCCGTATCGACTGCAGGGTCTTCGCGGTGTGCTCATGAACGAGTGGATGCAGCAGGCGCCCTGTCCAGGGTTGAGGGTTTAGCGAGGTGCAGGGTTTAGGGAAGTTTAGGGTTTAGGGAAGTTTAGGGTTTAGGGCTTTAGGTGTTTAGGTTTTTCGGGTTTAGGGTTTCTAGGGTTTAGGGTGTTCGGTTTAGGGTTTAGGTCCTAGGGAGGTTTAGGGTTTAGTTTAGGGACGTTTGGGAGGTTTAGGGTTTTTGGATTTTGAGTGCAAGTTCAGGGGCTGCTTGATGCTCAGTGGCCGAATGTTCGAAGAATGGAAGACCATATTACCGCACTACGCTACGGTGCTAGACTGCCCTAGACCCAGACCCCCGGGAGGATCTAGAAAGCAGATCCCCTATTTTGGGGCCCTATACTGCTCAGGGTACTTTATATAGGAACCCCCATTAAGGGATCTACTTTTTGGATCCTCCGGGGGTCTGGTGAATACTGGCGCTAGTTTGTGTGTGGAATCTGTGCGTGCTGAACAGCTATCGTATAACAACGAGATGCCAATCCTGAACCTCGCAAGATACAGTCGCGGTTGCAGCCCTCAAGGAGCACAGCCCCTAGGATGGGAATTACCTGTCTGTGGTCGTACCAGGTTGTGGTTCAGGCTTCAGGGTTTAAGATTTTTGTTTGAAGCAGAGGGTGCCGCGCCGGGCGTTTACACTCTAAATCTTGCCAGAGATCTGGGGCTGAGGGAAATGTCTAGGCTATTTCCAAAGCTTGTCGAAGCAGTTGATGCCTCCACCTGTTCTATTGCAGGAGAGGACAGGGCATGGCGGCCCCCCGGCATAGGCTAAGATGTATGACGAGCTCGGCACATCACTTCAACCCAAACCCAGCACCCTCAATCCCGAACCTTAAACCCTAAGCACAAAAACCCCCGAACCCTAAATCCGTAACTGTGGCCCGGTAACTTGAGAAGCCAGCCAAGTACTGAGAAGGTAGTGAAACTATAATTCTGCAGCGCAAACAGCTGGATGGACTTTTGGTTTAGGTTTTGGGGGCAGTGAGTCGTCTGTTTAGTGCTGCCAAACATTTGTACATGTAGTACTGCAGTATAAAACCCCCCGATACCCTAGTCTAGTTCCTTGGGCCCTTCAAAGCTGCATTAAGTTTTTAAGGTATCGTTGTTTTTGTTTGTTTGCTTCTTTTTTGGGGGGTTGTGTTGGTCTCTTCAGATCCCGTGGGTTCCAGACACGCCGAAGCTCCCACACCCGCTGAAAACCCTAAACCTAAACCCTAAACCCTAAACCGCTAAGCCCAAAAGAAAGACGCCGTAAACCCCGAGTCTGAACCCGTACGGTTACCTACGGTTGATGATACAAATCCTAAATTACCTTAAGGACCCTAAACTATGGGAATTATGGTATATTCCTTATTCTGGGTAATGCAGATTTATATCATCAACCGTAGTAGTATAGTAGGTAACCTTTGACCTTTTCTAGGTAGTATAGTCCCTATGTAATCCCTCTACAACCAAAAAGGTTAACCTTTAGGTCCCCATGATACCCGACAAGTACCTTAAGGACGCAATGAACCCTAAAAGGGTTAAGGTTCATATACCATATAGTGATTCGTAGTATATGGGCATAGGCCCCTACTTTTAAGGGTCATTTGGTCCTTCAGGTAGGGTTAAGGCAGGTAGTGTGGGGCGCCTCAATAGCTAGAAAAGTATAGGGTCTTGGGCTTTGTTACAGTGTCCTTCTAATAAGGAACCCTAAGGAATCATGTTGGTAATTATCTAAGCTTCCATAGTATACGGCTCCACTTCCATAGTCTACGGCTTCGGGTGTTACTTTGGATCCTTTTCTGTGTTTGTTCGGCCAGGCGTTTCTGTACCCCATCGCCTCCAGCATGAAGACAAGGCAAGCTTCCCCCAGACTGGTGACCTGAGCCCTCAGGACTTGTTGATGTTTGCTAGCCATTGATTTTGGGGGAGCTACGGAGCCAGGGAGGACTTGTTGATGCTTGGCTTAGGGATCGTTTAAGGGTGCTACAAGGGTTCCCCTAAACTTGCGGCTTAGGGTTTGGGTTTTGTGTTGCAAAACATGTATCATGGACACATAGATACCTTAGGGTCCAAAGGACTCCATGATTTGGTACATGGGTTTCGGATGGTCGTTATCCAGGCAAGTATATTTGGGAGAATTCATGATTATCTGTTACTTGGACCCCTGGGGAAAATCAAGGGGCTATGACTCACTTAATGTTGTTGTTCTGGGTCTCAGGGCGTGTAGAAACTAAATGCCCTAAACCCAAAGGCTGTCAGCTCAGCTCTACGCCTATGTCCGAAACCCGTGTAAGCCTTGTTACAATCTCTACATGCCAAGCCCGTATATTTGGTGGGTCTTCGTTAAGAATCAGACTCCAACTACAGAAGGGTGTTGCACAGGTATGAGAGCTCTTGGTTCAAGGGGGTTAGAGCTAGAGATGTTCCCTAAGCCAGAGCCGTAACGGCCCCAGACACGTAGAGTATCTGGCAGGGTTCTAGGCTGCAACCAAAGCAACCCTAAGCCCCAAAACCTTGAAATATCAAACAGCCAAACCCTTCTTCTAACCTTCAAAACAGCCCGTATGTAAACCCTCAAATTATCACCTGTTGAAATCCCCAAAGTAGGGCTTTTAAAGGCCGAGCCCCGAAGTGCGGGAGCCCCTAAAACCGGCGAGGCGGTCGAGGAGCGCGGACGCTTGAAGCCTTTCACAACTCTTTACATCCAAGCCAAGAGGGTCCATATGGGGGTTTCCGAAACAGGGGACCCTAATATAGTACCCTAAATAGTAGGTTCCTTGTTATATGGACCCCCAAAGAAGGTATCCCTAATTTTCGGAAACTCCCGACTATTGTGGAATTAGGTCCAGACAGACCATGATAGTGGTCTGTCTGGACTTAATTCCATAACAGTAGTGTATATGGACCGTCTAGGAAAGAGCTTCCCTTTGCGTAGAAGCTTGAAAGCCTAATGTGTAGTTAGTAGCATTTTCTTGGAGTTCCTCATCGTAAGGACAGAATGAGCACCGATTAGAGATACAGTGGAGTACGCCTCAAAACCTTAGGCCAATTATCAAGGTCGCTGGATCATCTCTCTGACTCCCACTCGCTCAAGTTCCTAAACTCTAAACTCTGGCAAATACTCTGGCAAATTGGAATTAGCAACTGAAATTTGAATCCAGTGGCCAAGACTGGCGTCTTCATTGCTAGCGACAGAAGCAATATTCCCGAATGGTGTCGCGAGCGAGGTCGTTCGAACTCGAAGGTTTGAAAGTTTGAGAGTTTGGAGGTTGAAGTTTGAAAGTTTCAAGCTTTGAAGGTTTGAAGGTTCGAAAAGTGCTGGAGTTCGAAAGTTTGTGCACCTTGGTGTGCACAAGCTAGCCGCGGTCAAACTTCGAACTTTTCGAACTCGAAACTTTCAAACTTTCAAGCTTTCAAACTCTCGAACTTTCAAGCTCGACTGGCTGCTTGAAACTCAAACTTCAAACTTTTCCCGCGGGCGAGTTCGATCGGCCTTCGAAGTTTGAGAGTTCGAGACTTTGAAAGTTTGCAAATTCGAAGGTTCGACGGTTTCAAACTTTGAAAGTTCGAACGTTCGAAAGTTTGAAAGCTCGAAAGTTTCAAAGTTCGAAAGTTTGAAAGTTCGAAAGTTCGGAGTTTGAAAGGTTGGCTTCAGATTTCCTCTTCGGCTTGGGCTGAGGTGACGAGTTTGAAAGTTCGAAGGTTTCAAACTTCGAAAGGTTTCATGTTCGAAGGTTTGAAAGTTTCAGAGATCGAAAGTTTGAAAGGGATGAAAGTTCGCGAGTTTGAGAGTTCGAAAGATTGAAAGTTTGCAAAGTTTGAAGGTTTGAAGCGCGTCGAGATGCAAAGTTTGAAAGTCCGCTGAGTTTCGAGCTTGAAAGTTCGAGAGTTTGACAGTTTGAAAGTTCGAGTTTGAAAAGTTTCAGAGTTTGAAGCGCTCGACATGCGGTCACGTATATGGGTGTTGTTCGCAACCTCAATTAAGTATCTTGAACAAACACGCCTTCTTTGTTGGCGATTCCGGTTCACTTCGCCCTCATTTTGCGATTCCGGTCATCATAGCCCCTCACCACATATCTTAATTACGCTCCCATTGGGCGATTCCAGCACACCGTGTAACTTAAACGCACCCCTTGAGTTGGCGATCTTAAGCACACCCCTCATTTAGCTTTTCCGGGTCATCGTATTGTCGTATTACGCTTACTCATTTGGCGCTTTCGGTTAATTTTACATCTTACACACGCCTTCTCTTTTGGCGATTCTAGTATATCTCAAGCACGCCCAAGGACGTTTTGGTTCATTTCTTCGCGGCTTAAACAAACGGGGAGTGTGCTGTCTAAAAGCGCATCCCCCCCCTCCCCCTCCATTTGCAAAGCTTCCGAACCACCCAACATGAATATTATTTTCGCTTTTAACCCCCCGATGCGTTTTCGTGTGGCTTTCTCCTTTGTGTGTCTTGGAGAAGACTTTTCCCGGCGACTAGTGGTACTATTCGGGGGGGGTGGCGAGGGGCTCATGGGTGAAATATGATAGGGAGGCCTTGTAGTTTTGGGTTTGGGCGAAGCATGAGAGAGGGGGTTGGGTGAAGTAAGTAGTCCTCCAAATCACTGGGGTTGGGTGAAGTACCTAGTCCTCCAAATCACCTTCCAAATCACTCATGATCATAATGCTCTTTTCTTCGTCTTTAACACCCCTGAAGCGTTTTCGTCTGTTTTTCTTCGTTTGTGTGTGTTGGAGAAAACGCGGCTTAAGAGAGCAGGAAGTTTGCAGTCTAAAAACAGCGGGGGGTTGGGGGGGGGGCGCAGCCCCCCCCATTTGCAGAGTTTCCACATCATTCATGAAAGAAGGGGGGTTTTGGGTGAAGTACGCTTGCAGTCTAAAATAAGCGGCGGGGGGGAGGGGGGGGGTTGGGGGCGCAGAGCCCCCTCCCTCATCTGCAGAGGTTCAAAATCACTCATGATTCATGATGTCTTCTTCGCTTCTAATCCACCTGAAGCGTTTTCGTGTGCTTTCTCCCTTGTGTGTGTTGGAGACTGGGGGGGGGCTCGAGTCTTGGATTTGAACGAAGTATGAGGGGGCGGGGCTCGTACTCTGGTTTTTGGTGATGTATGAAGGGGGTTACGTTTTATTTTTTTCGCGGCTTAACAGAGCAGGGAGTTTGCAGTCCAAAACAAGTTGGGGGGTTGGGGGGGCGCAGCCCCCCCCCCCCCTTTCAGAGCTTCCAAATCATTCATGCTTAAGTTTTGTTCTTTGCGTTTAGGCCCCTGAAGCATTTTTGTGTTGCTTTCTCCTTTGTGTGTGCTGGAGAAAGGTGGGGCTTAAAGTCATGGATTGAGGAAGACTGTAAGGGGACGCCTTGACGTCTTAGATTTGGACGACGTATCAGGGGAGGGGGATCTTAAGAGAGCACCCCCATTTGCACAGCTTCTTAATCACTCATGATGAATTTTAATTCTTCGCGTTTAAACCCCTGAAGTGTTCTCGTGTTGCTTTCTCCTTTGCCTGTGTTGGAGAAAGGGGGGCTTAACATCTTGGTTGTAGGAAGACTGTAAGGGGAAGGGGGAGGCTCGAAGTCTTGGATTTGGACGAAGTATGAGGTTGGGGGGGCCCGTAATCTTGGTTTTTGGTGAAGTATGAAGTGGGAGACGCTTTCATTAAGTTTTTCTCGGCTTAACAGAGCGGGGCGTTTGCAGTCTAAACAGAGCGGTGGGGTTCCCCGAAGACTCCAAGCCCGGCCCCCCCCCCCCCCGCCCCCCCATGGTCTTCCTAAATCCAGAACTACAACCCCCCCCTTCATACTCTTCCTAAATCCAGGACTACCTGTCGCCCAGGGGGGTCCCGGGCTATTGAATCGGACTCGGAGTTACCGGGCCCAGACCCTAAAATGAGGACGTCAACATGGTTTCAAAATCAAACTTTCAATGTATTCAAACTTCAAACTCTTCAAACTTACAAACCTTCAAACTCCCAAACTCTCAAACTTTGAACATCTCAAACTTTCGAACCCCACGGCTCTCAAACTTTCAACTGTCGAAATTTGAAAACTTCAAACCTGCAACCCCCCAAAGTTTGAAATTTTGGAAATTTCAATCTTCGAAGCTTTCGAACTTTCAAACTTTCAAACTTCCTGGGTTTCAAACTTTCAAACTCCAAGCTCTCAAACTTTCGAACTCGAGCCTGAGGGCTGCTCTGTGAACCCCTACGCGTCTCCAGCGGTCCTTCTCCTTTTCAAACTTTCGAACTTTCAATCTTCGAAGCTTCAAACTTTCAAACTTCCTGGGTTTCAAATTTTCAAACTCCAAACTCGCGCCCGCTTTCGAACTCGAAACTCTCAAACTTTCAAACTTCAAACTCTTCATTCTCCAAACTTTTCAAACTTTCAAACTCTCGAATCCCGTCCAACATGTACTACGTTCAAACTCTCAAAGATTCGAGTTCGAAAAACCCCACTCGTGACACCTCTCAATATTCCCCCCCCTCCCCAAATATCAGGTTGCAATGTTTCTGTCATATCCCTCCCCTTCTAGAAAGACCTTGTTCTACCTGATTCTGTCAAGGCTCGGAGAAGAGCATCTGGTGTCCTTCACCTTCATGCTGGCCTCAGAGATCGTTCTGCCACCGAGGGCCCCCACCAGGGCATAGGGTGTATGGCTAAGGGCTTTGAGGGCTCAGGGATTTAGGGTTTAGGGTTTAGATCTTATAGGGTTTATATAAGGGGTTGGGATTTAGATTTCTTGGGATCCTTCCCAGAGATATGTTCTGAAATCCCGATGAGTAAATAAGTGGGTCCTAGAGAACGTTGCTACGTAACGGATCATGGGACTTAGTAACTCGGGTTATAATTACGGTAACTCTACTTATAGCTACTCATAACCCCTATTAAGATACTTATAACCTTACTTACTAAGTCCCATGATCCTCCGAGTACAAGATTCGGGGGATCGCCGCATGGGACCGTCCAAGAAGCCTTCGTGTTCATGGGCTTTAGGACTTTTTCCCTACTTGGAGGATCATGGGACTTAGTAAGGGGTCCTTTAAAAGGGCTCTTTAAAGGGATCTGTAGGGTTCCTTAAAGGGATCTACAGGGTTTAGGGTTTAGGGTCTGCTTGGAGGATCATTGGGACTTAGTAAGTAAGGTTATAAGTACTTTAACTGGGGTTATAGGTGGTTATAAGTAGAGTTACCCTAACTATAACCCTATAGTTACTAAGTCCCATGATCCTTTCAGTAGAGTTTAGGGTTTAGGGCTTCGGGCTTCAACCCTCAACCCTAGACTCTAAACCCTAACTCGTGGATATTTTGCTGTTTAGGGTTTCAGAGCCCATCGAATGGTAGGCCTGAGGCTTTAGGGCTCAGCTTGTCCTGGGTGCTTTTGGAGGAACTTAACCAAAGCTTAGTCTCAGAAATACGTACAGTAGAAGCCAAAAAGTTGGAACCAACTGATCCTCATGCCCTTAGAGTAAAGTATATGGGAACCTATCACAAATCATCCTACATCCATGTTCCAACTTTTTGGGTTCGCTGTAATCGGAGCATAGATAGCAAAAAACATGCGTTCCTTGTGCTGGCGATTGCAAGGTAAGTTTCTTGACAAGAGCGGAGCCTAGGGTGCACTGCGCTTGGAACGCTCGTCTTGGGGTTCCGGGTCTCGTGAGTTTGGCATTCGTGAGGCTTGGGAATGGGAGTTTCAAAGGGCCCTCCCAAACGCTGGACTTACTTAATGCAGGAAACCGCCAAAGAGATCACAGTATTCTCGGATTCTCGGTTGCTGAAGTATCCGCACTGCAGAGTAACGTAAGAATCAGAAAGTGGCTGAAAGCCGTTTCTCAGACCCGGAAGCCTTAAATGCCACGGGTTATATAGGGTATTTGGACCTATCGCCGCCCTGGTGCTATGGGTAACATGCACGGTTCGGGATTTCTGCTCCCATCCCACTCCTGCACGTGTTTGCGTAGGGACGGGGGGTTTCTGAACTCACATGTCTGCCCGAAGTAGTCCAGCAGGCGAGCGTCATTCGCGTCATCGTTCGTGCACCCCTCGGCTATGGCGCTTGGATCTTAGCCTGACCACAGAGGAGAGGGAGAGAGAGAGAGAGGGAGACGGACAGTCATGAGACACTGAGTCTCTCTGTGTCTATACCGGAGACAAGGATTAGGGTTGAGGGTTGAGAGCTGGGAGGCCTGGCCATGCATCGCGAGGAAACCGATCAAAAGCCCAAAGCGTTCAACCCCCCCGCAACTTGAAAAGCCCTGTTAACGATAAGCCTTCCCTAAACCCTAAACCCTAAACCCTAAAGCATCCAAACCCTAAGCGAGAGAGGCCTGAGTGTGGACGGCTTTGCGGCATGTGAAGGTTTCCTCACTAGGACCCAGAGTAGGCCCTTATTCCCCTTTTTTAGGGTTCAGGTTCCCTTATAAGCCTCTTTAAACCAAAAAGGGCATCCTTGTTATGCCTGGGTTACTCTTGGGTCCAGCTCAGGTTTCTCGCCATCTGCAGGCCCCTGAACCCCGGTATGAGCCAAAGCCGTAACATCCCGAGCCCCAACACAGTGTACTCACTACACCCCTAAACTCCCAAACCCAAAACGCCAAAGCCCGAAACCCGAAACCCCACAGTCAAACGCCAAATGCGCAAACTGGAATCCCTAAATCCTAAGCCCTCAAGTAGCCTAGATATCCTAAACCCCCCAAAACCTACGGTTGATGATATAAATCCTGCACTACCCATAATAAGGAAGATATATACCATAATTCCCATAGTTTATGGTCCTTAAGGTAATGCAGGATTTCTATCATGAACCGTATCTCAAACCTCCGCTTCGTCGCCGAGATTCAGCTCTTCGAGGAGGAGATGGACGTGCGAGACAGCGCCTTCCTGATCGAGGCAAGAAGAGAGGGGATCAGGATTAGCGGGTTCGGTTGTGTCGGGGCTAAGGGTGTAGGGTTTCTGTTTCGGTTTAGGGGGTTGGGTTCAAGGGGTACTGCTATCTACCTGTCTATCTATCTGTCTGTCTAGCTGGTGTTTTTTCAACATATGTGTACACGTTGAGACGTGTGTTTATCATGTAACCCAAGCTTTCCCTGCAGCCCAAGCCTGAACGCGCAGGGAGTTCCAGACAAACAGCAGACCCCGTGTGTAGACATGGAGTAATAGGATTCCTACGTTAGGGGCCGTTGGCAGGCGACCCAAACCACTATTCCTAATAAGATTATTGTTTCTTTGATGCAGTTGTGGTTATTGTTATTATCATCACCAGTCTTGTCAGCCCCTTCATTGCAATTATTCTTATGCTTACAATTTCTGTACACTACTTGTTGTCATTATCAACCTAGTTAGTAGTGCCACTGTTGCTATTACTATTTCTATTATGTCGATAAGTTATTGTTGTCATGGCCACTTCTTACGTGAAGAACTCCCCATGTCCCGCCGCCGGACTTGAACCAGGACCCGACGGTTCAGGTCGGCGATGGCCGTACCGGCAGAATTGAGTCAGCCAGAGTTTGAGGAAGAGCGCTAGGGGTTTAAGGGTTTAGCGTTACTCTTGCCCTAAACCCTAAACCCTAAACCCTAAACCCGATTTCATAAGGTTTGGGCTAGGGCTTGAAGGCTTCGGGGGATGAGTTTACCGGCTCAGGGTTAAAGGAAACAGATATAAAGTTTTCGGTTCGGGGCTTTGGGCTTTTCACCTAGTTTGAGGATTTTACTGCGGTGCTGTGGGGTTTCTTTGTCCGGTGGCTTTTGCGAAGCTCTTAGGAGCTTGAACTTTGCATCTTAGGGGTTTAGGGTTCAGGGTTTACGGTTCAGGGTTTAGGGTTTAGCCAAAACCTCATTTCCTACATCCTAAGCTCGAAATCATGAGGCATACATACAAAAGACTTCAGCTCGGCATTCCTACGCGCAACCCCTCAACTCCCCTGAACCGTAAGTTGACAAAACTCAGAGACGTGGAAAAACTCGTCCGAACCGTAGTACAACCTGCATTGAACGTAGCAGGCGGATCACTAAGACCGGTTGTAAGCCTGAGGGTGTTGAAGAACTGACTTTATGAGTCATGCTCCCTCGATCGCTAGCATGCGCTAGACCGAGAGCCCTGAACCCTAAACCCTAAACACCAGCCGTTAGACAATTCCAGGCCCGAAGCCTAAGACCACTAATCACTAATCTCTGAACGCCAAACCTTGAACCCCGAGCCGCAAGCCCAAAACAACATACACGTCTACGTCCGACTACATAACTAGACTCTACAAGCCCAAACCCTTGAACGCTAATCCACATACCATCAAGCCCTACAAGCCTTAAGCTCTCAAAGCTTGAGGAGCGCGAAGACTCTGAAACTGGGCTTTTGTATTTACGGATGCCTTCTGCCCAGAGAGCCCAACACCCCTTAATTAAGGAATATAGCTTAAATCATAATATGAAGCCCTATATAATTTAAGCCATATTAAGTAATTAAGGGGTATTGGGCTCTTTGGGAGGCTTGCTGCCTTCTGCCCAGAGAGCCCAATACCCCTTAATTAAGGAATATAGCTTAAATCATAATATGAAGCCCTATATAATTTAAGCCATATTAAACAATTAAGGGGTATTGGGCTCTTTGGGAGGCTTTTTCCTTCCATAGAACCCCGGACACCAAGGCTCTGCTAGCAGTACAGGAGGCACACTCCTATCATAATCAGAAAACAGAGATGTCAAGCCCGACACCCTGAACCCTATAGACCCCGAACCCTAAGCTTTAAACCCTGAACCTAAAAAGCGTTGTACGATTTAAGTTTGAACCATCAATGGACACTGGAAGCAGGCGTGGTGCTCACCGAATAGAATTATAATCGTCGTGAAGCATCAACATCAGCCCTGCAAATAAAAGGAGTATAGGAACTGTTCCGTCAACCCCACTACAGGGGGTTCCTTTCAAATTAGGGGCCTCTTCACAGGCGTCCCTGTATTCAGCACTTTCTCACCGACAAGCCAGCAACCTGGCCCAAACGGTCCAAAGCACCTATATGGCAGAATGTAGTTCCTATACTAATATTCGGAATTACATATATGAAAAACACCGAACTACTATGATGATTGGGGAAGTATCCTCCCCCCCCACAAAAAAAACAGGGACCCGTTGGGCACTCCAGAGCTGAAGCCAGGTCTACGCATGCGCTGATTAAGGAATATACCTGAAGTTATACTAGGACCTTCTAGGGGCTTAGGGGTTTAGGGTTTTAGGGTTTAAGGGTTTTAGGGTTTAGGGTTTAAGGGTTGAGGGTTTAGGCGTTTAGGCGTTCAGGGTTTAGGGTTTAGGGGTTTAGGGTTTAGGCGTTTAGGGTTTAGGGTTAGGGGTTGGGGTTTAGGGTTTAGTAGGATCCCTAATATAATTTAAGGTCTATTCCTTAGCTAAGGGATATTGGAGACGCCTGAACCCTAAACCTTACAGATCCCTTCTGGATCCCTTCACTTACCTTTGGTTAGTAGGGAATGGAAGAATGGTAGTAATAGTAGTTCTAATTGTACCCCATTCCTCCATTCCCTACTAACCAAAGGGAAGTTCAAGGAAACTGGGAACCTGATCCTGGGTTTCTGCATGAGATCCATCGTCTTCACCCGAACCCCTCAACCTTAAGCCGTCAACTCTAAACCCTCAAACCCCCCAAACAAACCCTCAACCCCTAAACTCTAAACCTTCAACCCCCCTCCCCCTCCCAAAAAAAAATCAACCCCTAAACAAGCCAGGTTTACGCATGAGGTCGATCGCCTTCTCACTGGATTTCAGGGACAGCGACGCGACGCAGGCCACGCCGAGAGCAGTGCGAGACGGGTGTAGAAGTGGGCTTTTGGGGGTTTAGGGTTTACAGGGTTTAGGGTTTAGGGGTTGAGGGTTTAGGGTTTAGGGTTGAGGGTTTTGGGTATGGTTCCATTGTATTATAGTATGCATGCCCCATAAGCCTATTCGAGTTAAGGTTTGTTCTTCTACACCTGATGGTGTGGTTCGTCTTCCTCGAGGGTGGGGGTGAGGGTTTAGGGTTGAAGGGTTTAGTGTTTAGACTGCAGGTGTTGCCTAGGTGGAGAGATGTTTTGTGTCACTAGCTGAGGGACTCCAGTGGCCAGTGCCGGGCAGGGAGAGTAAAGGAGCGAATCCCGTCAAAAAAGCCCTAAACTTCCGATAAGAAGAAGGAAGCCACACAGCCACTGCTTCCTGGCAGATACAGCTGAGCCTTCCAGGGTCCGGGCCTCAGATAGCGCTGGGCGGCTCCAATGTGCTTTTTGACAGGGTTTAGGCTTTTGGATTGAGGGTTGAGGTTGTTTTCGGTTGTGGGCTAGGGTTCCTTTATCTTCGGTATATGCAACGAGTCTCTGCATGTCATATCCTAGACAGGATTGGTAATTCTAGAGCACATTCAACATAATCCGCTGCTGCGGCCTGACGTTGTCGGAGTGCACGCACGGACTCAACGTATATGGGAGGAAAGGTTTCGGATTTCGATCTGTCATTTTCGCATCCTAAGAAGAGTATATACTGGGTTCTTGTTAAGCGATGTAGTTTAAGTTACCATAACAGGGATCTAGAGTATATAATATGGTTTCCGCATTGTATATAATTTTGCCATAGGGGAAACACAGTTGTTGATGCGCAGAAAGTGGCTTGACACGGGGTACAGAGTCCCGGTCTCTCAACAAAAACCAAAGCACAAGAGTTGAATGTACCGTAGACAACGTCGAGAGTTCTAGAGGCCTTACATAAACCCTTTCAGGTTTGCAATTTGGTATTCCAGCTGCCGTGGTCCAAAAGCCCGGTTTAGGGTTTGGGTTTCAGGGTTTAGGTACAACCTCTTTAGTAGATTACTCTGCAGGTTTGCGTGCCTCAGTAAATATGAGCCTGTCTACAGGAGATTTCCCCTATCGTTAACCTAGGGACCCAAAAAGCACATAAGCATAAGTTCATAAGGATATCCCGACCTTATCAGGCTTCATCATAAGGGGGTTTATATGGGATATCCCTATCCTCATTTTTGCTTGTGTGCTTTTTTGGGGCCCTATAACCTGGCTTCAGAGACACGGCTTTGGCAAGGTTGACGCTGATGCGAACGGACATTGAGTACCGGATCATGCTGCTCGGCTGCACGGGGGTTTCGTAGCAGCACCAGATACACAGCGGGCTTAGACCTCCGACGTATATAATCCGGACAACTGAAACTAAAAAGGAAGACAGACGCCACAAGTTAAACAAGATCATTGCCACAATTGCCATCGCAGGGAGGCTCGACCGATTGGTAGAGATGTAGCCCTTAGGGTCCATGTGCCCAAACAGTATATGCTTTGGCCTTAAAGCAGTCCCCATTTAGATATTTTGGGGCCGAAGTATATACCATTTGGGCACGTGGACCCGGAGGGTAGGATACATGACACACTGCGCGCCGAGGAGTGCTCCCTCTCCACCAACCCAGAGCAATCCGAATCCTTGGACTCTACTTGGAGGATCATGGGACTTAGTAAGTAAGGTTATAAGTACCTTAATTGGGGTTATAAGCAGTTATAAGTAGAGTTACCCTAATTATAACCCGAGTTACTAAGTCCCATGATCTTTTAAGTAAACCTTGTGCACTTACCACAAGCGTCGGAATGGCAATGGAATTATGAAGGAATGACGAAGCCAATGCGAATACACACAGCAGAAAACTCACCCTAAGGCGTAGGCCAGGAATTTTGCATCTTCGCTTCCCGTCTTACGATATCGTTTAGGATTAGGGCCGATCGTTTAGGGCTTGGGTTCTATCCTTGTTCGCGATGTTCAGCGCATCAGGATTCCCTACTAAACCCTAACTCTCTGCACCCTAACCCCGTCAACCCTGAACGCTTGACCCCTAAACCCTAAACCCCTAAACCCGTAAACCCGAAACTCCTAAAGCCCTACACCCCTAAACCCCTAAATCCTAAACCCTCGAACGCCTAAACCCTAGACCCTGTTCTCTGCGAGGTTTATGGCGGTCACTCCAGGGTTCAACTCGGCATGGGCCCTGGAGATTCACGTGCTTTGGATGGGTTCCGGTTCAAGAACCCAAAGGGTTTAGGGTTTAGGGTTTAGGGGCCTATGTACTGATATGGTAGAATGTAGGGTTTCCATATGAGGAATTACTATTATGGCCTGGGGAAGTATCCCCCATAACAGTACATAGGACCCTTTGGGGAACGGTGAGCTAGGTGGGTTTCTACGATAGGAGGCCTCGCTGTTCTAGAAAAGCCTTCTAGAATTCTGGCCATCTAATGAAATGAAGCTTAAGTTTCGGGTGTGGGAGCCCTAAATCGGGCCGTCATTCGAACTCAGTCGGGAGGCGTCACGTATGTTAAAGGGGAGTTTCCGAAAATAGGGGGCCCTAATATAGTAGCCTAAATAGTAGGATCCTTATTATACGGACCCCAAAATAAGGTATGGCCCGTAGCCCTTCCGAAGCTTGGTCTCCTGCAGTTTTCCGCAGTCGTTGCAGTCTTTGCAATCTTGCTTCATAGCTGAGTGGATACACTTTACACTTTTTGATCATAATTACCCACTATAAAACTAAAAGTGTGCACTTTTTTGGTGGGGGGCTTATGAACTCAGCAATCAAGCTTGGGGTTTCTGTGGCTCGTGCAACCTCTTAGATCTCCACTACCCAGCCTTTAAACATTCTGGGTTCTGGCAGCTAACGTTTAGCAGGAATCGGAAAGTTCAACCTTCTATTTCTGTGTCTTATGTGGGTAGTACCATGAAGCCCAACGTCCAAAACGACATTTGCGGTTTCACAACAAAGCAGATCGAAGCGGGCATTTTGGATGTTTTGGGTGTTGGGGCTCTGCTTGAATCTGGGAACTCTAGCCTCTTCTGCCTATCCCATCGAGGGACTTCTTTCTAGATCCTCCCAGGGGTCTGGGTTGGGCTTGTGGGTTTCCGGTTTTGGGCATAAGGGTTTAGCCCCAACCCCGTGCAAGTCCTGAACCCCTGGCCCCATACACCCTACACCGGAACCCTAAAAAATTAAGTGCTAATCCTCAAAGCGTACTTCCTGCACCCGAAGCCACAAAACCCCATACGCCCTAAACTCCACACCCTATAGACCCTGAACCCTAAAACCAGAAAGGCCCTACACCCTAAACCCTATAACCCCATAAACCCCAACCCTAAACCCCCAAACCCCCAAACCCCTAAACCCCTATATAAACCCTATAAACCCTATAAACCCTAAACCTCAAAAGCGGCACCCTGCACCCTCAGATGCGGATTCCGGGCGACCTCTGGGTCATCGAGATCACGGACGACTACAAGCAGCTCATGGACCAGGCAGGTAATATATAGGGGTCTAAGTAGCTAAAATATAGGGTTCCTTTTGAGGGTTCCCTTTAAAGGGGTCGATATGAGGGTTACTATTAGGGATCTGTAAGGGTACTCTAATGTAGGGGTCTTATGAACCAGGCAGGTAGGCTGTAAATATAGGGGGGCTTCATACCTAGAATGGGTTTTCTTTAAGGGGGTCTATAATTGCAAGCGCCAGGATTCCTTTAAAGGGGTCTATAAGGGTTATTATAAGGGCTGTCATAAGGCTGTAAATATAGGGGACTTAATAACTAGAATAGGCTGCCCTTTAAAGGGTTCCTTACAAGGGATCTATAGTAGGGTTCTAGAATAGGGTTTGGGGGTATTATTATAGTGGGAATAATTTAGGCCCCTCTATTAGGCTGTATGAGTTTGGCGATGTTTAGGGGCAGGAGTGTATAGGGTTTAAGGCTTATGATTGGGTTTTGGGGGGCCAGTGGGTTTGGGTTCTAGGGTTTGGGGTGTTCTCCCAGTGCAATGCTGCAAAACCCAAGCCTTAAACCCTACTAGTGCACAGTTGCGTCTGGATGATTTCGGGTTCTTGCTGACGTCTGCGTGTTGTTTTTTCCTACCGTGATCCGGGGCATCTTCATATCAATCATCTAAGACTGAAGCAGCCCGCAAGCTTCACAACAGTCGCCAGATCCCAAATCCTTTGCTGGGATGCTGGGCTTTTCTGACCCGACCAGGCGGTTAAGGTTTGGGGTTGCGGGTTTAGGGTTTTTCCTCATGCGAAGAGCCCTTGCTAGACAAGCAGGGCATGCAAGAAGTCACAGCGTCGGTACGGATGATGCAGATCTGCGCAGCCAGGAAAATGCCGCACCCATCACTTTATCATACGGGCCTAATAATTACCTATACAATTTTGGGAGTTCCTTAGAATAGCCATGGTATAATTGGCCCCAAAGCCCTACTCTAATGACTAAGTAAAGGACCCCTATATCGTGTGCTTGTCATGACCCGGAGGGTGCTTCGTTCTTCGAACTGAAGATGCTTCCAGGTCCTGCACCATCTAGCTCGAAACCACCGTAAACCTTGACTTAGGGCTTTGGATTCGCAAGGTTTAGGCGTTTAGGGTTGCGGGGCCCAAGCCTCGAATTCAAAAAATTGCCTACACCATGAGAGGGGTTTCGGCTTCAGGGCTCGAAATGCATTGATGTTGAGGAGCTTCCCGAGTTAGGGTTTAGGGTTTAGGGTTTAGGGCTTTTCCCGTTGAGGATCTTGATGCAGACCCTTCCAACTACCACCCTAAGCCTGAGCACGAAACCTTCATCACGGCAAGCTGTATCCCTGACCATGACCGAGACTTTGGTTTCCGGCAGTGTCATCCCTATGACCCCGGACATCTGAGTTCCCAAGAGGGTCCATATACACTATTGTTATGGAATTAGGTCCCCAACACCATAATAAGTATGGTCTGTCTGTACCTACTTCCCTAATAGTAGTGCATATGGACCCTCTGGGTTCTAAACCCTAAAAACCGTAAACCCTAAACCCTCAACCTTAACAACCCAAGACCCGAGAGCCTCAACCAAGAATTACATCTGTCAGGTGTCCGAGCAGAAGGGCTCCCTCACTGACTTCGAGCTCCTTAGCAAGGCCTCGGCGGTGATATCGACAGCTTAATAACGTCGTAGCCTTAAGGACCCTAAACTATGGGAATTATGGTATATTCCTTATTATGGGTAATGCAGGATTTATATCGTCAACAGTAACGCTGGTAGTAGTAAGACTATGAACAATGACAGTTAGTAACATTGTTCTTTAGGTTCCTTGCCATAATGATAGTAACATTATTCTGAGATCCCCCCCATATTACGTTTTCTGGGTTGAGGCGGTGCGGAGACGCAATTCGGGGAGTCATGGGCGCAGGGTCTAACAGGACTTCGGGCTAACACCAACCGTCTTACTAACAGGTAACGAGTGCAACAATGGGACACTATCCGGAAAGGGAGCCCAAACGGAATCCTAGCAACAGTCATTTCCAATGACTGGCCCAACTCCATCGAGTTTGTATTACATTGCTTTGGAAGCTTCTCTAAAGTCCTAAACCCTAAGCCCTAAACTAAAAACAAATCTAAACCCTAAACCGAGACTCTAAACCTTGAGGCCTGAGACCCCTGAGCCCCTAGATTAAATCCACACCCCTGGTGAGCGGGAAACCTTAAATCTGAAACTACGTGCTGCAGAAGCCTAAACCCTAAACCCTAAACCCTAACCTGAGCGAGCTTTTGATTCTACCGCAGTGCAGAAAGGGGCTATTGCACTTGAAAAAAACAACCAGGTGCTAAACTAAACCGACAGCCCTCCCAGAGACTCCAATATCCCTTAATTAAGGAAAGTTCTTTAAATCGTATTATGGATCCCATTATAATTTAAGGTATATTCCTTAACTAAGGGATATTGGAGTCTCTGGGCTAGTGGATTCCGGCCTCTAGGGTGCTGGGTTCGCTATGTTGGCTCTTGGAGGTTCACGAGTACTTCTAAGTGGGGCTACAAGTCCCCAATTCCCAGACCCCCGGGAGGATCTAGAAAGTAGATCCCCTAATTTGGGGCCCTATACTACTAAGGGTACTTTATAGGAACCCCCATTAAAGGATCTACTTTTTGGATCCTCCCGGGGGTCTGGGTTTGGGTTATAATTGTACTCACAACCCATGAATCCCAGGTAGGGTTTTTGAGTTCGGGGTTGCAGCCTGCCGGAAGGTTTCGAGGTTGTGCTTTGTAAGAGTTAGGAAGTTGGACGACTGGTTTTCGGGTCTAGGATGTAGGTTGTTGGGTCCATTTATACTACAAACATGATGTCATGAGGCTTAATGAGGATGGTCTGCTGTTGCCTACTTCCTGAACCCAAACCCCTAAACCCTAAAAGCACTTGAGCCCCAAATTCGAACGGCATTCATCTCTGACCCTCACTGTCCCAGACCCCAACGCCCTAAACAAGGATCCGTAAGATACACAGCCGCCACGCAGTTTCGCCAGGTGAACTTCAGCTGCGAAGCCACCAGGGCACCGCCGGAGGTGGTCATTGTTCTTGAGGCGCTGGGGCTTATGGTACTACAATTATAATCAGGACCCCCCCCAAAACAGATTGAGGCCAGTATAGTACTTGATATCGGGGTTGAGGGTTAGGGTTCAGAGGCTTTATCGCTTGGCTGCAAATTGGCTTGGGGACATGTCGCAGCTCAATGTTGCTTTAGTAAGCAGCGGCAACTGCTTTGTGCTGTAGGGTTTGGGCAGGATGCATAGTTTACCGCGAGACTTTGTTTCGCAGGGTCTGATTCTAACCCTGAACAGCAGGACTAAAACCCAGAACCGGAAGCTATAAGCCCCACGCCCTAAACCCTAAACCCTAAAGCCTAAGACGGTGTGTCTGCTCAAAACCCGGCTTGCAGGTCACCCTCTATGAGCTGGGCGAAGCTTTCGAGTTTGGGGCTCGGATTTGTTTTGGCTCACGGTCCGGGCCTGACATTTCTTTAGGGTTTAGGTCATAGGGGTTATAGTTCGGGTCTTATGACTCAGGTTGAAAGGCAGCCCTTATGTTCTACTTTTTTTGTGGTTTGGTTTGGAGTCTTTCGAGTTGTTGATTTGTTGCATTGCTTAGCTTCGCTCGACAAACGAGAAGCAAACGACCGGTCCATAATGACACAAGCGTCCTTGTCACCTGTCTCGCGATCCTGAATCTGATGGGAGAGCTCTGGACAACATGAGAGCATAGTGTACACCCGAATTTGTAGGATCCTCTTGATAAGTATCGCCCTGCAAGGGGTCCTGGATTTTCAGAACCACCCCATATAACAACCACCAACCCTTCGTGGATTTTCAGAACCACCCCATATAACAACCATCAACCCTTCGGAGGTACCCCAATCGGGTGGATGTCTACGCGCCGGCAGGCCAGCAACCCAGGGCTGGTCCGGCCGTTGAGAGACGGAAGGAGGTCTGCAAGAGTTAACCCCGACCTGATATTTAGGTACTCGGTTTTAGGATACTAGTTCTGTAGGTTGGGGTTTTGGAGAGTATATGATTATTGGGTGCTTGGACCCTTGGGGTAAGAGGTGGTTTAGGGTTTCAGGTTTTGTGTTTGGGATGTGAACCTTGCAACATCACAAGCGGCACAATCAAGGGGACGCCACATTGCCTTTGGAAATTCCGAAACCAGAGACTTCACCAGCTGACACCTCGCCGGACATGGAAGAGCCCATCGTGCCCCAGCAGATCATCCTTTTTCCTGAGCCTTCTTACCACATCACCAGTCATCCTTCCCGCAGAGACTCCAATAGCCCTTAATTAAACCTACCCTAAATAATATTAGGGATCCTACTACAGTTAAAGGTCCTTGATTAAGGGATATTGGAGTCTTTGGGTTCTTCCGCATTGTCCAAGCAACTAAGCCCGAAACCCTAAACCCTAAACCATTGCCTCGTTAAAGAGCACTCCTCAATTAGGTTAGCCTCGGTGGGATCCTTGCATTCCTGGACACCTACCTAGATCCAAAACTCCGGACTCTAACCCTCGATCTCTATATACCCGAACCCAGAGAGCCCAATACCCCTTAATTAAAGAATATGGTCTAAATTATATAGGACTTCATATTATGATTTAAGCTATATTCCTTAATTAAGGGGTATTGGGCTCTCTGGGAATATTCAACCTGCTAAGCCGTTAAGAAAGCAAGGGCCGAATCACAAAAACACTAAGCCCAAACGGCGTGAGGCTACAAATTCCTGCTGAGTTGCTTCGCGCCTGGCGAGAGACAAAGGCTGCAGGCCGAGCCATGGGAACCCGAAACTCCCTAAACCCTAGACGCCTAAACCACTAAACACCTAAACCCCTAAACCCCTAATGCCTTGAATCCTAAACCCTGGGTCGTGGGATTGCTTGAAGGGGCTCCTGGATCTTTTTCGGCTTCAGGGTTCAGGGTTCAGGAGAGTTCAGGGTCACAGAGTTACGGGTTCTACCCTAAACCCTAAACCCTAAACCCCTAAACCCCTAAATCCCTAAACCCCTAAACCCTAAACCCTAAACCCTACAAGTTTTGGGTGATTCTGCATGTTTTCGCGGGGGCGGGGGGGGGGGGGGGGTGAAGGCGCCTTGAGGGGTTCAGGTCGTAGCTTGTGCTAGCTGGTGGCTCGCCTCGTTTAGTCTGAGGTGCTTGCACTGCTCCTGCGCAAATGCACCCTAGCAGAGACCCCAATGTAAAAGAAGCACCCACCAAGTGCCGACATGAATTTTGGAATAATTATGTACTGTTGCTGTGACCCTAGACCGTGGAGCGCAAAGGAACGTTTCTAGACAGCGATGGTTGCTCCCAAACACTCGAAACATACTTTGTCCCAGCCTCCACCGAACGATGCCGGTCAGTTCAACTTCGTCTCCTGCCGCGAACGTTGGACGCTGTTCCAAGGCATCGGCCTCACTGGAAGGAACACTCAGTTAAGGGTTTTGCTGCAATGCCCGAGATACGGTCATTACTGCCGTGAAAACAGCGACAATGCCACGCTGCATGAAAGATTAATCAAGCCGTAAACCCTTCTCAGTCTCATCGTAAGCGGAATCAAAAAACACCCTCAAAGTAAAAACAACCTAGACATCCCTGCACCCTGACAGCACCAATGGGCTTCCTATAAGAATGAAAATTGCCACATGCCCCGAAACTCTGTTCCATTTGTTAAGGCCCTATTTGTTAGACCCGCGAGAGGACTTCGGGTGCTATGCGGGTACCAAGAATCAAGATTCAGGACAAGGCATTGGGTTCAGGTTGTAGGAGGTAGGCTGAGGACTTGGTAGGCATCCTTTAGGATTGCTTGGGCCCCTAACTTGAGGCAACTACCTTAGCGGCGCCATTCTCATGGCGGCAGATGCGGCGCGAGGGCCCAGAGATAACATAGAAGCCTATACTCTTTTTGGGGCTCCTTACTGTAGTTATAGCATAATATTCTAAATATCACGCCCTGTATTAGATACCAGAACCTTCACCGGAGTGAGCTGATAGCTGAAGGTTCAGGGTTTGGGGTTTAGGGTTCGGGATTTAGTTGTGCGCTGGTAGCATTCAGATGGGTCTCCAAGCTTCGTCCGTATCTTTAGGTTAAGAGTTTGCTTTTCGACCTGAGCCCTATACTCAAAGGAGAAAAGGAGGGAATTTTAAGGGGACCCCTACCCTGTAATGGGCTATATAATGGGTATATAATAGCTATATTAACGGTATATACCTAGGGGTCCTTATTAAGGGTCCCTCCTTTTGCCCTTGGATACACCCCAAACGCTCACCCCGAATCGGCTTCAGACTTCTCCTCCGGGCTACCCCTCAACCCTAAACTCTACACCCCAAGACCCCAAACCCCAAACCCCAAACCCTCAACCCTAAACCCTGAACCCCAAACCCTCAACCCTAAACCCTAAACTCTAAACCCTCAACCCTAAACCCCTAAACCCTAAACCCTCAACCCTAAACCCCAAACCCCAAACCCTCAACCCTAAACCCTAAACTCCTAAACCCTAAACTCCTAAACCCTAAACTCTAAAACCCTAAGGTGCTTAAAAAAAAAAAAACCTAATTTCAGCCCCAAGGCAGATCCCGACTCCCATCCTCGAACAGTGGTGGACACACGAGAAATGCTGTAACGAGGATCCTGTACCAAAGAAAGGAGGCACTATAGGGGGGTTTAGGGTTTAGGGTTTGGGGTTTAGTTTAGGGTAGAAGGGGCCGACTATAAGGATTATATTAGGGCCCTATTATATTCCTATTGTACCACTATTACAGGGTGGGGGCCCCTTCTGGGGCCTAAGCTCAAAGGGGAAAAGGAGGGACCCTTAATGGGGACCCCTACCCTGTAATGGGCTTTATAATGGGTATATAATAGCTATATTAAGGGTATATACCTAGAGCAATAACCAGTATTACTTTGGTGGTGCCTTAGTATGCTTATTGTATACTATGTCCCAAAACCCTACAGCGGGCCTAAACAAGTACCAATATTACTCTGGTGGTTCCTTAGTATGATTATTGTATACTATGTCGCCAAACCCTATTCTAGTTGTTAAGGTCCCTCTACTAGCCGCAAAGCGGAAGTCCATTAAACCCCGCAGCACAGCTGCACCCAGGGTGTGCTCCCGTCGGACATGCCAATGCGCCTTGGCGTTAAAAGAGTTCGGGGTTCGGGGTCGAGGCTGCTGTACTCAGAGGCCCAGCAGACGTAGTGTTGATGATATAGATCCTGCATGACCTAAGGACCCTAAACTATGGGAAGTATGGTATATTCCTTATTCTGGTAATGCAGGATTTATATCATCAACCTTAGTAACTAGGTTATAAGTACCCTAAATGGAGTTGCCCCAATTACGACCAATTTAGAACCTGCCTACCAAGTCCACTGGGCCTCCAAGTAAGGGTGTGGACTTGGGTGTAGGTTTGAGGCTCTTTTGGGCCTTTAGTTAGGTGGCCATTATAAGGATTCCTACCATCCCAGGCAGCTTGTCTGACATGGCTGTCTAGGCCTCTATGCCAAATCCTAAATGCCGCATAGCCCGTCTAAGAGAAGATAGGTAGTAGTCTAGGGTCCCGACAAAAGAGGACGATTATCATCAGAATCGTCACAAGCACAATCGCACTCAAAGACACATGTTGACGAAGCCTGCTGATGCAGTTTAATCAAGCATTTGGAAAACTTAGGCAAAACTATGAGAAAAGACCGTGCGCCATGGAAGTGAATGGTGCTAAGCACAACACACTCCACTACTAGAGCCAAGCCGGGCTCATTTGGATTGTGGCACCCTTCAGGTTGTGGCAGAACCATGCGTTATTCTGAAACCACAAAAGTTCTCATGTCGTAGAAGGCACACGCCGACATACTCCATCACTCGCGAAGCACCGACAGCGATGAGGCCATGCCCTAAACATACTGAATCAACACCGTCCAAAATCCCCTAAACCCTGCTGTAATCAAAATCATCCAAAATCATGTAAAGGAGCCACGAGGCTGAAACCTGAACCTAAGCCGCTGGAGCTCCCTCACATCCCTCAAAATCAGCTCCTGGCCGGCTTTTCCCAGAAATGCCGATCTCACCGAATTTTTAGAGGACTGGGGCGCAGGAACTAGGTGTGAGTAGAGTAGAATAGCAACCTCTTTGTTTAAGTCCCAATTTTACGTCCCGCACAGTTATGTGAATGTGACTCCATTCATGAGACAGCAGGCACCCCTTTAAACCCCCTGCTCCAAGTCTGGACTGCTTGAAGCATGTTCGAGCCTGCATCTTGAGGAAAATCCGTCTACAAGCCTTGACACCTCCGCTAACGCCAGCCATGCCACGGACCTGGCGCAAGGATTGAGGTTTCGGAGTTGCGGGATCTAGGGGTTTAGGCCATGGTTGTTCATGGCGTTTGCCTGGTTCCTTATGCGGGTTGATTCTGATAGTGTCACTTCGTAGGGTATGCGAGGTATCGGATTCAAGCTTGAGCTCTTGAAGAAATTGTCTGTCCTCCAGGTTGGCCTTTCGCCGCTAATTACCCTCTGCGAGGGACCATGTTGAATGTCAAGTCCAGAAGTTGGGATGTAGGTCTTAGTTAACTCAGGTTTTTGTTGTTGTTGCTGCCATGATGTAGATGACGATTGAGAGAATGAATGATGCTGCCAATGGCTCCATGATGAGGATGATGATGGTGGTGGTGATGATGATCGTGATGGCGATGATGGTGATGATGACGACGATGACGATGGTGAGGAAGAGGACGACCATGCGAATGATCATCGTCGCCATCTCTTAGTTCCCATTAGCACTGTCCCGTTCATACTGTTGGTGGACAAAATCCTGCATGAATGCAAGGAATTCTAAACTATTGGAACTATGGTATATTCATAAATAACAATGGGTGATGCAGGATTTTGTCCATCAGCAGTATCTTGCCTTTGCAACTGCTTCATCTGTTGCTGGACGATGCTGTGTAAAAGTGTGCGCTGCCATATCAAAGCACGCCCTTACAAGCAAGCTGGGACGAAGCATGTGTGGCGATGATTCCTGATGCATTGCAGGAAGAATGTCTTTGCAGAGCCCTCGGCCCTAAACGAAGCCCTAGATCTTAAACCAGAACTTTCTACCTAAACTAAATCCCAAACGAAGTTGAGCCGAAAATCCCGACCTGGCCGCTCGATGTCCGGAAGAGAAGCTTAGGAACCTTGGTTCCAAACCCGTATAGAACCCTTATATGGGGTCCTTGAACCCTATAGATCCCTAGTCTGATGTCTTAAATCAAACTCCTTAACCCTTACAGCCTTCCAAACCCTTAAAGGAACCCCCAGATATATGGTAACTTAACTTAAATCCCCTAAACCCCAAACCCTAAATTCCCTAAGAAGAACCCAGAGACTCCAATATCCCTTAATTAAGGAATATACCTTAAGATATAATAGGATCCCTAATATGATTCAAGGAATATTCCTTAATTAAGGGATATTGGAGCCTCCGGGAACCGTTCAAGGAACCCTAAGATATGGTAACTTAACTTAAATCCCCTAAGACCTAAACCCTAAATTCCTCAAGATGAACCCAGGAACGACTTCTTCGTGGTCACGCATCAGCGGCAGGGAGATGCCGCCTGGGGGCTGACGCCCAGCAGCTTCCCGGTGTCGAACATGCAGGTGCGCCTTTAGGGTTGGTTTATAAGGTGTGGGAGGTATTAGGGTTTATGGGTTTGTCAGGTTTTAGCAGTTAGGGTTTAGGGTTCAGGGGTGAGGGGCTTGGGCGTTCAGGATTTATGGGTTTGGGGTTTCGGGGCTAGGATTTAGGGGTTTAGGGGTCAGGGTTTAGGGGCTAGGGGTTAGGGATTTAGGCTTGCAGGGTTTTAGGGTTTATAAGGTGTGGAGGTTTAGGGTTTTAGGGGTTAGGGATTAGGGTTTAGGGGTTTAGGAGTAAGGCGTTCAGGGTTTTAGGTTTTTAGGGGGTGTTCAGGGGTTTAGGGTTTAGGGTTTTAAGCATTTAGGGGAATAGGATTTTGGGTTCTCTTTCTCAATGATAGTAACATAGGGACCTTCAGCACTAGAATTTGTCGTGTCCTTAGGATTTTTCTTTTTTGTTCATATAAAACCCAAGAGTTTTCTAAAAAATATTGTGTTTATTATGGTTCTAAGGGGGGGGGTATAGGAATAGGGTTTAGGGGTGTGCGGCTTGTCGAATTTGCATCTTAAACTACAAGCCTACATACTCTTTTAAAGGCACTGAGCTCATGGTGTTGATGATCACCCTGCTGCTCCTGGCCCTAGAGTGAATTCTTCACGTCTGTGCGGAGTCAGCGTTCATTCTGGATGCAGTGGATGGGGGTTAAGGGTTTAGGGCTGTAGCTCGAGCTTGGTTGATGGCACATGTCTTATCATGAAGATGTGCTACTATTTGCTTAAGAACCCCCCAAAAAATAAAAATAATAATCCCTATATTACCCCCATAAGGAATATATTTTTTATTTTTTGGGTGGTTCTTAAGCAAATAGTAGTGTGGGTTCAAAGGCTGGTTTGCGCCGGAAGCTTTGGTTTCGCTTCATGGTGGTGGGGGTCAAGGGTGCCAGCTATAAGTTATAAGGTGCGTAACCTTCGAAGCGTGATCATCTCAACTGGAAAGCCACAATAATGTAGGAGCCTTAGTACGAAACCCGAAAATAGTAGGGTTCATATAGGAAACCCAAATAACGGCCCAAGGTTTCTTAGTCAGGTTCCTACATTACACGACTTCATTCCAAGATACATCCGATACCGGGGTAAAAATTCTACGCACTGAAGTTTTCACTGTTTCACCCTCTACAGTACCGCCTGCAGATTGTTATAGAGGGGGAAATCTGAAATTCACTGGAAAGCTTTAACTTTAGGCTTGAAGTGCGCCATCCGAGCTTGAGCACAGAACGCCAATCATGTAAAGGTTTGAATACTTAGTGGGCAGTAGCAGCGCGTGATCGTCCATACATAATTCTGGCATTGGGCTCTATCAAAGGGGTATTCAGAAGGCGAAACATGTGTGGATGAGGGGTGCTTGGGGCTTGAGGTTGGTCGGTTCTCGTGTTAGTTCAGGCGGTGGAACAGGGCTTTTTGCAGCATTGCTTGAGGGCATACTCGGGCGAAATTGCTTCTAGAACCACTTGCGCATAGTGCGGGACCTGGCCCCAAGTAGGGTAATGACTTCCTAGCCTGATCATACGGGAGTTTCCGAAATTCGGGGACCCTAATATAGTACCCCCTAAATAGTAGGATCCTTATTAATAAGGACCGCCATATAAGGTACCACCCCTATTTTCGGAAACCCCCATATATCCTGCTTACCATGTCCGCGGATCCTTCCTTGTTGACCTGGATCTGGAAGTTGACGGCTTAGACTTCAGTTTTCTTGGACGCCCCAAGGTATCATGGATAGAGCCGCTATCTTCCTTGATAATCTATAGGCATGCAGGCTGTCTGGGCAGTTAGCAGTCTAGGTAGGGTTTAATCTGTCGCCTTTTCGGATACTTAGCAGGAATCCCTATCCCCCAACTGCAGGTCACAAATCGCTACACTGGGGTGGCGGGGGCTGAGGCCCTTCGGTGTTCTTGTTCTCCGGGGATTTTCGAAATTCAGGTGTCCCGGTCTGGGAGACCTTGTCATAAGGATCATACATGATCATGCCATGTCAGGTGGGAAACGTATAGGGCCCATTAGCGTCGCTTGATTGTCGTATCCTGCGGCTTCTACAACCATGTTCCAAACGGATTCGACATTCGAGGGTTTGGGAGTGTGTTTCGTAGAACATGATCCTTCGGACCGTTGGAGCTTGAGTTGTCCACGCAGTTTTTGTGGGGTTCGATCCTTGTGGAGCCAGATGGGTTCGGGGTTGCACGGCTTCGGTAGGGTTACTATATGGGAGTTTCCGAAAATTCGGGGTGCCGTATTTTGGGCGGGCCTTATGATCAGGATCCGAGTGTTTAGGGTAATTACTATATTAGGGTCCTCTATTTTCGGAGACCTCCATATTGAGAAGCGTGCTTTACGGGCATTATCGTCGTGGTTGCGGGTTGTCCTGGTGATTTAGAACCACCCGTAAAGTTCAGGAGCACCCTGCAAGCAGGCGTTTCGCACAAGTGACCTGAGATGCCCTGAGGATTTTTGACGGATAAGAAGGACCCCGATCTTGAGCAATTAATCCCAAACCGGGGCTGTACCATCTGGGTTTCAAGGCTCTCGGGCTGATGAATTTTGGTTTAGGGCAGCACGTGAGGGTCGTGGAGAACGCTTTGAAACAAGTAGCCGGCGCAGGGTTTTGTTCAAAAAAGATCAAAGTCTGTACCCTTGCGAAGACAAAACTTCTTTTTTCAAGGGTATACCCAAATATCTTAAATATATGCATATATTTTTTCTTTAGCAGCAATGTCGAGCCTTGGGAAGGAGAGTTTTTGGGTTCCCTTGTTAGGGAAAGCAGCCAGGTTCCCATGTTCTTGGCATTCACGCTGCGATATCCGCTGGCTTGGGGAGGTAATGCCGGGAGCCGAGAAATTTCCAGACATGAGGACAGGTCTGCGACCTTGTATTTAGGGGTGTCGATTACAGACTTGCGGGCCTAGGGTGGAACTACAGGGGTTTTCAAATGTGGAGAGTTTGGGTGAACAGGGCTGGGGACTTCTCGCGTTTCGAGTTCAGGGTTTACAGTTTGGGGCTTGGGGTTTCCTTGCTATTCAGAGCCCTATGTTCAACCTGCCTGGCCGGTAACCTCGGTCAAAAGCGTGGAATGAGTTGGAACGCGACCCTAGCTGTGGGCTTGGGACCCAAGGCATAGCGACTTCATTCAGTTTCAGAATGAGAACTGACTACCACTTGATCTTCCACATGGGTTCTACCAAGGAAAACTGATGCTCTGACTTTGAGTTCTGCCTCACACGGCTTTGTTTTGAATGCTCCTGTCCTCCTGCACCCTCATTCAGAAGTCCTTTCGCCGAGCCCTCGTTACGACGTCCTTATCAAACCCCGAGCCTAAAGTTTAGTGTTAACGGTGTAGCGGCACGAGTGGCCGTAGAGCCCCATAAACTCAAATCCGGCACCCTGAAGCCAACACAGGATGTTTGGATTACAGATCCGAGGCTTCAAACTTGATATTTCGGCTTCGCTTTGGGCATGACTATAGAGAGAATCCGCAACTCCAGGACCTCCTGCCTCCCTGCAGAATTAGCGTCGTTTAGCCTTTCTCGGGTTGTATTTTTTTGCCAGGAGTGTGTGTATATATATATATATATATATTTGTTCATACACACATACATACATATATCTATATATATATATATATACATACACATATGTGTTAGTATACCCCCGCAAACCCTATTCATTATAGTTGCAAGCGTCCCCCAAAAAACAACCCTGAAAGCTTCTTCCTTGAGTCTTGGTGCCAACCTCCTCAAGTCAAGTCCCGATACAAATCGTTCTTCAGCATACCCCCAAACCATATTACGGGCCCCAAAAGCAACCCTGCAAGTGCAAGCCTCTTCTTTAAGTCTTGGTACCAAGATCCCCATACCCTCATACCCTGTTCTAGTTATAACTATAGCAGAAACCTAACCCCTAAACCCTAAACCTTGAACCGTCTTGGTGCCGAGATCCACATCGCGGGCCCGCTCCTGTACCAGATCCGATGCCCGATCTCCTTGGCTGGGGAACCGAGCAGTTGGAACCTACCCTAAAGCCCTAAAGCCCTAAGGCCCTGAAGCCCTAGTCCCTGAGCCTTAAACCCAAACGAAGCTCAAAGCAGCCACCAACCTTGAACTATAAAGTCTGTAAAGCCCCAAATCCTGCCTAGTAGTCTGATCAGTCAGCAGTGGTAAGCACCCACGAGCCACCCTGCTACCTGTTAGTAAGCCATTCAACCAGTTTTTCCGTAATCACCGATGTGATTGTTCAGCAATAGCCCCGTCCAGCGACCATTGCACTACTCAGGATTTGAGAAAGAGGGTTTTGTGTTCTGGATGCTACACCCGCAAGCTACTTGATAGCGAGTCTGTCCGTCCTGAAGTACGCATTAGGACTGTGGCTGTGATTTTGTTTCTCGCGAGGTCCTCCTTGCGCCAGACAACTTTCACATGCCGAACTGCACCCACGAGGCCACTTGGGGCAGGTTTAGGGCCGGGTGCACTTCAGCAAGCTCAGAGCTTGGGGTGTGTGTTTGGGGATTCGGGTTTAGGTTTAGGGCTGGATGGATGATCCATGGCCAGAGAGTGAAAACTGCGATTCCCTGCACACGTTGCACAAAAGGCGAGCCCCTAAAGCAGAAATCCCAAGGCCGTGTTTCGACTCTTCATCTGTTTGGGCTTCGGGGGTCTTAGAGGTCAAGGTTCAGTGTTTCAGGATACTCTTCTCTGCGCTGCTCTCGCAGCCTTCATCTGTGCTCTGCAAACATGGTTCGGGCGCTCCAATGTGCAAGCAGCCTAGGCCCCAGGCTATATAGGCCCATAGGCACAGCCTCCGGCAGTTGCACGGAATGCAGCCAAACTTGGGTTGGCGCCGATATTCGATGGATCCCCCTATGCGCGCACCATGCTGCCACAATCGTCCCAAAGTGCTCCCTCTTGTGGACAGTGGGTACACGTACCGGACTCCATCGCCGTCCAAGTCTGTGGCTGTGAACAGGACATGCCTGGGTTCTTGTTAAGGGACTTTTATTTGAGGTGCCATGATACGGAAACCTTATCAATTTACTATAGATTCCTAGTATGGTAACTTAAATTAAATCTATTAACAAGAACCCAGATGCGGCAGGAGACGAGATGGTCATTGTTCTGCGCTCTCGGGCATTTGGTGTGTTGCAGCTCTTTGTCTGGGAGTGCCTCGGTCTGAGATTTCCCCTCAACCACGACAATTATCAGAATAACTCATGTGTTCCACTGTGTTCCCCTAGCCCCTACAAGCCTACAAGCATGTGGTGTAGGCCGGTGTTCCTGCATCTCACGCATCTCAGGCAAAGCGTGCCTGTCGTTCCGGCGTCAGGCGACAGTCTAGTCATTCTCAGAGTCGCTTTGCAGATGCATCGGGAGCGCAGAGAGTGTTGCTGGTGGATGGCGATGGGCACAGCATTGATGAAATCAAAGCAGCCATGAAAATCCTGGAGCTTCAGGGCCGACTGCTACAAACCACCATCTTCACCGCTCCGGGTCTCGAGAAGAGGAGGCGTTGGCAACAGCTGTCGCAAAGACCCGACATCTCCTTCGAAGCAGTGGAGCGTCCGGAGAGCTCCAGAGGAGAAGCCACCGATAGCGCCATTGAGGCTCGCGTGCGTGTGTTGTCGCGATCAGACACTACTACCGACATTGCCTTGATGGTCTCCGATCACGGCTATGGGAAGGTAATGCACGAAGCGCTGTGTTTGGGCAAGTCAGTTGTAGCAGTCTGTCCAGAGAAGAAGTATTACGTCATTGAGAATTTTGAAAACTTGGACATTCCGGTTGTAAAGGTGCCACCAGACAGAGACAGCAGTCCGAGGGTTAGAGCCGTGCTGGAAGATGATGGGGAAGGCCGAGTGTATTTGGCAGAGCCTCTGGGGCGGTACTTACTGCATTCTATTGTAAAGTTCTGGTTCAAGACCAAATTGGGACCGCTCACTGTGTTTCCCCAGCAATGCGCAACAGAATCACTATACAACGTCATTCAAAACTGCACCCGCCCTGGTATTGCAAATAGTTGGAAACGGCTCAGGGCCGGCATGGCATTCTTCTTGCCAAAGACGGGCGGAGCAGCAAACACCAAGAGCAAGCATCGCACATTTGGCAGCTCACTCGCTTACCAAGTTTTTCACGGAGGTGGGCCGTTTCTGCTTGAGGACTCATGAGACCTCGTTGAAAAAGCCATGCAGAGATTGGGCTACTTGGATTCGGACTTCAACAACGAGCTGTCAGAGGCGATGCTCGTTTTCATGAACAATACCAAGAACAAGCACCACCTGCGGAAGATGGATGCTCTGCCCTCGCCCCAAGATGGTGTCTCAGCTGTACAGGCCATGTTGAGACAGGCTTTCCAATCTGATCAGGGCAGTGGCCAGTGGCATGTCGGACCCAAGCAGAAAGCCCTGCGCTATCATCTGGTCCAGGCCGGCTATCTAAAATCGACGAAGGCCAGCGAACATGCCGTTCTGGAAGCTGCGAGACTCTTTGCTCGCGCACATCAGCTGCCAGAAATGAAGACTGTCAATGGGTATGGATTCCGGATCACGCGCATGCTGAACAAGAACCCAACCCGTCTGCCGGACACGATCGAGTTTCGGACTTCCGGAGTGTAGCACGGCATTCTGTCATGAGAGATGCCATGCTGACAGTCAGCCTATGTCAGCGTTTTTGCTCGAAAGCTAAGTCCCCATTTCTACAGTCCTTCCAGAAGCCTTCTGAAGGTCCTCGAGTTCAAGGGATTCCATGATCATGGACGGCACATCGTCACCCGGACTTCGGAGCCTGGCACCGGTCCTTGCAGAGTGCAGGCCTGCACCGCAAGGCCGAAGTGCTGGCTAGGAGAGTCGTGTTTCAAAGATGCTGTTCGATGGTCAGCAGATCGATAAAAGGTGTTTCCTTCCCAGGGTTGTCGATGATTCAGCGGCTCCTTGATTATGGCAGCAGTACGAAGCAGGGAGAGGCAGGGCAATGATTCCCAGCTTCGGAGGTTATGGAGGATCATTGGCAAGCACACTTAATTTTTCTGCAGTGAGCTCGTATTGCCATCGACTCATTGTAGCGGCTCGATCGTCAACAGAATGCTGCGACTGAATAAGGGCTGGTGTTCGGATTTGAGGTTTACAATCCGCCGACATGGCCGTTTGTTCTCGGTTGCCATCGACCGGTTAGACTTTTACTTCCTCTCTCCATGACTGGGTTGCCGTCGCAAGTGCCCTACCTGCGATCTAAAGAGTCTAAAGTAGGTACTACCAAGCTCCTTGTCCTGGGTCATCATTTACGAGGTTTTCCTAGGTATTTCGCCTTTTGCAGCATATATTTGTACCGGTGCTAGTAACACTACAGCTGGTTGGTGCCAATGCCTCCAACAGTCGGACGAGTAAGTTTCTACATGCGTTGCGTCCTTACATGACCGATATTTTGGCACGGGAGCATGTGCGGTGTCCCGATCTCCAGATGGTAAGAATTGGGGGCGCAGGGCTGCGGGTGGCAGCACCACGGTGTATGTTACAAGCTGCCACTGCCACTGCAACAACGGTCAGCTGGTTTCAGGCCTATCATGTTGCCACGAAGCATTTGCACCTTTGTTTGACAGAGAGTAGTGTTTCACAGATTCACCGATTCACCGAGCAATGCCTCTATGCTAAACTCCCATAATACCCTTATAGTAATCCTTATAGACACCTTTAAAAGGCACCCTAAGAAGACACCTGGTGCAGGATACAGTTCTCAACGGCTGCTTCGGTCTCCCTATCGTTGGCGATCCCAGCCTGGGCGCCAAGTTTCGTAAGATGTGGTTTAGGAGTCTAGGGGCTTAGGGGAGTATATTGCAGTATAGGGTTTAGAGGTTGAGGGTTTAGGGGTTAGGGTTTAGGAGTTTTGGCGTTTAGGAGTTTAGGGATGCAGGGGTTGAGGGGTTTAAGATTTAGGGGTTTAGGAGTTTAGGGTTTTAGGAGTTTACAATCAGGGGCTTTCGGGAATAGCTTGCTTGGATTGGGGCTGCTGATCTTGGGGTGCACATGCGGTTTGTGTCTAATCGGGAAAAGGGCTTCACTGCCTTGTTTCGCTAGTCGCCAGACTCTGCGGCAAAACAGTTTTAGCAACGAGAGTACTATAGAAGCAAAGATATGATAATTACCAATACTGTTCCTTCGGGTTCCTGATTATATTTATATACTATAAAGAAGCCCCAAATCCTATTCCAATCACTATAAGGCCCCTGCAGTAGGCTATCCAGGCTTGAAGCCCCAAACCTTGAGCCAGCGGCGCCAACATGCATTTGACTCGAAACCCGAATCCGAATCCTTTACAATCCGAGCGAGTGCCCAGTTGCAAAACAGTCCTGCGGAGAAATTCTCAATGCAGTGCTTGCGGCATACAGGGAAGGCTCAGGGTTTTGCCAAGACGTGGAAAAGATGTCTATGCCGAAAGGTTTTATTGCATCCACTCAATCGTAGCTCACGTCCCGAAGCCCAGACCCACAAACTGCTTTGTTGCTGGCACTTTGTTGTGTCTGCTGCACTTGCTGCTGTTTGCTCTTCCTCTGTTTAGGGTTTAGGGGTTTATAAGGTTTAGGCTGCTCGATAGCCCCTAGATCACTGTTGGTTCGTTCAAAGCTGCAAGCTGAAATCGCTGAGATCCGAATCCGGCGCTGCCGCTCTGCGACCCTCTGCACGAGATCCTCCTGACATGGGAGTTGCATTGCCGGCATGCTTTGCTGCAAAGTGTTGAACGTAGGGGCCGTAAGAATATGAGAATAGGGCTTCGAGGTATATTATACCACAATTAATAAGGAGCCCCCGCCAAAAAAAACAAAATGAATGTATTGGTAGATATTTAGGCCCCTATATTCGGATGCAGAGTCAGAAGTCTAGGGTTCAGGCATGTTTCTCGAACTTGATCCTTGCATGCTCCAGCTCTTGCCCCTTCAAACCCAAGCCCCGGGCAGCGCAGAGTTGTTCAGGAATATTGGTATGACCAGGATGGTTGCAACCATTGCTGGCAGCCTTCTGTGTTGTTGCTTTTGTGTACAGTCAAGCACCCCGGCACCCGGTCTTCACAGGCGAAACAGAAATGACCTTCATGCTTGCTGTAGGTGGTGTGATGCTAACTGTCAGCCAGCCCTCCGGCCAGTACCTCGCAGGAAGCGACTTTCCCCAAATCCAGACTGCATACAATTTCAATGTCGGCAAAATCGGCGCTAGAACCCTCTTGCAGCTTTTATAGAAGTATACTGAATTTGAGGTTTACGAGGTTGGAGTTCCGGGTTTGCGTAGGGCTTTGGGTGTAGGATGTTTTAGGGTCTTTGTTTGGGTTTTGGTTAGTTCATGTGGCTTCGGGCTTGGGGTCCAGGGTTTAGTTGTTCAGGGTTTTGAGCGCTTGTAGGGGTTCAGGGTTCCTCAGGGCTCCAAGCGTTAGGAGTTCTGTTGCGGGGCGATGACGGCAGTTGTTGGGCTGTCTAGGTTTTGAGCTGCTTGGATATTTAATGGTTTGTTTCACGTTTAGGATGTTGGGATTCATGGGGTTTCGACATCAAGTTTGGGGGTGTTGCGTTTCTGAGGTCTATAGACTATAGGCTGTCAAGAAACGTAATATCACGCGGTATTGCATACATGCGCAAGGATTCAGAGAGAAGAAGGTCGAAGTTTTGGGGCCATGAATCCTAAGCCAGGCCATGGTGGGCGCAAGCGGGTCAGGATGGAGATGGCGATGACGGGGAGCCCCGATTTGGGGTTCAGGGTTTAGGGTTCGGTTTCGGGCCCGTTCCGGAGTCCACGGAGCACTGCCGGTTCTGTTGATCTCTGAAGGTGCTGATGGGGTGTCCAGCGTCCCAGTATGACTTCTTAGGGTACTTTACGTGGAAGGTTTCCTACGTGATACTGGTTTTTATGCATGCAGCAAGGACCGAGACAGTTCGAGCCTGGTTTTGATGCAGCCGACCCTTCCTCCAAAATATGCGTCAGAAGTAAGCTTCCTTGTCGCTCTTTTAAATTTATTCATGGCCCAGGGAAGAAATGAGACCAAACATGGCTTATCAGTCCGCAGTTAAACCTCTGTTGTCGGACAGCCCCCATCGGCATCCTCCGCCCCCTTCATCCGTGGAAGAAGAGTGGGGGTATGGGGTAGTTGCTGGCGCGTAAGGGTGTCAGGCTTTCCTCGTGGATCCATTTGCCCACGCGGGCTCCATCATGGGGCGAATTGAATATTCTGGAAGGGCTTTATGGGGGTTTCAAAAGAGTTCCGTGAGGGTTCATAACCCGAACAGATATACACATGTATATTCTTCGGCATCAAACTGGTGCAGTTCCTATGTGGTAACTTGCGAAGGTCCAAAGTTTAGCTGAAACACATGGACCCTTAAGGTTTGGGTTTTCCTTACCTCAGCTGAAAACCGAAGCCAGCCCTCTGAATCGCTGCGTTCTGGAGCACCCTACTTTGTTCCTTTTTTCTAAACTTGTTCTTTAAAGAAACCATTCTGACATGCACGTTGATACTGTCTCCTCAATGGTTACTTCAAAGTGCAGTGAACCAACAATCCATCCTTAACCCTGAAGAACCTACCTTTCTGAGGACTTATATCAGGAAATCATAATAGGGAACCCTAAACCCAAAACCCTAAACCCTAAACCAGTACTCTACTTTCCGGGCTGGTGAGGACTCCGACTTCGGCATGTGGGCTCTTCAGGCCGGGTTTCTTTGTTGATTGAGGTTTAGGATTCGGGATTCAGGGTTTTGGGGTTAGGCTTTAAGATCCAATTTTTTGGGGGGTTCGGGTCTGGGGTTCGAGTTCTTTCGTTCTTTGACGCAGTTCCTAGCGGCCGTGTTGATTTTGGTGTGTGTTGGGGAGGTGTTGTAAGGTCTCTAAGGTTTTTGGTGGGATCTTTCAATGGGGCTTTAAAGTACAGGGTCTTGTCAGGTCTTAAGAGGGGCTGTACAGGGTGCGGATAGGGTTTGTGAATAGGCAACTTTGGAGGAGGTTCGCTATGTGTGGTGTAATGCCGCTTTAGGATGTTATACGATTTGGTCTTGAGGCTTTCGTGGCCAGTACATGGAGTGCAAAAGGTTAAGGGTGCTAGGGCTTGGGGTTGCAGGTTGGTACTTAAAGGATCATGGGACTTAGTAACTGGGGTTATAGTTATAAGCAGGGTAACTCTACTTGTAACTACTTATGACCCCAATTAAGGTACTTGTAAGCTTACTTACTAAGTCCCCTGATCCTCCAAGTATGGTTTCGCCGTTAATTTCACAAACACAAGGCAGTTTCAGGGAGCGCCTGATGAACGCACCCTGCGCAATCTAAGGCTTCAATCTGTTCGGGGTTGGGGAGGAATATGGGGGTTTCTGAAAATTAGGGGTACCTTATTTTGGGGTCCTTATAAGAAGGGTCCTACTATTTAGGGTAGTATATAAGGGTCCCCTATTTTCGGAAACTCCCATATGCGTCCGTGCCCTGCAGTGTCCTTACACCCCCAAAAACCACTTGGCCCCAAAGCCCGAAAGCGATCAACCGCAAGACCCTGACCACTTGGAGGATCATGGGACTTAGTAAGTCAGGCTATAAGTACCTTAATTGGGTTATAAGCAGTTATAAGTGGAGGTTACCCCATGATCCTTTAAGCACCCTCCACCCCTTTATGCGCCCGCGCAATCCCGCAAGCCATCCTTCGGCCTAAATCCTGAAACAAACCGCACTCTAGCATTATACAGTTCACCAAGGGTCCAAAGGACCTAATAATTGGGTACTCGGTTTTAGGATAGTAGTTATGTAGGTTAGGTCTTTGGAGAATGTATGATTATTGGGTATTTGGACCCTTGGGGGTTCTCCGAAGCTCTAGAATCTAGAAGGCTAGCCTAGACCCAAAACCCCAACGGCTAAGCGTGAACTTGCTAGAAGCCCGAAAAGCCTAAGTCCTAAGCCCAAACCCAGAACCCTGAGCGCTGAAACAACAAGCCAAACTCTTCAATTAAAGTCCCTAAACCCTATAAACCCTAGACCCAGTCTGGACCCTAAACCCTAATCTCTCAGCGCTATACCCTTCACCCTAGACCCATAAGCCTGAAACCCTAGGCCCTAAGCCCTGAACCTAAGCCCTATAAACCCTAGACCCAGTCTAGACCCTAAACCTGAATCTCTGAGGCCCAAACCTTACACCCTAAACCCTCTGACCCTAAACCCTATACACCCTATAAGCCCTAAACCTAGACCCCAAAACCCCAAAACCCCATACACCCCGGCCAAACCTTACACCCTTAACCCTACCACCCTAGGCCCGAAGCCCTGAACCAAGATCTAACTTAATCCCCTAAACTCTACAGAAGCCATGAATGTCAGATCTCTTAACTCCCCGAAGCTCTAAACCCTAAACCCTAAACCCTAAACCCTCTAACCTCTAACTCATCAGCCCGAAAGCCTTTGTCCTCTCGGCAGGCGGGGGATGAGTTCCTCTGGTCTCTAACCATCCAGGCTCTCTCGGGGCAGCTGGGGTGCTTGCGGGGGGCTTTTAGAAGGGAATGGGGTTCCTTTACTTGGAAGGGCAGGGGACTTAGTAAGTCGTTCATACGTAGGGTTAGAATTGGGGTAACTCCATTTAGGGTACTTATAACTCTACTTATAACCTACTTACTAAGTCCCCTGCCCTTCCAAGTACACCCTAAACCCTAAACCCCATAGATCCCTTTTAAGGAACCCCTATAGATCCCTTTAAGGAGCCCTTTTAAGCAACCTTACTAGGTCCCCTGCCCTTCCAAGTAAGGATTTCTTAAAGGACCAGGGTCTCCGAATTGTTAGGGGCTACGAGCCGTTTTTTTGTTGGAGTTTCGGGCTCGTGGCTGTCGGGCTTGGGATGGATGGTAGTGGGTTCGGGGGTTCAGTGCCGTTTTTTTTTGAGTTTTGCGGGCTTTGAGTTGTGAACACCTGCGCTCGAATGCAAGGATCGGAAGCCTGAAGATTTAGCGCCACTGGTTGAGGTTTAGGGTCTGTGGATGGGGTTTTTAGGGTTTAGAGATCAGGATTCAGGGTTAGGTGAAGAGAGTTGAGTCAAGCTCAGAGAGCCCCCTACCCCGTGATTAAGGAATATAGCTTAAATCATAACATGAAGCCCTTTATTATATAATTTAAGCCATATTCCCTTAAAAAAGGGGTATTAATTGGGCTCTCTGGGAGGGTTAGCTGTAGATGTTAGGGCCCATGGGTTGCAGGATGCGTCTATACTTCACGAGTTTGGCACGCTGGCTTCTTCTACTTCCCCAAGGGTCCATGTACCCAAATAGTATATACTTTAAATTTGGGCCCAATTAATGTACTCATATAGGGAGTACTTGAAGGCAATGTATATACTGTTTAGGTACATGGACCCTTAGGGCTTGCTTCAAAAATCGAGCCTAAAGCCCTAAACCCATGTTCATGCTAGGACCGGGAATTCAGAAAAGCCTTCACATGCCCCCGAACCCTCTATCCGGACCGACAGCAGCAAGTGGTGCCCATGTCATCATAAGACTTGTTTTGCTGTTTGGGCACGGTAGGCTTTCGCTTCACCTCCCCTGAAGGTAGGATCACCTTGAAGCCAAACCCTACGCCCTAACCTAAACTTACACCCTAACCCCAACATTCGAAGCCTTCCAGTGTAGTGTAGGAACCTGATTGAGAAACCCTGTGCCTATAACCCCCAAAATAGTAGCATTCATGTAAGGAACCCGAATAAATGCCCAAGCTTTCTTAATCAGGTTCCTACATTAACCCCAACCTTCCAAGCCTTCCCGTGTAGAGTTCCGGGACCCAGAGAGCCCCATACCCCTTAAGGAGTATATCTTAAATCATAATATGAAGCCCTATCCAAATTAAGCCATATTCCTCACATGAGGGGTATTGGAGTGCCCTAAACCCTATACCCTAAGACCTTATAGATCCCTTATAGATCCCTTGAAAGAACCCTTATAGGGGGTATAAACCCTAAACCCTAAACCCTAAACCCCTAACTAAGGGGTATTGGGCTCTCTGGGGACTAAAGTCCCAGACGCCGGCCTCCGTAGCTGGATTGCAAGGAGCCATGGCCCTGAGGGTCCATGTACCCAAATAGGGGTCGCCTTTAAGGGTATCATAAGGGCTCCTTTCAAGGATCCATGAGGTTCTATAAGGGTTTAGGGTATGAGGGTCCATGTACCCAAATAGTATATACTTTGGCCTTAAAGTACTCCGTATATAGGTACATTGGGCCCAAAGCATATAGTGTTTTGGTACGTGGACCCTTAGGGTGGGTCAACAGAGACCTGCGAAGCGGGATGCTTAAAAACGTGGGTGTAGGGGCAAGGGGGAACTCGCATCCCAACCCAGAGCCTAAATTGGTTAGGGCTCTAGGATTTTAACTTGTGGCACATAATTAGGAGGTAGGGCATTATAGTATAGTTTAGGTCAATCCTAAATGTGAACGGGCTCAGGGCCCTCACTATTGGTTGTGTTCGGCACAGGTGCCTTTCAACACTCCAACGCCGCGAAGCAGCAACGTGCGCCCCCCAGTAAACGGGTATGAGACTGATACTATTCATGCTCATAGGATATTAATGGAGGGTCCGAATCGATATCCCCAAAACCCTGAACCCTAAACCGTAACGATTGTTGGCTTCAGAGTTGAGGGCTTTATGGGGTGGTTTGGCGCCGGACAGGCTAAGTTAAGGCTCTGCTTCGAGCGGCTGAGGATTGAAGCTCATGACGTGACCCCAGTGACCCGAAACCATACGGTAGAAGCCCAAGAGTTGAAAACCCCATAAAACCTCAATCCTTAAGAGTAATGAATGGGGAATCCCAGCAGCACTTGGCCTTAATCCGGTTTCCAATTTTATGGTGTTTACTCTACTCTGGTGCTTCTGGTGAGGGCATCTGGTGACCAAAAGCCGCAAGCCGTCAACCCGGAGCATAACCCGTAAACCCTTTACTTCCTAAGGAAACCCTCATTCCCAAATTAAATCCCTCGACCCTGGACACTGATCCCTGAAAGGGATTCTCTGAACAGGATTCCGGTGGCTGTGGGATTCTAGGAAGTTCCGAATTTGCAGAAGCCCTGACAGTGTTATAGCTTGCAGTTTAGGGTTTAGGTTATAGGACAGGGGTAGTTGTCAAAATACGGGTCCCTTTTTGGGTACCCTAAATATTAAGTGCTGTATTCAAATAGGGACCCAAAAAGGACCATAATTTTAACAACCACCCATTTGGGAGTAGGTGTTAAAGATAAACATGCGCTTTGCCAAGCACTGACATTTCGAGCCCCTGGGGTCTACGTCCCCTCAACCCTATACCCCCAAACCCTAAACCCTAAACCTTGAATCCACATCAATAGTCTCAGATGGCAGAGTATTTCGGTTGATGATATAAATCCTGCATTACCTTAAGGACTTTAAACTATGGGAATCATGGTACATTCCTTACCGTTGCAAGCCTTAAACCGAAGCCTCGAAAGATCGAGGTAGCCAGAGAGAGGGGCCTTGATAATTAGCTTATACTATAGGGTTTGGAGTTCCTCTAAAGGGGTCCATAAGGGCTACTATAAGGTAAGGCCCCTATATTAAGCCCGCTAATCCCCAAACCTGCAAAACACCAAAGCATCGGCATGGTTTCATGTTACTCTTCCGGGAGGAGTTTCGGATCCCAGGGTTTCGAGGTTTATATAGTTTGAATATTTTTTTATGTGTAGAGTTTAGGGTTCGGGGTTTAGGGTTTAGGCTAGGGTTTAGCATTTAGGGCTTGTGCTGTTTCGGGTTGGGCTGGAGTTTGCCTGTTGTGTTTCAGGGCTTCAGCTTACGGAGAAAGAATCGTGGCATCTGCTGCTTCAAACGACAGCAGAAGAGCCACCTGAACAGAAACTAAGACTCCCGACAATCCAAACTCGAAGCCCTAAGGCCGAAATCTGAAGAAAATATGAGGGCCTACATGAATACCAATACTATTTTTTGGCGGGTTCCTTATTATAATTATAGTATAATGGGCCCCAAATCCTATTCCAATTATCAAGGCCCCATATACTACACCCTTATGACTTATGGTATCCCTTAAAGGAGCCCTTTAAAGAAATCCTATACCTAATTGTTAAGGCCCCTCAAGAAAGCCCGAGCCCGGGCCCAAACGCTTCCTATAGTCCCGTCCTGGACTCCTTTCAGGTCTTCCGCGTGCGTGTGATGGATGCAAATAAGGCAGGCCTTGAGGGGCTAGTAACGAAGTGAGCACTAAGATGTCGGCCAACCAGGGAATCTGGGAAGTCGGTATGATATATATATATATATATATATATATATATGTACATACATACATGTGTGGATCACATATACATATAACATATGTATGTATATATATATATATGTACACATACCTGTACTGGCGTATATACGAGGGTGTCACTTGGGCAGACACTTTCGCTCCGTTGCGACAGTATGCCACAGTCACTGTTGCCACAGACGGTAACGTGAAGTGAAGTACTGGCGTACATACATATGTATAGATGTGTATACGTACATAACTGTATGTACATATATATATATATATACACAGACGCAATCTCTCTCTCTCTATATATATATATAATTACAGATATATGTTATGACATATATGCGCGTATATATATATATATATATATATGTATGTATATGCTGTATATATGTACATAGAGATATGATGCATAACACCACTGCCCCCCTCCTCAAGGTAGGAAGTTCACATGGGTGTGCAGTTTGTGTGTCTTATCATTATCTACAGTCGCTTTCAGTAGCAGTGGATCGGCTTTCGGGTATTTGGTTGGCTTTGTGTCTCTAATGGCAAACAGGCCCTGAACCGTGCGCCACCGCAACAACAAGAAGAAGCGCAACGACAAATCAACACCAACAGCACCAAACACAACAACCAACAATGCCACAATCACTGACAAGCACAGCATATAAGACCACAAGAACAACGACTGCGACGACAGCATCAGCAGCAACAGCAACAACAGCAACAACATTAACAACATTATCCTCAAGAGCAACAGCAACAGCAACAACAGGCAAGAGCACCAGCACCTGCACCACGACCAGCAGCAACAGCAGCCGCAGCCGCAGCCGCCGCAGCAACCACCACAGCGACAGCGACAATGACAGCGACGACGGCGACCACACGATAAAGAACGACATTGACAAAACTACAGCATTAGTAACGCAAGTAACAATATCATTAACGATAACCATAGAAGAAGCGACAACAACAACAGCAACAACAACAACAACAAGGTAGCACGTCCATCTGCCGCCGCGCGGGGTGTGTCGTTTATTTTTTGGAGGTTTTTCCCCACCCTCGGTGTGGGGTTGCTAGATTTTCAAGTCAGCTATTATTCCTCGCCCGCTGAGATTACCTCCTGGAGTACCCAACCCCACAGACTACCGTGAGAATACCGTGAGAATCCCTGGAGTGCCCAACCCCACTGACTACCGTGAGAATCCCGGGAGTGGCACGCGGGAGTGTTTGGGAATACCAGGGTTGTCGGCTGCTGCGTGGCGGCCTGCGGGAGTGCTCGGGAATACCAGGATTTAAGGTTTAGGCTCGGGCTCTTTAGGTTTTAGGATTTGTGTGTAGGAAGGACAAGGCGCTAGGGTGGGGATGTCCGAAGTAAAGTAATTTTGGTCACAAGCCTGAAAAACAACGAGTTCTGTATGGTTTTCGTGAACAAGACGATGTTCCGGAGCTTTTTCATAGTGGTTTGGCCTTGTTGTTTGGTGGGTTTTTTGCGAAGATGTCGCAAATACCATGCTTTTGTTGTTTTTTTGTGCTGGTGTTTTTTGGAGTCAGTTGCGAAGTTAGAAAGCCTAGAAAACACGAGTGTTTTCGTATAGGGTGGCATCTTAAAGGTCACGTATCAACAAGGGCTACAGCGAGCAACATTGTCATTGTCATTGTTACCACCGTTGGTATCGTCATCACCATTGTTATCTTGCGCAGAAGCAGTTAACATCTGCAAAACAAGATTAACATCATCAACATCCCCCCCATCCCCCCTTCCCACCAGTTCACAGAGCAGAGAGAGAAACAGTACATGTAAGCCACATTCGCATGGACGTCATCATTCCCCCCCCCCTCCCCACCCCTGCACAGAGATCAAACACATACACATGGGTGGTTATCAAAATTAGGGTCCCTTTTTGGGTACCCTAAATATTAGGTGCCGTATTATAATAGGGAGCCAAAAAGGGACCCTAGTTTGGACAACCACCCACATGGAAGTCCAAGCTGGCATGTGCAAAAAGTCGAGAGTCGGCATACGGTTTAGGGTTTAGGGTTTAGGGTTTTTGTGCACTTGGTTGTTCTTGTATGCACTTCACCTCAGGCAGGAAGCACTGGATCGTTGAAGCATTAGATGCTTCAGTGGACCCAATGCTGGACTCTAATCCTAAAGCCCGATGCCCTGAACTCTTAAACCCAAATATGCACTAAAATCTACATGTTGTCGGGCAATGGCCCTGGCCTTTTGAAAGGGCTTCGGGCAAAGTGTTCGGGCTTGGGGCCTACGGTTTAAACGCTTGAGACATGTAATTACCGTGACTAGACATCTAGGCTGCCTGCCCGGGCTTCAGGCGGTGTTCCAGTGGACGTAGGGGTTGGAAAACCGCGTCACAGAGTGCAGCAGCTGTCCGCATGCGCTACATTGAAAATGAGACACTAGCGATATATGTGTCACCACTTACGTCAGATGCTCCGCACCCCGCACGAAACCCGAAATTCTACCACCCATGTCCGCAACCCTAAATTCGCGAGATCACTCAAGCTTGTAAAGCTTAAGGGCTTTAGGGTTCCTTAGTAAATATATTCGGGTTTCCGGGGTTCTGGGTTCCCTAGGCTATACGGTTGCTTAGATTCGCCGAGTATCGGATGTATCGGATTTCAGTGGATTCCCTAGGAAAGTTTTAGGGTCAGGGGGCACAGCAGAGTTGAGGCTTTAGGTTTCGGACTCGCAGAATGAATTAGTCCTAACTCCCAAAGCATGTTCAATTTATCACGCCTTTGGACAGCAATCCATCAGTACTTAGTAGCTCGGTATCAGGGAAGGCGGTTTGGTTCTGGGGCTACAGGGCTTTTGGGGCTCAGGGACCTTTAACCTATCATGGTGTGCATGAACCTATGAACCTACTTAAATTACCAGCATAGTTTCTTTGGACCGGCCAAGGCAGCAACTAGCAGCAGCAATGCTAAAACAAAGTCTATGGGACAGACTGTTTTCGGAAACCTTCTGCGTTCGGTAGCTTGGCTTATGGCTCCCCTGAAGCGTAAACCCTAAATCCCTAAGCCCTATAGCCCTAAACTCAACATCTCTAAACCTCAAACCCCTAGCCTGGAAGCTCAAACCCTTCAACCCTAAACGTTAAACTCTAAATCAAAACAGGGTTCCAGGCATCGTAAACTGCCGAAACCCAGACCCAACTCGAGTTCTTCTAGCAAAACGCACAGGGAAAAACAGTTTCGAACCCCAGTACTTGAATCTCAGCTATTCAGCTGGTCGGGCATTGAGTTTAGGGGTTTATGTCTTCCGTATGCGACTTGCACTTCCTTATATCCACAAATCATAGGTCAGATTCAACAAGATGTAAAGTGTGTCTGATGTAGGTGGCCATCGATGGCAATCTCTGGCTTCCGGGACAAGAGGCCCCCATTCACTGTAGCAGAGTCAGGGCTCATGGGGTTGAGGTGCGGTTTTGGAGATGTGCATTCGAAGAGACGGTTTCGAAGGCAGAATCATCGAACGTGAACGTGTGTTGACACATCTGCTCTTTATACAGCCGTCTCGTACGATCCCACGTTCACATGATCCTCAAGCCTCAAGCCGTGCTGCCTTCAGCACTCAGTACTTGTTGACGTCAGTACCAGTGCGCACATGCTTGATCTGTTGTATGCGCATGAAAGACGTATAAACATAGACCGTCAGGGCTTCTACATTTTTTCGGAAAAGCAACGCCCTAAACCCGAAGCCTTAAACCCCAGCAGAACCCTAAACTTCCTAAACTTTAAACCAACCACCCAAGGACCCAAAGCCAGCGTGGCACCCGAAGCACCAACAATGTAGCACCTGAGCCCCAAAGCTTGCAGCCACTCGTAGGTTTTAGCGTTTTGGCTTTAGCTGGAGCGGCTAAGAGTCTCAGCGTTTCAGGTGATTGAACGCCACACCCGAGGGTTTTGAGTTCCAGGTCGCAATCAACTCTGCGCCACAAGCCCGAAACCCCAAACCTTAAGCTCCCAAACCCCTAAACCCTGAACCCCTAAAGCCCTAAACCCCTCAACCTTAAACCCTTAACCCTAAACCCATAAACCCTAATTAAACCCGAAACCCCAAACCCTAAAGCCATGAGCCAGAAACCCATCAGACCCGACCCCTCAGACTCCAAACATCGAAAGCCTGTGCCAGCAGCCTTTCACCCCAACCCGAAACCCTAAAGCCCTAAACCCTTAAACCCTAAACCCTAAGCCCTAAACCCTAAACCCTAAACCCTAAACCCTAAACCCTAAACCCTAAACCCTAAACCCTAAGCCCTAAACCCTAAACCCTAAAGCCCTAAACCCTTAAACCCTAGACCCTAAGCCCCAAATCCGAAACCCGGAAACCCGACACCGCGACCAACAAACCCGCTTAATATAGAAACCTTGGTAGTTTCTACCACTATAATTCCGCGGAGCTCCTAATTTACAGCTACACTCTATATGCCCCGCAACCCTTATCTGAATTATTCAGGCTGCTATGTTAAACCCTTCCTAGACCCCCCAACTGCCCTCTAATATATCCCAAATACCCACTATTAAGGGCCATAAGGGCTCCATTAAAGGGCCATTGGGGGGTCCTGGTTATAGCACCCCTAAATAGTAACCCTAAACGAACCCTTAAGTCTACCCTGCTCCGTACATAGCAGCTGCAGCAGGTGCGGACCATTCCGCGAGCGGGGGGCCCCGGCTGAGGGGACTTCGGGAAGATGACAAATTAATGTAAAGGGTTTAGGGTTCAGGGTTTACAGGGGTTTAGTTTGGGTGTAGGTGTTTAGCTGCTTAGGGTTTGGGGTTTGGGGTTCTTGGTTCAGGGTTTTTGTTCCTAGGGTGCCTTACTTACTTACGTGTACTTATAGTAGAATATACAACCCCCAAGTCCTATAGTTCAAGTATTGACACTCCTACATCAAAGGTCTGAGGTACAGGTTTTTGCCGTTGAGGGTGTAGCATCTGGGGATTAGCCTTTGAGATTTAGGTAAAGGGCTTCGAGGCTCTAGGAGTTTATGGTTGCGAGTAGACGCTGAGGCTGTGGAGTTCAGCGTTTCGGGTTTTAGGGTTTAATTTTAGGCTTTAGGGTTTAGGATTGAGGTTATTGGGGTTTAGGAGTTCAGGGTTATGCCTAGAAGCCTAGCACTCTGCAGGTTGCAGGGGGATGGGTACCAAAAGGTTGACACTGTTTCAATAGACAGGAACCGATACTAGTATTCAAGGCTCCTTGGCATCCTTATCGGCGGAAACCAAGTCTTATATACCGTGATACGTAGGACCCTTACATATAAAGCCCCTGACAGAAGCGCATTTGCGAGGCCCCTTGCAGAAATTCTATTTTGGGTTAGGTCGGCTCCCAGGGTGCTAGGGCAGGGCCCGGACCAGCCGCATCACCGAATCCCCAAAACCCATGAAACCCAAACCTGCAACCCGAACCCAAACCCAGACTGTACTATTTGGTTAAATCTAACCCTACACCCTCAACCGTAAGCCCTCAGAGTTCCAACTTATACTTTATACCCTAAGGCCCCAAAGTAGTTCCTCCTTGGGGGTTCATATTTAGAATTCTATAAGGTAATCTCAAAAAGGAGCTACTATGGGGCCTATGAGTATACCCTATACCCTAAACCATCGTTTATTTAATCGAACCGAGGTCCAAGATTTCAAGATCTGGTTCACGACGCCGGCGCCTGCCCAAGGGGACACCCGACCTTTTCAGGGGTGACGCTTGCCTAACTGAACCCCAAGCTTTAAAAATGAACCCCAAACCCCTAAACCCTAAACCATTGTGTCTTTCACGATTTTAATATGTCAGAACCTGAGCCGGGTTTATTGGGAAGTACGGTCGCGGTGAGGGATTGCGGCATTGAAGCTTGAAGAAGCCAAAGCCCACAAACCCTAAACTCTTAAACCTCAAACCTAAACCCTACGAAGCAACATCGACACCTCAAACTCGATAAAAAGTCCTGAGCCCCTGCACTACAGTAACCCTTAGACGTCATGAATCCCACAAGCCGAAACCGCTGTGGGGTTTACATACATGAAACCACCCTTTAAAATCACCCCGTTCAGGACTTCTAGATGCAAGGAATCCACAATAAGGAACGCAGGTTCTGTAGGGTTTAGCTACGCCTGAAACCCCCAAGATCCTAGCCCTAACCCCAAGATCCTCGAAGCCTAACACCCAAAACCCTAAAGCCTGAAGCTTTGTCCGGTTCTGAAGTTCTGCAGGGAGAACTAGGGTCGGGAGCCAGAAGAGCCACAAGCATGTCAGCACTTTCGAGACCTTTTTGTGTTTGAAGGATTACTATTCAACAGTGCTGATCAGGGCTTCGGGTTTAGGGTTTCGTGTTTAATAGGCTTAAAGTAAAAGCCAGAAAGTTGGAATATGGTTTCAGGGTAGGATACCCTATAATTCACCATAAAGGGGTTAGGATAATCATATTCCAACTTTCTGGCTTTTACCTTGTTACAAGGGTGTGATAAGAATGATTGGGTTTCGGGCTCGAGGCTTCAAGGCAGAGTTTACTGGCGGCAGCTCGAGCCAGCCTGAGGCCCTTGGTCATCACTACGGTTGATGATATAAATCCTGCACTACCCATAATGAGGAATATACCATAATTCCCATAGTTTAGGCTCCTTAAGGTAATGCAGGATTTATATCATCAACCGTATCACTAGGGATCCAAGCACCGAAATGGGGTTTCAGGGCCCCAAAACCATTCCGAGCATGGGGATCGACCTAAATCCCTGCTATTTGGGTACTTAGACTCTCCGGGTATCATCGTTGGGTATGTACTTGGAGGATCATGGGACTTAGTAAGTGAGGTTATAAGTACCTTAATTGAGGTTATATGTAGTTATAAGTGGAGTTACCCTAATTATAGCCTTAGTTACTGAGTCCCATGATCCTTTAAGTAGGGGTTTAGGAGCTTGTGGGTTCACGCGGTCTGTTCGTGAGTTTCGGGCTTTGTGGCCGAGTGTTTGTGGGTTAGGGTTTTGGGTTTGGGGTTGGTTGTGGGTTTCGGGTGAGGCCGGTGTTCGTTTTTCAGTGTGTAGGGTGTGTAGACAGGTTCCAGCCACAATGATGACCGTCGCCATTCACTTCACCTTCAACCTGACATTGCCAGGGCCCGGGTGTGTGTGTGTGTGTGTGTGTGTGTGTTTTTCGGGTTAGTCTAACTCTAAGAGCCCAGGAGCCTAGGGAGCCCACAAGTGGTGTGGAACAATTATTGTAAAGGTGGTCGCTCCCGTCGCTGTGCGAATGCTGGCTTATTCGGAATTCGTGCATCTAAATCTTGGCTAAGGATCCAGGCGTCGCTCTCGCTCGGATTGTCTGCTGACTGCTTGCATAAACCCTAGAAGCCCTAAACCCTAAACCCCTAAACCCCTAAACCCCTAAACCCTAACCCCTAAACCCTAAACCCTAAACCCTAAGGGGTTTAAACCCTAACCTGTAAAACCTACTGGTAAAGTCTAAAGCCTGCAAACACTGTCGAGCCTTCACTTCGTAGTGCAAGGCGACACGATGCTGCCATGCATACCCTTCAACAGGGTCGGGGGGTGTACACGAGACCCCAACCCTATAAGCCCTAAACCCTATGAACTTGTATAAGCCCCCAAAACCCTAAGCCCTAAACCCCTATAAGCCCGAGAAGCTCTAAAAGCCCTTAACCATAAAACCCTAAACCCCCATAAGCCCAACAAGCTCTAAAAACCCTTAACCATAAAACCCTAAACCCCACATAAAGGAACCCCCTATAGATCCCTTTAAAGGAACCCTAAACCCTTAACCATAAAACCCTAAACCCCACATTGCAACAAGCCCGACTAACGCGCAGCTTTCCGCAAGCCATCCCAGCTCGTCTCATTTGAGACCCCAACCCTATATGCCCAAAACCCTATGATCTTGTATAAACCCCCCAAAACCCCAAAACCCTATGGTACACGTAGAAGCCAGAAAGTTGGAACATGGGTTTAGGATGATTAGTGCTAGGATGCCTTATACTTTACCTTAAGGGCATGAGGACAATGATGTTCCAACTTTTTGGCTTCTACTGTAGAGCCACCCCAGTTCGTCTCATTTGAGGCCCCGCGGTGAGGAGGGGAACACACCGCCGCATGGATGCAGTCGAAGCATGACCCTAAGGGTCCATGTACCCAAATAGGGTTCACTTAAGGGGACCATAAGGGTTCCTTTAAAGGGATCTATAAGGGATCCATAAGGGTTTAGGGTATAAGGGTCCATGCATTCGAAGCACTTGGAGGATCATGGGACTTAGTAAGGGGTCCTTAAAGGGCTCTTTAAAGGATCTATAGGGTTCCTTAAAGGGATCTATAGGGTTTAGGGTTTAGGGTCTACTTGGGAGGATCATGGGACTTAGTAAGAAAGGTTATAAGTACCTTAATTGGGGTTATAAGTAGGTATAAGTAGAGTTACCTGAGTTATAACCCTACTTACTAAGTCCCAAGATCCTTTAAGCATGACTTCTTTCTGGAGCTCCTCGAAGTCTTTTGGATCTAGGGCCTAATTTAGAGGTTTGGGGTTTGGGGGGTTAGGGGTTTAGGGATTACGGATTAGGGGTTTAAGGGTTTAGGGTTTAGGTCATAAAGATGTCTCAAGATTCGGCAATCTTATGCCTTTAATTTGGTGTTATACATGTTCGGATTCCGTCCAACAAAGCCCAAGGCCGAGTCTAATTGTCTAGGTCGTGGCCTGCGATTTTGCGGGTTTCAGTCCTGGACGTAGCTCTCCAGACATAAGCCCAACGCGCTCACCCCCCGAAAACTATACCGTAGAGTAAGCCCTGGAGATCACCCCGGTCAGCTATGGGTTTCTGGGCTATGGGTGTTACAGGCATAGGGCTGATTTAGAGGTTAGTTATTTGCCCGACTAGGTTGGTCAACTCATGACACCGCTAATTAACAAACAAAGAGACAGAATGCGACACGTTCATAGTTAGATCGATTGTTTTTGCTGGAGTGTTGCTCAGTGCCCATATCAACCTGTTTCTCATCGAATGTTGTAACGATTTTCTAGAGGTTTTTGTGGGCGAGGTCTTCTTTTGACTATGCTGGGTCCTTCATGAGTGGTTTGGTTTTCCGGCTTCCGTTCCGGTTTTAAGGAATTAGGGTACCCTATAAACCCTAAACCCTAAACCCTATAAACCCTAAACCCCAAACGTGGAACCAACTTCGCATGAAGACCCAGGTTGCGTGTCATTGAGATTGAAGCGCCTCAAGGGCATCCTCGGCCGTTTAGGGTTTAGGGTTTAGGGACTGTTTAGCGTTTAGGGTCTGAGGTCTCTCGCATGCTTTTTTAAGCGCATCAGTATTTGCACAACAAGGTGTAGGGATTTAAGTAGTTGAGTAGTAGCCGATTCTTCGTTAATTTATGTACTCCACAGCACAGTTCTAAATATTGCAGCCATTGGAGGGAGTGCTCGTGAAGTTGTGTAAGTTGGTTCACTGCTGTCTTCCCCGATCTGGAGCGATGTTCGGGATCAATAGACTAATAGAACACAGGTCTGCGACGTTCAGCAGTTACCTATAGTCTCCATTGTAGTTCCTTTTTGTGTTTTAACCGCATATATCATCAGGATCCTAGAAGGTAGCCCCAAAGAGGAACTGCAATGGAGACTACTTGGGGGTTCTTAGAAATATTGTTTAATCTTTGGTTCCCTAAGAAACAGCCAAAATTGTAATTGTTGCTAGGGGTCTAAGTTCAGCATAGACTATAGGTAATTATAGAAGCTCGCGAGCTGAAGCTCTGGTTGCAGGGTGTCTGGAGTTTCGTCTCCAGTTGACACTGCCGATGGAGTAGACGTAGAGTTGAGTAGCTCCGAACTCCTGAAACACAAAAAACGGAATGCCCTAAACCCACAGCCCTAAACTCCCTAAACCCTGAACTGTTGAACCCCCTAAACCCTAAACCCACCCTAAAAATAGTGCACAGAAGAGCACACACACACACACACACATCGGTTTTCCTGGGATCAGGCACCTACATGGCTAGTTGTCAAAATTAAGGTCCCTTTTTGCGTATCCTAAATTCTAGGTGCAGTATCATAATTATTAGGGACCCAAACAGGGAGCCTAATTATGACAACCACCCACATGGTGCAGTACAGACTTGATCGTCCAGTTCCTTAACTGGGACCAAATGCAGTTTCTGATTTGGGCACTCGGAAGCTTCCCGCAACATTCAATGCTCTGCCCCTAAGAAAGTTGACAATGCGGCCCCTGTGCTTGAAATAATAAACTCAGCGGCTTGAAGCCGCCCGAAGAGTGGTTTCGTGGTCGGGGCCGCGACTTTTCTCAAGATTTCGGAAGGTCTTCGGAATTAAGAGTCTAGCAAGGTCTTAAAGGCCTCCAAAGACAGGAGCACTACCTAAAGCCCCCCAAAGTTGGTAAAATAATGGTCCAATACCCATAAAGGGCCATTATTCTACATACTTTGGGGGTCCAGGTACAGATCCACGGTGAAAGGCCCTTAAACTTAGATCTCCAATACCCAGCCTTTATTCTTGTAGTTTAGTGGGAATCGGAAAGTTTAACCTTTTATTTCTGTGGCTCATTGGGGTAGTATTGTTTGTAAAACCCTAAACCCTAAATCCTAAACCCTAAACCCTAAATCCTAAACCCTAAACCCTAAACCTTAAATCCTAAACCCTAAACCACGAAGAGCGAGCCAGGATGGAGCTGAAGGTGCGGAGGCCTGCAGATGTCCGGCGCCTTCGCAGAAATGACTTCGTGGCCGGAGCCCTAACCAAACGGACCTTTGAGACTTGGAATCGGCTCCTTTTGAAGGTTCTATATAAGGGTTTAGGGTTTAGGGTCTACGGTTCGGAAATTTGGGCCATTTTCTTTTTGGAGGGGAAGGTGGGCGTTAGGGGCCTTAATAGCTGGGAAAGGACTTTGGGGTATCTGATCGCATAACCATACGCAGGGATGTCACCCCGATTCCTTGCTGATGGTTCAGGCGTCTAGGGTTCAAAGTTTCGGGTTCAAGTCAATGGTTTGGAGTTGAGCGTTAAGAGGGGCCTAAGTAATTAATTACCTGTATTGCTGCGGGGGTTCATTATTATAACTGTAGTATAATGGGCCCGAAACCCCTATTCTAATTGATATGGCCCCTAGGCCCATATTGGGGGTTGAAGTTTCGGCTTGTCTCAGGTCTTGGGCTTACGATTTTTTTCAGCTGTTGTGCGAGCTGTAGACCCGACACTCGCAACACTCCAATCTACCTTGGACCGACATCCGCTGGAATCCTACGTTCTGGCATCCAGATTGAACCCGAAGAGCCTACCATGAAAACTTATATTTGAATCCAGTACAGTAAACCCCATAAGGTTGGAAACCTGATTAAGGCCAAATAGAGCTGGGATTCACTATGCAATACGCTTAACGAGGCTGTTGGGTTTCCAACTTTTGGGCTTCTACTATAATGCGAGGATCCTACTCCTACCATGAAGACCCTAAACCCTAAAAGAAAAACTTAAACCCTAAACCCTCCAGTCATCTAACCGCCGCATGCTCAGGCAGTGACGGAGTGGAACTGGACTGACATCTTTCCTCAGCAGCTTTGGCCCGGAGTCCCGAGATGGGGGTTTGTTATGGGGTCCTGGCTCACATGTCCCTTCATTAAGGAATTTCCCCCCTAGGGATCTATAAGGTTTAGGGTATAGGGTTTAGGGTTATGGGGGTTTCCGAATATCAGGGGTACCTTGTTGTGGGGTCCTTGTAATAAGGATCCTACTACTTAGGGTAGTATATTAGGGTCCCCTATTTTCGGAAACTCTCCCAGATGTATCCACGAAGTTGCAATGTGGACTTTCGGATTCGGGGAGGCTTTTTCGTGTAGGAGTCTGGCGGCGGTGTTTGGGGTTTCTTCTCCAGCGCTTGGATGAAGTGTCTAACGTGCGATGCCAAGCTGCTTTATCTCGAGAATAGATACATTGCTTTGAGCGAGTTAGTCTCGGCAAGAGCAAGATCACCTGGAGGACTGCCTACCCTAAACCCTGAATGTTACAGAATTATTCGATTAGGCATTTCGTTCGGAAAGTCAGAAATGTTTAGCTCACAAGTCGAAACAGATGCTCGGTTCATACCCAAAGACCGATGATGACCTATTGATCAAGCTTAAGCTTACAGCTCGCGTCAATTTACCAGGCCAGGCCCATTCACTGTTGGCTTCGAAACCTTGCATTCACATCAGCGAATCAGAATTAAGACATTGATCGACGTTTTTTCAGCTGAGTAGTTTCTGCTCATTCAATATCAAAACGGTACCCCAATCCAAAACCCAAACAGCTGTTGGCGCTTGTTTGGACCACTCGTGAACGAATAAATGACAACCGAGAGGGGCCGATTTCGTCATTTTGTACATCCGGTATAGGGTCTAGCGGCTAGCGTTTGGAATTCTGTGCACCATCCGCGAGTCGAACGAGGGGAATCCTGACAGCAGAATTGGTGGTGCTTTCATACTGAGCAAACACGCGGACGGAAATGCGCCACTTCAAATCTCATGGAATCCAATCTTCACGAACTCATGAGAGCCACCATCTTATATTTGTATGTGACAGAGAGATCTTCGGCCTTGTGTGTTTGCGAGTGTCTTGGTTGCGTATGTGTGTGCAAACGCTTCTGCCGGAGTAGCTGACATGCAAAGCCGCCATTTGTCACCAGTGAATATGCTAAAACGTCCTGAAGTATTCGATCTCTGTCTTGTCTACGCCTCTGCAAAACTCCCTACATGTGTTTGTTGCATGTGCCTTTTCTTCTTGAGTTTGTTTGTCTTGTCGCGGTGCTGTCATCCTGGGCCCTAAACTCTAAACCCGGAAAGAGCCGTCTAGACTTCAGGTTCGGGCTTGACACGGACCAGAATGTCAGTGGCACCTTCCACTACGCCTTCCCGGCGCTGACTCCAACGTCAGCCAAGCTGATTGCTTCATTTATGGGCTTGAATTGGACCCCAAGTCCCAACGCACAAACCTGAAACCTACCTGGACTCCAGCAGTATGTAGAATAATTGTCTTTGATAAGTGTTGGACCGACTTTTAAGGGTTTACTATAGGCGCCTAAATACCAAGACTATTTTGGGGGCTCCTCATTATCAATATAGTATACTGGGCCCCAAAGCCCTATTCTAATTACTAAGGCCCCTATGCTACACCCCAATCCCTAAACCCTAAACCCTAAACCCTAAACCCTAAACCCTAAACCCTAAACCCTAAACACTAAACCCTAAACCCTAAACCCTAAACCCTAAACCCTAAACACCCCAATCCGAAGCCCTCAAGCTTGAACTGATTCTCGTTGTCCACCTGACAGTTCACCCGAAATAAACACCGCCGAAACCTACATCAATCTGTGAAATGTCTGGATTTAGGATTGTGTGTTTGGGTTTAGGGTTGAGGCTTAGGAAAAGGGGTTTGGCTTTATTTGTGGTTTGCAGACGAGGTTTCGGGATTGGGTCGATACACATGTACGTTCCCCTGCTTAAGCTGATCTCAAGTAGCTGAGTGCTGTCTTACCTTGCCACAGGTTGATCGTGGACGCGAGGTTTCCCAACAGTTTCGAAGGAACCCCGAAACCAAGGTTTGCTGTCGGTGCAGTGTTTAGGGTTTAGGATTCGGCTACAAGGGTTTGCTGTTAAACCTTCGCGTCAAGGGTGTGGGTTTCCTGACAACCTGCTGTCCGGGAATTAAATTAGAGCTTCGGGTTTTGGATACCTCTCCTTAGATCTCCAATATCCAACCTTTAAACTTTTTGGGTTCTTCTAGTTTAGTACGAATCGGAAAGTTTAACCCTTTATTTCTGTGGCTTATTGGGGTAGTAAGTCTCTCACACTTTCCTAAGCCCCCACTACAGGCCCTGGCCATTGGCTTTTGAGCCTTCCGACTGTCTCGAAAGCTAAAACTCGGCTCTTCGCCAGGAGAATGCCGGTGGACAACCTGTGGCAGGCAGGGAAGCGGCCTACTACACTCAAGCAGGGACGCAGGGGCTTAGGGGTTTAGGGTCTTAGGGCTTCTCCCAAACCCCTACCCCCCAAAACTTTAAACTGCACCTAGAAGCCTCAAGCCCAAAACCCCACGCTCCATAAACTCCAGAGACTCGAAGCCTTAGCACCATGGCTCCACAGGACACTCCAAGGAACAATGGATAAGTATGTTGACGGGTATGTAACGGTATGTAGTCACTGTCGAGGATGCACTATATGTCTACATGTTGCCAAAATCCCCGAATCCCAAACCCCGAATCCGAAATCCTGCAATAATTGGTTGGGGTACCCAGCCCCTAAGCACCGAAGGTCAAGCTTTGCACAGACAGCCCGTTCTGCACGCCGATCCCTCGGCTCTCCCGTGTTGAGGTTTAAGTGATGTAGGGGTCTCAATATGTACTATTTTGGGGGGTTCCCTGTTACAATTAATTATAGTATAATGGGCCCCGAAACTCTATTCTATGTATTAATTTATTAACGCTTGGCTTATACAAGGGTTACGATGTTTAGGTGTTTTTGCTCACAGCTCTTGCGCGAGGCCAAGCTGTGGCGATTTCTGTTCAAGCTGGTTGTTTGCTGTCAGATGTTGCTTGTCTTTTGGGCCTCTTGGGTATTGCTGTATTGCTTGGCATAGCGAGATAGTAGGTGGGGTTGCAGCTTGAGTAAACCGCGATCTGCATATGGGAGTTTTCGAAAATAGGGGACTCTGTGCACTTGGGATGCCGTTGATGCTCTGCTTTGCTTGGAGTTTCATGTGTAGTTACAAGTAGGGTTATAAGTAGGATAACTATGGTTAGAACCTATATAAGGGGACTTATAACGCCACTTATAACTACCCATGAACCTCCAAGTGGGCTCGGGGTTTCAGGTGTGGGGTTTCAGGTTTCTTGTTCAACAAGGGCTTGGGATATCGCTTCCTGGGTTTCGGAGGTTGGGGCTTAGGTGTGTAGCTGCTATTAAAAGTGGGCTTAGGGCTTATGTGGGGTGTGGAGTTTGAGGCTTAGGTGTGTAGTTGGTGCTGCTGCTGCTACTGCCGCTGATGATGATGATGATGGTGGTGGCAGTAGCTGGCCAGTGTATTTCTATCTTCAGCAAAGTTGCCGTCGCTGTGGTCCGACTCTCAGCTTACCCGAGCGAAAACCCGCACAATACCAGAGCCTGAATCCCGTGCCCTGCCTCACATGTTCCCTAACGCAATGGAGCGAAAATCCCGATGAAAACCCGCAACCCTTAGCCCAAACGACACCCTGCAATATCATCGTCACAACTACAAACACTAGTACTATGGTTTAGTGCTACCACCATTGCGTCAAAGTGCCTCGGTTTAACCCAAATCCCTACCTACAGCTTTCGAGGCTTTACAAACTAGACCCAAGAGTACCCTAGGAATAAAAAATAAAGGGTGCCTTGTTTGGTTTAAAGGTACTAAAAAGGAACCTAAACCCAAAAAAACGGGAATAAGGGCCTGCGCCGGGTCCTAGCACAGCGGCAAAAAAAATGAACCCTGAAGATGACTGTGCGCTCTTTAACTTTTAAATCTAGGGCTTCGGGTTCAGGGTTTAGGATTATATATATATATATATATATATTGTAATGATGTTGGCCCCTGTTCGTCTCGCAGATCCGAGTTTAGGGTTGGGGTTTAGCGTTTAGGGTTTAGTGCTTTAGGATTCGGTTTTGAGATGCAGGGTTAGGGTTTGGGAACAAGGAATAGGGCCGGAGTCTGTGTGGAGAACAATCGGAGTTTGCAAACTGGTCACAAGTGGCACAAGGAAGGCAACCCTCATCAGGGTACACCTTTAACACGAGCTAAATTCACCCACCAAGTATTATTTGGCGAGTTCCTGTTGTTTCTGTGAAGCTGCTGCGCTTGCACAGATCACAGGTCACGGCGCTCATGGTTTAGGGATTAGGGGGAGGCCATCAATACGGTAAAGGACGATACAAGGTCGGGCAGGAGAGAGAAAGGATAAGTATCAGAACGCGCCGTCGCCGAGCCAAGAGTGACCTGAAGTCTGAAACCACATGCAGTGTCTTGGGGCGAGATGTTGTCCTGCAGTAGATTGCACGCGTCATCCGCAACATCATGAGAATCAGCGACATTCCACAAAGTTCTGGCGGTGTTCAAACTTGTTCCTGTAGGTAATATGGGAGTTTCTGAAAATTAGGGGTACCCTTATTTTGGGGTCACTCCGGCGACGCACTCAGGACCAATCTCCTGACGATCCCCATCCCGGGATTCTTCTTCGGACAGGTGCGGCTTGGGGCGTAGGGCTTTGGGATAAGGACGATTAGTAGGGTGAGGGTTCGACGTTTAGCCCTTAGGGTGTCTTCCAAGCCGGAGGTTTGAGGCCTACGACTGTAGCGCGATTACCAGGACTGTTCAACGGACTTTCCCAAAAGCTTTGAAGAGTGGGTATTTGAGGTACACCGGAGAGTCGTTGAGGTTTTTTTTGTAGGGTTTGGGGTGTACGTGATCAGGGTCTTGGTATTGGAATAATCCTTCAGTGCTCTTTTTGAATCAGGGAGGGTTGGGTTCTGGCGTGGTTTCACACCTGTTTAGCGACAACATCAGTGGCTCATGTTGGGATTACAGACCCAAGGTTTTTGTAACATGGGCGATGCTGGCCAGGCGAGCCATGCAGTGGGAGGCCAGAAATCGCATTGCGCACGATAGCTGAGAGGTCGCTATTTCTCTCCGCTTGTATGCATGCATTTATATAAGCATATACAGACAGAGAAAGAGACAGAGACAGACAGACAGACAGGGACAGACATACCCACATACCACACGCACACATGCGCACAGGCACACAGACGCGCAGACACACCTTGGACCTGCAAGCCGGTTTGCCCGCCCCGAATCCTGAAGCCAAATGCCCACTTGAAACCTGCACGTGACAGGATCCTGATGAACCACTCAGTGAGGAAGCTCAGGAGATGCTCCAAGGCCGCGATGGGTTTCGGGTTTGGGATGTTACCCGTTATTAATGATGGTGGCAATGGCAATTGCATCTTTTCCATGTATGTATACATGTATGCCGTATAGTGAAAACGAGAACATGGATTTAGGATGTTTGGATCGGGCATTCCCCATACTTTACATGAGGGGTCTGAGGATACTGATGTTCCAACTTTCTGGCTTCTCCTGTACTGTAAGTGTGTGCATCGGTCTTTTGCGTTCTTCGGTTTGAGGAGTTTAGTTTAGCATAAACCAGGTTTGAGGCATCGCCCTTGAGGGCTTTCGTTTAGAGGGTTAGAGGCTTCAGAAGCTTTTGCTCTTTTGTCGATGTCTTGATTTGTTTAAGGCCTTTCGCTGTGAGGTTTAGTCAGCAACTCTCACAAAGAGTGTGGCTGTACTAAGACATGACAGCCGGTGTAATGTAGGGGCCTTAATGCATAGACTAGGGTTTGGGGGCTATTTTATACCATAATTATGTTAAGGAGCCCTACGTTAAGAATAGTATTGGTAATGGTTTAAGCCCCTACTTGGAGGATCACGGGACTTAGTAAGTAAGGTTATAAGTACCTTAATTGGGGTTATAAGTAGTTTTAAGTAGAGTTACCCTAATTATAACCCGAGTTACTAAGTCCCATGATCCTTTAAGTAGACCCTAAGCCCTAAAGCCCATAGATCCCTTCAAGGAACCCAATAGATCCCTTTAAGAGCCCTTTAACAACCCTTACTAGCCATGAGTCCCAAACCCTATGACTTCCACCGGCGGTAGCTGTGAGCAAGCTGTGAAAAGCCGTCGCAGCGATCATGAATAACACATACCTGAACTCCTTAAGGTAGGTCATTCGGGGTGATGGTAGCAACACCCACCAGAACTCGAACTCGAAAAGTAGAATCGCATCATTGAATTCCAATCCCACGTTTTAGTTCAGGGTGTAGGCTTCGGGGCTTCGAGGTTTGGCGTTCTTTTTTTTTTTTTCTTTGCCTTTTTTTTTCTGAGGTTTGGCGTTAGGGGTTAGGGTTCGGAAACCTGCAGCCCACCGTCGTTCATCCCTTACACTGAGCCCGCGGAAACCTGCAGCCCCATGCGGACCCTTTGATCCTACTTAAAGGCTCATTGGAGTTGGGAACTAAGGTCATAATCAGGGTAACTCTACTTATAACTACTTATAACCCCGATTAAGCTAGTTATAACCTTACTTACTAAGTCCAGTGATCCTCCAAGTATGGGCTCTAGATCCACCGAACCCAAAGTCCCACGCCCTAGTTAAGCCCGAAACTTGGGAGGAAGCTGGGCGCTGCGCCGGGAGCTGATTGAGCTGACTAGTCCCTGAGGGCCCATGTACCCAAATAGTATATACATTGGGAGTACTTCAAGGCCAATGTATATACTATTTAGGTACATGGACCCTTAGGGATTATGGACTCATTGTTTAGGAGTTACGAGTTTTGGGGCGGATGAGCTCTGGGGTTAAGTTGCACAGTTGCGATGTTGATGTCTATCTGGCGGGTCTCGTTGCCTTCACTGAAGCATAAATGTAGATACGTGAGCTTGAAACCAAACTGTCTCACCGCCGAATCTTGTGCAGTAGTGATTCGGCATGCGGGTGTGGAAGAAATTGTCATTCCGAAACAGCGATGGCTGCTGCTGCAGAACATCTCGCATGTTCCATATGATAATTTCCGACAATAGGGGACCCTAATATAGTACCCTAAACCGTAGGATGCTTTAAAAGAAGGTACCCCTAGTTTTCGGACACTCTCATACCGTACCAAGAGACATGGTGTGGTAACTGTAGATGCAGAGATATCTGGATCCCCGGATCCCTCACGATCCTCTTATTATTCAAACCTTAGGCGTACTGAGATTGTTTTTGGTTATCTTTGGTTCCTGTAATTCCTAAGAAACAGCTAAAGTTATAACTTGTGCTAGGGGTCCAAGTTCAGTATCAAAACATGGCCATCCTCTTCACTACTGATGAAGCAGCAAAAGTCTGCGACATCCATAAATGTGCAATATACCACAAGTCCTACAACTGCGATCATTCTAGGTATTGCAAGCCCGAAAGGGCCTGTATTTGTCCTTCCTTTCCAAACTGCCATCTGGCACGAGGCGGAGGTTTGGGCTTTCAGCGGGCAAACCCGAAACCGCATATCCTACTGGGGCCAGAGTTATCCATAGTAATAGCATTCCTCAAGAACCCCCTTTAATGTATACAGGTATCATACGCCTATACATACATGTATGTATACATGGCTGTAGTGTCTTGGGATGTGGGGTATCGCACCAACTTGAGTGCTATGACTGGTAACCACTTAGTAGTCTAGTGCAGTTGTCATAACTCCTACCAGGAATCAACAGGAAAGCCGATGCAGACCCGTGTCCACAACCCTCAGACCCAAGACCCTAAACCCTACACCCTAATTAGACCCAACTGTCGGTTTGCCGAAGCCTACTGAGGCTCGTCGCTGCCTTCTTGGTCACTGCTCTGGCTCCTTATGGTGGCTGAGCTTATGGTTTAGGGTTTAGGGTAAGAGGGGGGGGTTTAGGGTGGGCGCTGTGGGGCGCAGGGGATTGCTGCTTCGCGGCTTCACGATGTTCGGTTTGTTCGTGGGCCCCAGATCCTTACAGTAGAAGCCCAAAACTTGGAAACCCAACAGCGTCAATCCTGAAGAGTAATGTATATGGAATCCCAGCACTATTTGTCCTTAGTCAGGTTTCCAACTTTATGGGGTTCACCGTAGATTGAAGCAGCTGACGATACACCTACGAGGCTTACATCTGCAAGCATCCTGCCCCGAAATGCTACCAGACGCCGCTGTATGAGACACACCATAATATAGGGGCCTTAATAGTTTGTTGTAGGGTTTGGGGGTATAGTTTACTATTCTTGTAATAAGGAAGCCCCCGAACCGTATTCTAATTAGTAAGGCCCCTACATTATCCAGCGTCCCCTAGAGCTGATAATGAGAATACGCCTTTAGGAAAGCAGAACAAGCAACCTACTTCCAACTTCCATAAGGCCTCAGTATGATGCGTAAAACCAAAACCAGAATGTTGAAACTCCAATCCTACTACAGACCCAACATTACGCAGTACTTGGCCTCAAAAGCTTTGAAGGAGCACCCGAGAACAGGCGTCGAATGTAAAAGTCTCGGGGGGCCTCACAATATTACGGGACCCTTTCTTTTCACCCCCAAATATTAGGATCCCGAAAGCAAGGACACTCCACCAACAAGGGACCCTAACATTCTGAAACCCCATCGCCCTGCTGTCTAGGCCCTGATGTTCTAAGTGCCTCCTGCTGTCAAAAGGCTGCTGCCCGAACTGTGTCTATGGCGGCGAGTGAGCGATAGCAGTTTCGGGAATCCTACAGGGGGGGACTTAAACACCATAAGCCTTAAAGGCCTTCTGCCTTGAAGCCTGATGGTGTGAGAACGACTCGCGTCCGTGTGAATACGATCCCCCTAATCCCTCAACCCTAAACCCCGAACTTTATGAGCCCTCTAAACCCGAAACTTTGTGAACCCTAAACCCTAAGCCCCGAAGACCCTCAACCACTCACTTTATGATCCCTAAGCGTAAACCCTACACCCTAAACCCCTAACTTCATAATCGGGACAGGTCCGAAGCCCCCTGGAGGATTCCCGCAACTTCCAGCTCAGATTCTAGGCTTCTAGGGTTCTAGGATCCTCATGAACCAAAGGAGTCCTCATAGAGTCTCGGGCTTTAGGAATCCTTGCCCAAGAGCTTCATCAGATCTTTACCTAAGTAGTATACAGGACAAAACAATGACCAACATTATTCCTTGGGGTTCATTACTGCAGATATAGCAACTAATACCCCAAAACCCTAGTTCAATTATTAAGGCCCTTACGTTACACTTAGAGCTTCCTCGGTGAAAGGCCAAATAATCCGAATTGCCCCTATCAAAAACGCGAAGTCCCGAACCCTGAATCAAACCTGAAGCGCCAAGGCTGGGTTCTACCCTCATGTAGAACCCATAGTCTACAGACCCATAGATAAGAAGCCTCATTACGAAGAAGCCCGTATAAATCACTATTTTGCCCGGTGCTTCTAGAGGGTCCTTTGGTTCTGGGAGGATGCAGCGTGTTAGGGCTTTGGGGCCTTCTCACGTCTACCTTTCGGCTTGCCTCTGGAGCTGCCTCCCAGCTTATAAAGGTTTAAGGTAGTCGGGCTTAGAGTACGAAGTGCCACAAATGAGGGACCCGACGTAGTTTACAGTTTAGAATACTGACCTTCAAGAAACACTCAATAACATCTTGCAGTTCTGTGGCTCTTCGGTCCTACACGCGCTATAAACCCTAACCCTAAGGCTCCATGTGCCCATATAGTATATACTTAGGCCTTAAAGTACCTATATAGGGACTACTTTGGGGCCTAAGTATCTACTATAAAGGTACATGGAGCCTTTGGGTAAACCATCAAGACTCTAAGATTGAGTTGGTTTCGGGCCGGAACATGTGATCACATGCGTTTAGGGTTTAGGGTTTAGGGGTTTAGGGTTTAGGTTTTTACTTCTGATTTACAGCCTTAGCACTCCTTTAGGTTGGGGCTGAGGTTGTTTTTGACAACTCTGCAGTGCCTGGACCCTGCACCGTGGGTCTGTTACGTGCCGCTAAAGTCCTCTGATGCGACAGGAATAGACACGAACCATTTACGCTTGGTCGATCCCGAACTCTAGATCCTATATCGTCCAATACACTGCTGTAAACTTGCAATTGGTAGTGCTAATCGTTAATTGTACGTAGTCTTATGTGACATGACATGCTCCCCGTAGAACCAAACCCTGAACCCTCAACCCCTAGCCCCTAACCCAAGCTAAACCCCGCAGCCCTACGCCCCCCTTAATCCCGAATCACGGTTGGATCCGAGGCGCACAGCCACAAGCCCGCATGTCCAAGGCAAAACAGCCTTTGCTTGTAGTACTACTGCGCAGGCTGGGGCTTAAAGTTGCTATATGAGGTACCCGGGCCATGTTTGACAGTTTCAGTCGTTGCTGTTGATGTTGCTGTCGATACCACGATGCTGACAAAAAGTGGTGCTCCCCTCAAGCATTGTCACTATCGCCTCTGTCGGAATCTCCAACAAACCCGAAACCCGAAACCCCTAAACCATGAATTTCAATCTTTGGATTTGCAGCAATACTTGTGGCCCACCTGCTGCAGTCTATCCAGATAATGCACCACGGGAGAGCTCCACTCTCCGTACAGGGGCCGTTGCCAGCGGTTTCCCAACGGAACGCATGGCAGCAGGCAACTGCAGCTAATACACTGTGACCGTCATCCCTGGAATCTTCGTGTCTCTTGAGCCTGATCCTTATGTTGGGTTTGTGTATCCTGCACTGAAGTACCCGTCTGTCGAAGGATTACGGCGTTGGGGATTCGGGTTTAGGCTCAGAGTATTCTTGGGTGCTGCTGTGCTGCAGAAAGTATAGAACCCTAACTAAGGGTCCATGTACCCAAATAGTATATACTTTGGGCCTAATGTACCCATATAGGGAATACTTTAAGGCCAATGCATATACTATTTAGGTACATTGACCCTTAGGGGAATGTCTCGGAGCCTCAATGGATGTTATTGTTGTTGCTTACCTTTTCTCTTCGGTACGGCCCCCACTCAGCAATAGTATAGATATATAAGGCCCTTAATAGTAGCCCTTTTATAGACTGTTACTGTATGGGGGCCGTACCCAAGTTATTGTTGTTGATTCTTTTCTCCCTGTCTCAAGATCCTGGCCGCAAACATCGTTCACCTAAATAAACCGAACCCACATTGCAAGTACAGAACCCCGAAATTGATAAAGGCACCTTATTCAATACTTAGCAATACTATTTTGGGGGGGTTCCTTATTCTGGCTTTAGTATAATGAACCCGAAACCCTATTCTAATTATCCAGGCTCCTAGTTTAGCTTTCGCCATCTTCGCATCCTGGAGCCCGATCCAGTGCTTACGGTTCATGATGGAAATCCTGCATTACCTTAAGGACCCTAGGCTCTGGGAATTACGGTGTATTCCTTATCATGGGTAATGCAGGATTCATATCATCAACCGTGACCACAAGAGGGCAGTCCAGGTCTTATCACTCGCAACATGGACGAGTCGTAAACGAAAGGAAAAGATCGCTACATACGGCTCTGATGGACAATATCCTGCATTACCCATTATAGGGAATATACCATAATCCCCATGGTTTAGGGTCCTGAAGGTCATGCAGGATTTTGTCCACCAGCAGTATCTTAAGCAGCATCAAAAGCACTCCTAGCTTACATACTTCAACCTAAGCTCCTACAGTGCTACCCTAAACCCGAAACCCTAGAGCCCCAAACCGCAGCCGTAACCTTTGGGATGACGGAGGCACCTTTGCACGTCCTTTACCTGCGAATCGCAGCAGATCTCTCGACACTTCCCGGACATGTCGGTCATGAATCTTACACCCTAAATCACCAAACCCGAAAAGTCCTAAAGCCCTAGGCCCTAAATCCTAAACACGAGGGGCCCAGCAGTTCCGAAGACTCCAAACCTCTTTCAAGGCTCCGCAATAAGCTGTAACCGTTCTCAACGAACAGGGCTTTAGAGTGCATAAGCCCGGGGTGTAAACGAAGGGTACAATCAGCCTGTCCCTCGGTCCTGACAGCTCGAGAGCATCGATCACAGAGACTTCTTTAGGGTCTACTTGGAGGGCAGGGGACTTAGTAAGTAGGTTATAAGTAGAGTTATAAGTACCCTAAATGGAGTTATCCCAATTATAACCCTACTTATGAACGACTTACTAAGCCAAGCTGCGAGACCTAGGATTCTCAGGGCTTGGAAGCCCAGCACCTGGCTCCCCTGCATCACAGCAAATGCAAATGCCACACCCTAATAAGCCCTTTAACACCATACGCCCGAAAAGCAGCATCCAAAACCTTCAACCGATGCTTCCGACTGGTCGCCGTCCAAGAAGTAAAAGCATGCGCCGCGTGGCCACAAAAAACCCAATCCCCTAGAAACCCTAAACTCTAAACTCCTACACTCCGACCCTAAACCCTTAAACCCTAAGCCCTGTAAACCCTAAACCGTAAACTCCTAAGCCTTAAATCCCTGAAACCCCCAACCCGGGGGAAAGTTTAGGGTTGCGGGTTAATAGGGACCCACAAAGCACATAGACATGAGCATGTTGCAAGGATATCCCTACCTGCTTGGGCTCATTATAAGGGCATGTATGTATATGGGATATGGCGCCCTAGGTTTGTGTTTTAGGTTTTAAGTGTACGTAAACCCCTCAAAGATAAAGTAATGGCCCAATACCTACAAAGGGCTTTTATTCCACATACGTTGGGGTTCCAGGTAATAATTACCCATAGGCTCCATAGCAATTAGCTAGTTTTTGAGTTGTTCTTTGGGGTTCATATTCAGAATTCGATAATGTAATCCCCAAAATGAACTGCTATGGAGCCTATGGGTCCAGAGCTTTGGTGTTCATGGTTGGGCTCCCATTTGGGAGTTTCCGAAAATTAGGGGTACCTTATTTTGGGGTCCTTATAACAAGGATCCTATTGTTTAAGGTGCTATATTAGGGTCCCCTATTTTCGGAAACTCCCATTTTGGATGTTGTACAACAGAAACCTCATGTTGGCACTACATGTTGTGTTGATACCACATTTTTGGGTCCTTATAATCAGGATCCTACTATTCAAGGTACTACTATTAGTTATGCCTGTTTTGAGTTCGGTTTAGATTTGTAATAGTTGGGTAATATTTACATTTTTATGGGTACTTAAACCCAGTGAGGAGTAAAAATGTACATGTTTCATCCTATCCCAACCATGAACCAGTTTAGGTTTAGGGTTTACTGTAGAGGCCTAAATGATCACCTTTACTATTTTGGGGGGTTCCTTTGTATGCTTATAGTATGATATGCACCAAAACCCTATTCTAATTATTACGGCCTCTATGTTGGTGCCCGAAAGCTGGCCTCTATGTTGGAGCCCGAAAGCTGGCCTATCGGGGTTTGAGGCGTGTTAGGTTCGCGAAGTTGGCTTCGTGGTTTCGGGCTCAGTGCAGTTCAAGTGTTCGCTGGTGCATTAACACGCGCACCGGCCCGCTCAAACTCACCGCCACACGGAGATCGACAATGGACGCTGTACCATGCTCCCTGCGCTCTTCAAAACTCCAAAAGGTCAGCAAGGCAAGCATCGGGGTTAGAGGTGTGAACTCTGAGCAGTACCAGGGTTTAGGCAACCGTGCTGTACCATGATGTACACCGAAACCTCATCGCAAGTAGTAGAGCTTTATATGAAGCCTTATCAACCCTTCAAACTTCTGTTCTAGGTATGAATTTTCAAGGCTTTTAGAGCTATGGGTAAACTCTAAGCCCTAAACCTTTATAAACCCTAAACCCTACATGAAACCCCTCAGCACTAAACCAAGAAAAGTGCCGCAAGTTATTTCCTTTTCAGGCTCGGTCCAGGGCCCACCCTGAGGAACTCCCCTGGTCAGGGTTTAGGGTTAGAAGGGGCCCCCACCCTGTAATAGTGGCATAGTAGGAATATAATAGGGCCTTAACAGAATCCTTATAGTCACTATTACAGGGTGGGGGCCCCTTCTAAGGTTTAGGGTTTAGGGTTTTACTCTGTCAGGTTTGGGGTTTAGGTAGGTTCAAGGTTTACTGTATAGGGTAAGAGTAATACGAACCATCCTAAACCCACGTACCCGCGACTTGCACTACCTACACGGCCATGGCGCTGACTTTCAGATGTCGGGCACCCGTGTGTCACATGCTCAGGTTTAGTTCAGTGTTTGGGGTTTCGGGGTTCGGCGCTTGCAGCCAGTTGGGTGTTTGTAGGACTTCGTCCCTGAGGCTCCCCATCTTACCAATTCGTCGCTAGGACTTCGCGAATCTACTATAGGGGCCTTCATAATTAGAATAGGGTTTTGGGGGTTCCTTGTTTTAAGTCCAGTTTAATAAGCCTCCAAGCCCTATTCTACCTATTAAGGCGCCGACATTATGCTTTTTACAGATGGCCCTAATATACTCATACCTTGACATACGAATATCATAATACACTGAACACGAAACCCGCGCGGCATGTGTGCTTTGGCTGCAGGCCTTTCACGCCCAACAAAGACGTTTCAGAGTCTGGAGTTTGGTTCGGGAGTGCCCCGTCTAACCCCACCACACTGTCACCACATAAACTTTTAAGTGGTCCAACTGGAGATGAGCAAAGGTGGATCAGGGTTAATTCTTAGATTGTGAACGGGGGAACTTTAGACTTTTTGGCCTCATATATTAGCTCTATCTTAGAAACTTTGAATTTCGGGGTGGCCCGGTTGTTGAAGAAGAGAGAATTCAAGCTTCAGGCGACCTGGCTAATGACTCTTAGTGGGACTTAGAATTAAATAGTTTCTAATTTTTGGTTATTATAACCCATAAGAAACAGCTAAAATCTTAATTTTTGCTGGGGTTCCAAGTTCAGTATAGTACTCCCAGCTCACTCTGACAAAGACCCGCAACATCAGTTCAGACGAGCGGCTGTGAACACACAAGCACAGCTGGCTCTCAGTTTACGCTTTCTGGGGCGTGTTGGGTAATATAGGAACTTGATTAAGAAACCTTGGGCCTTTCGTGTTCCTTATAGAATCCTACTATTTTGGGGTTATAGGCCCAGGGTTTCTTGATCAGGTTCCTACATGCTTCATGATCCGAACTTAGCGGCCTGAACGTTCAAGCCAAGCCCCAAGCTTGCCACAAGTCTCATGTAATGGCACGGTCCATGGCCCTGATTCATGAACGATGCGTCTGATGAACCCAAGGGTAGACCCAGCGAGCCCCATGAAGAGAGTCCTCGAGCACGCAAGATTATGGGTTGACAATTTCAGTTTTGAGTTGCAGGGCATTGTAAGGCAGACTGGTCCAGGACCTGACCCCCTTCAACTCAAAATCTGAACCCACCAAGCTCAACGAGGTCGCCATGCGTTCAAGCAAGTCGCAGCTGCTCAGTTGCCGCTCCGGAGGTTCGCTGATGCTGCCAAGGCACCCAAAGACTCGGCCTTCATGTATCACAAATCCTGGGCTCAGAATTCGGGGTTTGGGGTCTGGCATAGGGTTCTGAACGCACAGGCCCCGCACGCCTCCCTACAGCATGTCATGCTGCGTGCTGATATCTCCTGCACTGCTCGTGGGTAGTTCTCTAAATTAGTGTCCCTCTTCACGTCCCACAAGTATCTCCAAACCAAGGACCCTGAAAGGGGCACTAATGCAGAGAACTAACCCTCGTTACAGCGGTGGTGTCTGAAGAGTTTGCGGCTCAGAGCTTCAAGTTCCCGATCTCGCAGCTCACGACACTCGGCAATTGAATCAGAGGGCTTTCACAGCACCCGAACCCTTCACCCCTAGACCAAAACCATCCTAAACCGCAAAACCCTAAAGCCTAAAGCTCAAATCCCTAAACCCATATGTCCTAAACCCCAAACCGCGACAGAAAGCTTTGAATGCAGTGGCCTTTTGAGGAAGGCACTGGGGCTCCAGGGCTTCAGGGCTTAGGGTTCAGGGTTTACAGTAGAAGCCAGAAAGTTGGAATATCATTATCGTAACCCCTTTAAGGTAAAATATAGGGGATTCTGCCATTATTCCATATTCCAACTTTCTGGAGTTCCCTTTAGGGGTTTAGGATTTCAGGGCTTTGTGGTTGTCCAGGGCTTGGAGGTTTTGTCGGCACAGGGGCTTTAGAGTTGGATTTCTTCAGTTTTTTTCGTTTCAGGTTCCACCAATCCAAAAGCAAGAACCCTCAATATCCACCCCAAGCCCATGCAAAGCCCAAAACACATCGAAAAAAGAGACCTCCGGAGGCCTCCGCCCCTTGCGTGCCAGACTTCGATCCGGAGAACGGCGAGGTGGCGCTGGAATTACGACTTGGCCTTTTTAACCACTTGGGAGGGAGGGGGGCCCTGTACTATTAGAAGGAAAGCTACTTGTAGCCGAACTATGGTGTAAATGTGCATGCGCCTGGCAATCGTCAGATGGGAGCTTGTTGTCAGGGCCCTCCTGGAGAGCCCAATACCCCTTACTTAAGAAATATAGCTTAAACCTTAATATGAAGCCCTATATAATTTAAGCCATATTCCTTATTTAAGGGGTATTGGGGCTTCCCGGGCTCCTGGAGGATAGGTCCTGCAAGGCTCCCAATCTGTTTTGAAGCCTGACTATACCTGGTATTACCATTGACTACCTGAGGGCCTGTGGTGAGGTTCCGTACTTTTAGTTACAACAACCCGGAGCCCTATTCCAAGTATTGCCGCCCCTGAACCCTAACCCCTAATGGCTTGCGCCCTTGCAGTCCAACCATGAACTGCGAAGCTTGAAGTGAAAGCAATGGTCGTCTCTTGAAGCAATGCAGAGTTGCTTTGTTGTCAGTTTCATAGGTACGGCTCGAAGTGTGCTCCAGTACCCGTTCTTCGCTTTGTTGTTCTGTTATCCCGTGTATTCCTCACATATTCACAACAATAGTCAGGGGAAGAATACAAAAAAGAGAATAGTTACTTTTAGCAAATTTGGTATTTGGAAGTCTTCCTACCTTTCGAAGTAGCTATAGTACTAGTACTGCTACTACTAATAAATAGCAATAACAATAATAGTAATAGCAAACATACTCTTATTGTATTCAATGTTCCCCGTATACAATCAGGCTAGAATAGATCCCCCAAAAGACACTTATCCACCAGTTAAGGCCTCTCTATTATCACCTCATTGTTGGGTCGGGGGCTTTACTGGCAAGAGCTCGACATAGTCTGTAATAGCCAGATGTGGCTTCTGCCAGCACCCTGAAACCCGTTTCTGTCAATCATAACCTCTCTGGCACCTTTGGTAAGTTGTTATTGTTATTTAGTACCTTTCCGATACATCCTGATTGGGGTATAAACCCTCAACCCTAAATCCTATTCATGAATAGTCTTGCGAGGTCGGGAGAAGACGGGATGACATCTTCGGGTTAACGGCATAGGACGGCTTATGGTTTGTTAGGGGGTTTAGGGTTCATAGGACCGACCAATGTCAAAAGGGTCCTGCTTATGCAAGCGGGCCGGTGCTGGCAAGTAGAGGTCCCTGCCCCTGCGTGAGTTCCAACAACTGGCAAGTAGAACGCATCTTTATCCTCAGCTGAACTTATACGTCCTGATCCTGAACTGTCCCTGAACCCTAAACCGGTCGAAGCACCTGAACATCAGGGTCTGCCGAAGTCTTGCTTTGGGTAAGCCCAGATGCGGCTTCCCAGTTGGGAGTTTCCGAAAATTAGGGGTACCTCATTTTGGGGCCCTTATAGTAACGGTCCTACTATTTGAGGTACTCTATTGGGGTCCCTATTTCTGGAAACTCTCAGGTGTTGAAAAGCCGCGCAGTTCGGGGTTGAGGTTTGCTGCTATCCGAATCCCGAGAGCCTATCCCTAAGGGTCCATGTACCCAAATAATAGGGTTCCTTTAGGGTACCATAAAGGTTCCTTTAAAGGGATCTATAAGGGATCCATAAGGGTTTAGGGTATAAGGGTCCATGTACCCAAATAGTATATACTTTGGGCCCAATGTACCCATATAGGGAGTACTTTAAGGCCAATGTCTATACTATTTAGGTACATGGACCCTTGGGGGATGTAAATTCAATCTCTGTTTTTTGCGGCCGGGTACTGTATGCAAGCCTATACCCTTATATACCTACTACGGTTGATGATGTAAATCCTGCATTACCTTAAGGACCGTAAACTATGGGAATTATGGTATATTCCTTATTATGGCTAATGCAGGGTTTGTAGGATCAACCGTAGTGCCTGGTTTTTGTAGGATCTTAAGACACACCCTGATATAGAAATCATGGGGCCCCATGCCACTGCAGGCAGGGGTTGGTTGAGGCTGGTGAAAGGTATGGGAGTTTCCGAGAATAGGGGTACCCCAATATACCACCCTAAATAGTAGGGTTCGTATTATAAGGACCCCACAATAAGGCACCCCTAATTTTTGGAGACTCCCAAATAGCATCCCCATACCGAGCCCCTAAAGCAGAGCATGCGAAAGCTTCGCGGTCCCTAGATTAGGCACATCACATTGCGATGTAGCCTTTGGCTCAAAAAACCTGCTCTTCGTGGAGGGGCCGCTGGACAATGCGGCTGTGGCTTAATGATGACTTCATGGTCCATTCCAAAGCATCACGCCCATGCAGCTACATTCGGTTCTGTTGGGTTAGTTACGGTTTGGGGTTTAGAGTTTAGGGGGGCAGGTTGAGTTTCTCGCAGGACTTTCAGGAGTTTTAGTGTAAGCGCTTCGTCGCGTGTCTCCCCTACCAAGCCCACTTTCCGCGGTCGGAACAGAAACGGGTGGCCCCTGAAAGCAGTGGGTCACTGGGATTAAGGAAAAGGGGCTTTCGGAGAGGGCGAGGTATGAGGATTCCTGGTTTGGGCCCTCAGCGGTTGTGTGGTGAGGCTGCAGGAGAGATATTGGGGCTATATCATGCTATGTTACATGAATCGGTTTGAAGCTGCATGACTTCATGTTTTGAGATTTTGGTCAGGGGTTGGCGTTTTTAGGGTCTGCGGCCTTCCCGGTTAAGTTCTGGCCACAACTTTAGGGTCTACATCAGCCCGAAGGTCGTGTACACACCGCTGATTTTCTGCACATGTGACACTTTCAAATGGGGTCCAGCGATAGACGTTCTGGGGTTAGCTTGGTGTATATGTTAGGAGCTGCCCCCACCCTGTAATAGTGACTGCCCTATTATAATCCTATATTATACCACTATTACAGGGTGGGGGCCGCTTCTAAACCCTAAACCCTAAACCCTAAACCCTAAACCAACCAACCAACCTAAACCCTAAATCCCACAAAGTGTAAAGTGTAGCTTCTAACATATGGGTGGTTGTCAAAATTATGGTCCCTTTTTGGGTACCCTAAATAATAGGTGCCGTATTATAATAGGGACCCAAAAAAGGGACCATAATTTTGACAACCACCCATATATGGTTGCGACAAGGTCCTGCAACTTCTCGTCCGCTGCAATTGCAGCATACCTTGGGCATCATATGGGAGTTTCCGAAAATCAGCGGTACCTTAGGGTCCCTTTAAAGGGCTACTAACTGTAGGGGATCTATAAGGGTTCTATGAGGGTTGGATTATGGTAGGGAGTTTCCGAAAATCAGGGGTACCTTATTTTGGGGTCCTTATAATAAGGATCCTACTATTTAGGGTAGTAGATTAGGGCACCCTATTTTCGGAAACTCCCATATTAGCTATGTTGGCCCAAGCCTTGAACCCGAAGGTTTTGGGGTTTCGGTTTAGGGTTTTGGACTGTGCGTATTGTTCTTGCGACCCGAGCGTGCACGATGTAAGCACTTGGGATGTTCTGAGTTATGTTACGATGTCGTGAGTACCAGGACCCCCCAATGGCCCTTTAATGGAGCCCTTATGGCCCTTAATAGTGGGTATTTGGGATATATTAGAGGGCAGTTGGGGGGTCTAGGTAGATGGGGCGTTTGATCCTTGCCTTTACGTTTAAGGTTACTTGCCGAGACCATTTGATCTTGCAGTGTTCAGGTCATGTCACGGCTTAGTTGTTGGCTCCACAGTTTCGTTTTGCACCTGTCACTTCTGCTTGGCACTGAACTGCTCTAGAGCTTACAAGCAAGTTAGTCTACACCATTACGGGCTCCAATCCAACAATAGGCACTGATCCCCGGCTGCAGAACGCTAAACCTTTCCGGTGTGGTCCGATGGTTCTGCTACAATCCGCGTTCTTGAGCCTGGCTAGCCGAGTCGAAATGAATATGTAGCAAATGATAACCAGAGACAAGGAATCCCAGAGAGCCCAATACCCCTTAATAAAGGAATGTGGCTTAAGTTATATAGGGCTTAATATTGTGATTTAACCTATATTCCCTAATTAAGGGGTATTGAGCTCTCTGGGATTGTGTCCAAACAATCAGACTGTAGTTTTGGGTCCATCATACTATGCCTATTTGGGTAATTAGTTCTCTAACTTAGGATCCCTTGTGTTACATTTCGTCATAAACAAGAGCAGCCCCCTAAACCCTAAATGTAGGCATAGAGCTCGCGAGTCCGGACAGTGAACTCACTGAGCACCCGAGTCCTGCGGGTTGTAAGCCAAAACCGAAGACACTTCCTGGGGATCCAACAGCCTATTGAATAGGACCTAACTTATATAACCCTGAAGGGCCTACTTTTTTAGGTACTAATTTGAAACGCTGCGCGTCGTCCGCCTCGGCCCGGCTGTACGCACATGCGGCGAGTGGCTACTATCTGCAGCAAGCTCTTGTAGGAAAACAGTAACAGTTGGAATCGCACTTATAGTAAAAGTAATGTTCATAGCAACACGAAGCAGGATGATTGTGAGTAGTATTAGCAGGCTGGGGTTAGGGTGTAGGGTTAGGAGTTCAGGTTTGAAACTCCCTTGGTACTGCAGCCTTAAAGTCGAGCCCCAAGAGATAAAGATGCTACATTACAGTTTCGTGTCGTCGGAAATTCCCAGAAAGCTCGCACCTGTCAGCGAAGGGGGGAGGGGCGGGAGGGTGGGGGAGGAGGGGGGGCGGGGGAGGGGGGCGTCGCTTTCGGGTGCAGGTGTTGTCCGGGCTTTGAAAGGCCCCAATTTTTCAGGCCGGGGTTAGGTTGTAGGCTTAGGAGTTCAGGTTTGAAACTCCCTTAATTCTGCAGCCTTAAGCGCGCCCCAAGAGATAAACAGGCTACATTACAGTCCGGTGTCGTTGGAAATTCCCAGGGGCGGGAGGGTGGGGGAGGAGGGGAGGCGGGGGGGCAGGGCGGGGGAGGGCGTCGTGCTTTCTGGAGGGTTAGGAATTCAGGTAAACTCCCTTGGTACTGACCCTTCCCTTGCGACGTTTCC